ATTGTAGTAGCTCATTCGATCAAGCATTAAAAGCTGTATATAATACCTACTTTTGGAAAGTTTTGAATTACTTTTGAAAAAAATTTTATGATAGAACAAAAAAAAAATTAATTTTTTTTTAAATACTCGAACATTCAACAGGAGCGCGTTTTGTGGTATTGAATACTTCAAGGGATTGTAGTAGCTCATTCGATACAGCATTAAAAGCTGTATATAATACCTACTTTTGGAAAGTTTTGAATAACTTTTGAAAAAAATTTTATGATAGAACAAAAAAAAATTAATTTTTTTAAATACTCGAACATTCAACAGGAGCGCGTTTTGTGGTATTGAATACTTCAAGGGATTGTAGTAGCTCATTCGATACAGCATTAAAAGCTGTATATAATACCTACTTTTGGAAAGTTTTGAATAACTTTTGAAAAAAATTTTATGATAGAACAAAAAAAAAATTAATTTTTTTTTAAATACTCGAACATTCAACAGGAGCGCGTTTTGTGGTATTGAATACTTCAAGGGATTGTAGTAGCTCATTCGATCAAGCATTAAAAGCTGTATATAATACCTACTTTTGGAAAGTTTTGAATTACTTTTGAAAAAAATTTTATGATAGAACAAAAAAAAAAATTAATTTTTTTTTAAATACTCGAACATTCAACAGGAGCGCGTTTTGTGGTATTGAATACTTCAAGGGATTGTAGTAGCTCATTCGATCAAGCATTAAAAGCTGTATATAATACCTACTTTTGGAAAGTTTTGAATAACTTTTGAAAAAAATTTTATGATAGAACAAAAAAAAAATTAATTTTTTTTTAAATACTCGAACATTCAACAGGAGCGCGTTTTGTTGTATTGAATACTTCAAGGGATTGTAGTAGCTCATTCGATACAGCATTAAAAGCTGTATATAATACCTACTTTTGGAAAGTTTTGAATAACTTTTGAAAAAAATTTTATGATAGAACAAAAAAAAATTAATTTTTTTAAATACTCGAACATTCAACAGGAGCGCGTTTTGTGGTATTGAATACTTCAAGGGATTGTAGTAGCTCATTCGATCAAGCATTAAAAGCTGTATATAATACCTACTTTTGGAAAGTTTTGAATAACTTTTGAAAAAAATTTTATGATAGAACAAAAAAAAAATTAATTTTTTTAAATACTCGAACATTCAACAGGAGCGCGTTTTGTGGTATTGAATACTTCAAGGGATTGTAGTAGCTCATTCGATCAAGCATTAAAAGCTGTATATAATACCTACTTTTGGAAAGTTTTGAATTACTTTTGAAAAAAATTTTATGATAGAACAAAAAAAAAATTAATTTTTTTTTAAATACTCGAACATTCAACAGGAGCGCGTTTTGTGGTATTGAATACTTCAAGGGATTGTAGTAGCTCATTCGATCAAGCATTAAAAGCTGTATATAATACCTACTTTTGGAAAGTTTTGAATTACTTTTGAAAAAAATTTTATGATAGAACAAAAAAAAAATTAATTTTTTTTTAAATACTCGAACATTCAACAGGAGCGCGTTTTGTGGTATTGAATACTTCAAGGGATTGTAGTAGCTCATTCGATCAAGCATTAAAAGCTGTATATAATACCTACTTTTGGAAAGTTTTGAATTACTTTTGAAAAAAATTTTATGATAGAACAAAAAAAAAATTAATTTTTTTTTAAATACTCGAACATTCAACAGGAGCGCGTTTTGTGGTATTGAATACTTCAAGGGATTGTAGTAGCTCATTCGATCAAGCATTAAAAGCTGTATATAATACCTAATTTTGGAAAGTTTTGAATAACTTTTGAAAAAAATTTTATGATAGAACAAAAAAAAATTAATTTTTTTTTAAATACTCGAACATTCAACAGGAGCGCGTTTTGTGGTATTGAATACTTCAAGGGATTGTAGTAGCTCATTCGATCAAGCATTAAAAGCTGTATATAATACCTACTTTTGGAAAGTTTTGAATTACTTTTGAAAAAAATTTTATGATAGAACAAAAAAAAAATTAATTTTTTTTTAAATACTCGAACATTCAACAGGAGCGCGTTTTGTGGTATTGAATACTTCAAGGGATTGTAGTAGCTCATTCGATCAAGCATTAAAAGCTGTATATAATACCTACTTTTGGAAAGTTTTGAATTACTTTTGAAAAAAATTTTATGATAGAACAAAAAAAAAATTAATTTTTTTTTAAATACTCGAACATTCAACAGGAGCGCGTTTTGTGGTATTGAATACTTCAAGGGATTGTAGTAGCTCATTCGATCAAGCATTAAAAGCTGTATATAATACCTACTTTTGGAAAGTTTTGAATTACTTTTGAAAAAAATTTTATGATAGAACAAAAAAAAAATAATTTTTTTTTTAAATACTCGAACATTCAACAGGAGCGCGTTTTGTGGTATTGAATACTTCAAGGGATTGTAGTAGCTCATTCGATCAAGCATTAAAAGCTGTATATAATACCTAATTTTGGAAAGTTTTGAATTACTTTTGAAAAAAATTTTATGATAGAACAAAAAAAAAAAATTAATTTTTTTTTAAATACTCGAACATTCAACAGGAGCGCGTTTTGTGGTATTGAATACTTCAAGGGATTGTAGTAGCTCATTCGATCAAGCATTAAAAGCTGTATATAATACCTACTTTTGGAAAGTTTTGAATTACTTTTGAAAAAAATTTTATGATAGAACAAAAAAAAAATTAATTTTTTTTTAAATACTCGAACATTCAACAGGAGCGCGTTTTGTGGTATTGAATACTTCAAGGGATTGTAGTAGCTCATTCGATCAAGCATTAAAAGCTGTATATAATACCTACTTTTGGAAAGTTTTGAATTACTTTTGAAAAAAATTTTATGATAGAACAAAAAAAAAAATTAATTTTTTTTTAAATACTCGAACATTCAACAGGAGCGCGTTTTGTGGTATTGAATACTTCAAGGGATTGTAGTAGCTCATTCGATCAAGCATTAAAAGCTGTATATAATACCTACTTTTGGAAAGTTTTGAATAACTTTTGAAAAAAATTTTATGATAGAACAAAAAAAAAATTAATTTTTTTTTAAATACTCGAACATTCAACAGGAGCGCGTTTTGTGGTATTGAATACTTCAAGGGATTGTAGTAGCTCATTCGATCAAGCATTAAAAGCTGTATATAATACCTACTTTTGGAAAGTTTTGAATTACTTTTGAAAAAAATTTTATGATAGAACAAAAAAAAAATTAATTTTTTTTTTAAATACTCGAACATTCAACAGGAGCGCGTTTTGTGGTATTGAATACTTCAAGGGATTGTAGTAGCTCATTCGATCAAGCATTAAAAGCTGTATATAATACCTACTTTTGGAAAGTTTTGAATTACTTTTGAAAAAAATTTTATGATAGAACAAAAAAAAAATTAATTTTTTTTTAAATACTCGAACATTCAACAGGAGCGCGTTTTGTGGTATTGAATACTTCAAGGGATTGTAGTAGCTCATTCGATCAAGCATTAAAAGCTGTATATAATACCTACTTTTGGAAAGTTTTGAATTACTTTTGAAAAAAATTTTATGATAGAACAAAAAAAAAATTAATTTTTTTTTAAATACTCGAACATTCAACAGGAGCGCGTTTTGTGGTATTGAATACTTCAAGGGATTGTAGTAGCTCATTCGATCAAGCATTAAAAGCTGTATATAATACCTACTTTTGGAAAGTTTTGAATTACTTTTGAAAAAAATTTTATGATAGAACAAAAAAAAAATTAATTTTTTTTTAAATACTCGAACATTCAACAGGAGCGCGTTTTGTGGTATTGAATACTTCAAGGGATTGTAGTAGCTCATTCGATCAAGCATTAAAAGCTGTATATAATACCTACTTTTGGAAAGTTTTGAATTACTTTTGAAAAAAATTTTATGATAGAACAAAAAAAAAATTAATTTTTTTTTAAATACTCGAACATTCAACAGGAGCGCGTTTTGTGGTATTGAATACTTCAAGGGATTGTAGTAGCTCATTCGATCAAGCATTAAAAGCTGTATATAATACCTACTTTTGGAAAGTTTTGAATTACTTTTGAAAAAAATTTTATGATAGAACAAAAAAAAATTAATTTTTTTTTAAATACTCGAACATTCAACAGGAGCGCGTTTTGTTGTATTGAATACTTCAAGGGATTGTAGTAGCTCATTCGATACAGCATTAAAAGCTGTATATAATACCTACTTTTGGAAAGTTTTGAATAACTTTTGAAAAAAATTTTATGATAGAACAAAAAAAAATTAATTTTTTTAAATACTCGAACATTCAACAGGAGCGCGTTTTGTGGTATTGAATACTTCAAGGGATTGTAGTAGCTCATTCGATACAGCATTAAAAGCTGTATATAATACCTACTTTTGGAAAGTTTTGAATAACTTTTGAAAAAAATTTTATGATAGAACAAAAAAAAATTAATTTTTTTAAATACTCGAACATTCAACAGGAGCGCGTTTTGTTGTATTGAATACTTCAAGGGATTGTAGTAGCTCATTCGATACAGCATTAAAAGCTGTATATAATACCTACTTTTGGAAAGTTTTGAATAACTTTTGAAAAAAATTTTATGATAGAACAAAAAAAAATTAATTTTTTTAAATACTCGAACATTCAACAGGAGCGCGTTTTGTGGTATTGAATACTTCAAGGGATTGTAGTAGCTCATTCGATACAGCATTAAAAGCTGTATATAATACCTACTTTTGGAAAGTTTTGAATAACTTTTGAAAAAAATTTTATGATAGAACAAAAAAAAATTAATTTTTTTAAATACACGAACATTCAACAGGAGCGCGTTTTGTGGTATCGAATACTTCAAGGGATTGTAGTTTTTTTCTTTACAAAGTTTATTTAATTATTCTGTTTATCCGGAAAAAAAGGTTTATTATTCATTTTATTTCATAGACAAGTTTACTTTTAATACAAATCATTATTGCTTCAAGTTTTATTTCTTCAATTTTCAAGTTTTATTTTTTACGGCCAACAGGAATATTCAACGGACCTTCTTTCCCTTCCAAGAAAAAGGTAGTGCATTCCCCTTTCCCCTTAAAAAAAATTTTTTTTAATTTTCTAAAATGAATGCTAATATTTCACCTTAACATCAACTTTCCCCCGTTCTACAACAATAAATTGGTGATAGAAACATCGAAGTAAATTGCAGGAGGACTCACTTATCTTCAAAATATTTTTAAAATTAATTAAGGATTTAATGTAGAAATACTTGAATTTTATTAGAAACACCACTAGACTCCTTGAAATTTTATAAAATTATTTTTGGAAGCAAAAAAAATTATTTTTGAGACCATTCGAGATGCCATGTTAACAGTGTCGCCGAAAAGACAATAGCGAGGGGCGGCTATTCCGACCTTTTAAAGGAAATAATTTTTAAGAGAAATTCTGAAAAAATAAATAAGCTTACAACTCCAGCAGCAACAGAACCGCTATGGAATCCGATACGTACCTTTATAATAGAAATAAGTTGTAAAAAATTCTGAAATAAATCAGAATCGGTAAAGTTTATTTTCTGTAGTTTCCGGAAAGTTGCTATTAATTAATTCAAGTTTTATATTTAATAAACTTTAAATAAAATTACAACTTTAAAATTACAAACTTGAAAAAATAATTCAATTAATACAAACTCGAATTAAAAATAAAATAAACTTTAATTGTAAACTTAAATATATATTTAATTCAAGTTTTCAAGTTTAAACTTGAATTGAAGTTTATTTATTTTATTTAAGTTTTCAAGTTTAAACTTGAATCAAGTTTATTTATTTAATTCAAGTTTTCAAGCTTAAACTATAATTCAAGTTTATTTATTTTATTCAAGCTTAAACTTGTTTTATTAAGTTTAAACTTGAATTAACGTACCAGAATTAAATCAGAATTATTTTAATTACAACTTACCATCATTATTTCTTCTGGTCGGTGTGCAACTTTAAAATTTGCTACAAACTTGAAATACAATTGTAAAATATTAAAACAAGTTTAATTTAATATTAAACTAACAGAGCGCATTTTTAATGCAATATCTGCTATATGTTGAACGTGAGCGTTACCATTTTCACGGGGAACGCCAGAAACAATCATGTAAGCATCCCCAATCTTTTTTAAAAAATTTTATTTTAAATATCCAATTTTTTATCTACCGTCTCAACTTTATAAGCATCATGTTTTGCAATTATCGAATCAAATCCAGAAAATAAATCATTAAGGAAATTGACTACTTGGAGGGGTGTTGAATTGCTAGCCATTCGAGTAAATCCACGAATGTCAGAGAAAAGGACGGTAGCGTTCAGATAGAGTTGGGGAGGGACTGCTCGACCTGCCTTGAGATCATCGGCAATTGTGCTTTATTAGAAAAAATTAATTTTTTTGGGATTTTTTTGGGGAATTTTTAGAGGACTATTGAATAGGAGAGAAAGAAAAATTTTAAAAAATTTAAAAAAATTTCTTTACGAGGGCAACATATTTTTCAACAATCTGTCAGCTTGTTGTTGAGCTTCCTCAAGCAATTGAGTCCGTTCTTTAACTAATATTTCCAAATTAGTAGTATAATCTTCCATCATTTTCATCATTTGGTCTACTAGAGACCCGCTTCCGGTAGATTTCAAATTTGAGTTTACAATAGCTTTAATTCTTTTTATATTTGGACGCATTTCTGGTAATTCTAGCCAACAAGCTTCTAATGCCTTTAAAAAAGAAAGTTTACAATCTTAAAAAAGTTTATTTTTTAATTCTGATTTAAATGTAAATTTAAGTTTGTAAACTTGAAAACAAGTTTATTTTTTAAAGTTGGTAATTCTGATTTTATTTTAAATGCAATTCTGATTTTTGTAAACTTGAAATAAGTTTATTTTTAATTCTGATTTTATTTGTAATTGTAAATGTAAGTTTTGTAAACTTTAAAAAAAGTTTATATTTTATGATTGTAATTCTGATTTAATTAAATGTAAATTTAAGTTTATAAACTTTAGAGTAAGTTTATTTTAAAAATTGCAATTCTGATTTGTAAACTTTAAAAAACAAGTTTATTTATTATATCTGTAAACTTAAGTTTGTAAATTTTGTAAACTTGAGGGCAAGTTTATTTTTTTAATCTAATTTTAATTGTAATTGTGAACGTAAGTTTTGTAAACTTTAATTTAATTATTCTAATTTTACCGAAAGCAATTGTAAATTATATGCTTCCTCATTTGCTGCAATTTGTTGTTGATTTGGAAATGTTGGGCGTATAATTTGATCATCCTCATTAGCTAGAGCTATTTTCTGAAGAATTTCTGAAATTTAAAAAATAAAATAATTTTTAAAAATTTTCAATTACTTGAAGGAGGCAAATTTCGTTCATAAAAGGGTTCCAATTTAAACAAAATTTGGTATAGAACCATTCCAAGTCCATACATATCGGAAGCAGGCGACCCTTGTGGAATGTGTTTTGTAGAAATAAATTCTCTAATTATTTCTGGTGCTTGTTGAATAAATTCTGAAAATTAAAGAAACGTTTATTTATTCAAGTTTGTTCAAGTTTCTGATTTTAAATTGTAATTGTAATTATGATTTTGTAAACTTAAAACAAGTTTATATTTTTTATATTTTAATTCTGATTTAATTGTAATTCTGTAAACTTAATTTTGTAAACTTGAGAGTTCTAATTTAATTATAAATTAAATTCTAAGTTTGTAAACTTGAAAACCAGTTTATTTTTGATATTTTAATTCTGATTTAATTATTTATGTAATTCTGATTTTGTAAACTTGAGAGCAAGTTTATTATTTAAAGTTGTAATTCTGATTTAATTCTAATTTAATTATGAATTAAATTCTGAGTTTGTAAACTTGAAAACAAGTTTATTTTTTATATTGAAATTCTGATCTGTAATTAATTGTAATTTTAAATCAAAATTTGTAATATCTTAATTTAAGTATTCTATTTAATTTTTAAACTTAAGTTCGAACTTAAGTTTTTCAAATTAAATTTCCGGAATGTTTTAGTTCGCGAACTTAAGACTTAAAATTAAATTCTTAATCATTTTCTCCCTACTTTTAGTAGTATTCTTCTCCCTCATTCTAACATTAGCCAAATCTTCCTCTTCACTTCCTTTACTTTCCGATTCTGTATTGTTATTTTCCCTTCGTTTTTCTGCTCGTTTTCTTCCTCCTCCTCTTCTTCCACCACCCCCACCTCCTTCTTCACCTCCATCATCTCCTCCTCCCCCTCCATCTTCATTATTACCTCCACCTTTTTTTGGCCTTTCCTTCTCTCTAATTCTCTCCCTTTCTTTTTTCATCCTCATCAATTCACTTTCACTTATATATTTTAATTCATTATGCCGCAATTTATCCCCAATAATCTCTTCAGTAACAAAATTTGTTAATTTAATATTCCAGTTGGAATCGACGAGGCAATTTTGTAGGCATAAAAAGCCGTGATATTTAATTGTTGAAGTGTGGAGGAAGAAGAGACCCTTTGAATTTTTTAAATTTATTTTTGCCCTTATATTTGTCCTTTGTCTACCTTGACAACATCTTTTACAAAAGAAACTTGAAAATTCCGACTGATTTTTAATTCTTCGTTGAACAGAACATCCTGAGAATAGTTTTTAATTAATCCGAAATTATTATTTAAATCTCTCTCACTTCCAAACTCCCTCGCTGGCAGAGTAACCAAAGCACAATAAATTCGTTTTGTTGATTGAAAGAAATTCCATAGAACTTTAAAAATAAAAATTTTTTAAAGATGATTGGACCTCGCTATAAGAACTCCCCTTAGGCGTGGAAAAGTTTATCTCTTAAAGATGATTGAACCTAACTATGAGATAAACTCCTTGGGGCTGAAAAATATATCTTATAATGAGGTCCATCTTAAATTGAGAGGATATCGCTTGGACAGCCCTCCTAGACACTTAAATTAAAAGAAACGTATTTTAAAGTGATTGGAGTCTCTCGAATAGTTAGGCTACTGTTGAGCCTCTCTAATAGCCTAGTTAGTCTCCCAGCTTCCTCCAAGTCCAAGTCTTGAAGCTAAACTCTAAGCCTCCAAGTCTAGTTTGTCTCCAATAGAGAGTCTCTAATAAAGAGGGTTAGCCTTATTAGTTAGCCTTCTTCCTACCTTATTCAAATTTTCATTTTCCATAACTTTCAACTCCTTCAAACGAGCCAAATCATGTTTATTAAAGGTTACTGAACGTGTTTGTGCATATCTCTTGTAGGAGCACTTAACCCCATTAGCTACAGCTTGTTTAGCTGATAGGCGGCTGTTAGCTCTAGAGCCTATGCTTCCTTGAAGGGACGAACTATCGTGAGACAAAGTTTTGCTGTGAGCAGAGGTAGAGCCAGACTTCCTTGTACGTTCTTCCAGTAGCCGAACTTGCTCTCGAGGAATGCGCCAGGTCATGTCGTAAAGCATTCTTTCCTTCCTAGGGAGAAAATTAGGGGAAATGGAGTTAAATTAAACAAAACTCTTTCACATAGAGGAGATAACCAAGAGGAATAATTACTGAAATTTATTTTGAAATTCTCTTAATTAATTAGTTAATCATCTCTATACCCCCAAGAAAGATGAGTATACCAACAACCATATAGACAGAGGTATAGTCACAGAGACCGCCGTCAAATCCGCATTTTGGCATGTCTTGAGGCATAAATCCGTCATAACTTTAATTTAAAAAATATTTCTGATTTTTCTTGAAAATGCCCTTAAAATTCTTTAAAATTCCCTTAAAATTCCCTTATCTTTCTAAATTAACATGCCTGCTCCAATAATGACTCATTACTTCATGAGCAACCTTAATTAATTTTTAATTAATTCTATTTATTTTTATATTCATTACATGCTCGCTACAATCATTTTCTGACATTGCACATTTGTGTTTATCTCCAAGTCGCGCAGTTAATTCTACCACAATTCTCATTGTTCCGTTTTTAACGTGATAGGTTGCTACAAAAATGAGTTTCATTTATTTAATTCTTTCCGGAAAACTTTTCCGGAATTTTTATATTTCAAGTTTGTGCTTAATATCTTAAGTTTGCTCTTTCCGGAAAATTCCTTCCGGAAACTTTTCCGGATTTTTATATTTCAAGTTTATTTTAATTTCAAGTTTTCCGGAAAATTTCTTCCGGAAACTTTTCCGGATTTTTATATTTCAAGTTTATTTTAATTTCAAGTTTTCCGGAAAATTTCTTCCGGAAAAGGTTTATATTTCTCCACTTATTATTTCAAGTTTATTTTATTTTTCAAGTTTGTAGTTTCAAGTAAGTTTGTGTATTACCATAACTAGGCACCCGAATAGCCTTATTGTTCATCAATACTTGTCCTGTAACTCCAATAAATTGACGGGCTGTCATCTATATTTTTTGTATTATTTTTTATTTCAATTTACTTCTACCTTCTTCCATATAAATGATCCATCCATAAATCTATGAAATTTTAATTTAATTTTAAATTTTCAAAAATCGTTTATAGTACATTGACTGATTTTTTGTCTCCTCATAAGCATCGCGAACGGCCAATCCGTATAGGAAAAGCGCATCGTATAGAGACATATAGCTAAGTGTTGCATACTGAAAGATTAATATTCTTTTTGTACATATTTCAACTTTCCGGAAAATTTTAATTTAAATATTTAGGTTTGTAATTTATATTTCCTGTAGGTTTGTAAACTTATAATTTTATTGTTCCCGGAAATTATTTAAGTTTGTAATTAATAAACTTTCCGGAAAACTTTAATTTAAAACAAAGTTCAGAATAATTTACAAACTTCCGGAAAATATAGGAAAAGTGCTTCCGGAAAGAGCAAACTTAAGATATTAAATACAAACTTGAAATATAAAAATTCCGGAAAACTTTTCCGGAAAGAATTGAATAAATGAAACTGTATATTAGAACTTTTCGGAGAACATTAATTAAAATTAAGTTTGTAATTTTTATTTCCGGTAAGTTTGTAATTTCTAGTTTAGTGTATTGTTTCCGGAAATAGTTTCAAGTTTGTAATTTATATCAACTAAATTTTAAATATTACATAGCTGCTGATAATTCCAGTCACTTTATTAAATCGTTGCTCAAAGTCTTCAATAAACTTCTTGTCATAACCGTGAGCAGTAATTACAACTGCATCATCGAAGGCTGTTTTAGTTTCTTGTTTCTCTACGTTACTAGCTTCCCAAGGGTAATGGTCGTGCATCTTGAGGGGATTATTTTAAAATTAAATGTAATTTTTATTTACGTGAGCTAGCCATGGAATGATATAGACATACTCTAAATTTTATTATAAATTTATTTTAAATATATTTCTGAAATAACCGGATGTTTTCATATGTGATCGGTGAGCAGCAATCATGAAATTTTTTGAACTATGCAAATCCATACCCATCTCAACAATAATTACTTAAATTGAGAATTGTAATTTATAATTAATTATTTTTAAATTCACTTCTAGCTCGATTTCTTAATTGTTTTAATTTTCCTGTGGCGATAATTTCATCTGGCGTCATCTGTGGAATTTTAAGTTTATCAATGTTAAGTTTGTAATTTATTTTTACAATTCAAGTTTATTTTAATAATTAAATTAAATATATGTGAGATTACAATTCAAGTTTATTATTGTCAAGTTTGTAATTTATATTTATTTATAGCCAAGTTTATTTTTGTAATTTTTTGTAAAATTAAAATTCAAATTTTTCAAGTTTATTTAAGTAATATTCAAGTTTATTTATTTTTGTATTATTTTTTAAGTTTGTAGTTTATTTTACAATTCAAGTTTATTTTATTATTAAATTAAATATATATTTATAATTACAATTCAAGTTTATTTTATTATTAAATTAAATATATATTTATAATTACAATTCAAGTTTATTTTTGTTAAGTTTATAATTATATTTTTGTATAGCCAAGTTTATTTTTGTATTTATTTTTGTAAAATTGCAATTCAAGTTTATTTTTGTAATTGTATTAATCTATATTTAAAATTCAAGTTTATTATTCTTAAGTTTGTAATTTTTCAAGTTTATTTTATAATGTTACTATATTTATAATTACAATTCAAGTTTATTTATTTTTGTATATTTTTTTAAGTTTGTAATTTAATTTTTTTACAATTTCAAGTTTATTTTAATAATTGTAAACCTACATAAGGGTCCAATTCTATTTCAACATTAATTTCAATTTGAGCATCCTTCAAGTAGCTTTTTAGGGAATGTAGTGAAAGACGTTCAAAGTTAACACTAGCTTTGACTAATCCGACCTGACAAATTTAAAAATTAAGTATTCCTCATTTAAATTATTTGCCTGTTTCCACCCATAAAGTTGAATATATGTTTGGGTTGCTCTAGCCATTTCAGTTGCTGAGGTTAGCGCTACCGAGCCGAGAGTGTCGAATACTTTAAGTTTTATTTTTTATTTTCTGGAATTTTTTATTCACCCGTCCGATCAGAAAGAGCGTCGTCTCCAGAGAGGTGGGCAATAATTGGAACTTGATAAAAATTAAATTTAAACAAATTTTTTCAACAATTTACCATTCCAACGGGAAGCTAGACGTCCAATCACAAGCATTTCTTAAGGGTTTTAAAGGTTTTAAGGTTCTTAAGATTCTTAATTTTAACCATTATTGCATCCAGGACCGAAGTAAACACTAGCATTTCGCATATAATGAAGAAAAGCGGCGTGCTCTACTCCACTTAGACGATTACAGGATTCCATTGTAATCACCTTGAATTGTGCAAATTTAATTTTTAATTAAATTATTTTCAAAAATAATTTGCCTGGAAGTTGATGGAAGGAGGCAAAATAGCCCTTTCCTTCATGTCGGTATGACACATTGCTAGAACTTGGGGCTTTAAAATTTTTTGGTGAAAATTAGACTAGAAATCTACTAAAATTACCTCATTTATTATATTTGGATTATTAGGCTGTAAATGGGCTACTTTAATTACATTAGTCGTTATACTTGTTTTTATAAGGGCGATAAGAATTAATAAGTTTAATAGAGTTAAACTTATTCCGGTTGAAGCAAGTTGCATTATTAAATAGAGAAATTAAACTTTTTCCGGAAAGTTTTAGAATATACTAGAATGCTTCAAGTTTTAAAATATAGATATATTTATAAAAAATGTTTCCGGAAAGTTGAAAAATAAATACAGCTTTCCAGGAAGTTGAATATAAATACAACTTTCCGGAAAGTTGAAAAATAAATACAACTTTCCGGAAAGTTGCAAATAAATGTTTCCGGAAAGTTAATATTCAAGTTTTAAATATTCAAGTTTTAAAATATATTCAACTTAACTCTACAGTATTATACAAAGTTTTTAAAATTAATTCCGCCTGCTTCACTAACATTTAATTTAAATAAACTTTTTTTCCAGCATATTCCGGAAAGTTTTATTTTAAAAAATACAGTCTATCGTTATAAATAAAATGCTGTAATTCTGATAGAATATATAAAACTTTAATTCTGAAATAGATAAAGTAGGGTATTTAAGTAATATAAAAAGTAAAAAGAGGAATTAAATGGATGATTTGACATTTTTAGGATTATGCCCAAAGAAATGCGCGAGATTTTTAAGTTTGTGACGCTAATGACTTTTTAATGGATATTTTAATACTTTTTAATATTTTTTTAAATTTGTAATACTAGTATAAAATAATTAAAAATAAATTTATTTTTTAAAAATAAAATTTTTTGACGTCAAAAATAAAATTTTTTTGGGATTTTTGGACGTCTGGGACAATAAAATTTAATTTAAAAAATATTTTTGTTATCAACAATTTCACGTCTTGTTTCATTAAATCAAAAAAAAAAGCTCTTTAGCATTCCTCCAGTAAAGGATTCTGCATGTCACGAAAGGCGTCAACAAGTTTACGCACAGTTTGACGCTAAAATAATAATTTTAATAAAATAGTCAAACTTAATTCACATCTTTTATATTTCCGGGAAATATTTAAAGATTTCTGGAATGTATCAGGGAGAAAATATAGGTATTTTCTATTTTCCGGAATTTGTAGAATTAAATTTTCCGGAATTGTTATATATTTATTAAACTCAAAGGAGAACTTTATAAACTTTCCGGAAAGTATCTATTTTCCGGAATTCTTATATTAAACTTTAAATAATTGTAAATACTTTTCGGTATAATTCCGGAAAATTATTTACAATTTGTAATCTATTTTCCGGAAATTTTTACAAATTGTAAATAAAGTTTCCGAAATTGTTAAGCATAATAAAATACAATATTTATACATTTTCCGGAAAGTATTTATACATTCCGGAATTCTTAATATACATTTAATATAAAGTTTCAAGTCTAAAGTTTATAAAATACATCAAACACCGTAATCTACCAAATGACGAAACAAAAATATTTTTAGTGTATTAATAAAGGAATTTAAAAATACTTAAACCCAAGCGTCAACTTAATCCCAACATTAAAATGTCATTTAAAGAATTTATGCTTCCTTGTTTTATTTTGAGGTGAATTACGTAAATAGAGGCTATTAAGACCTTATAAAAAAAATTTTTTTTAATTTTTCAAAAAAAATTTCAAAAATTTTTCAGAAATTTTTCAAAAAAATTTTTTTCGATCACTATAATATTCTACCTGTACATTAGAACTACTAAAAACGCTCTCCACCATTCCATTAGGTTCCTCCTTTTTAGGTCCACTATTATTTCTAACTTCATCCACAACTTGTTGTAGCCACCTTTCTGCCTGTTTTAACACAGATTCTCTTTTAGCCCAAAAATGTCTTTTAATTATATCCCGAAAATAAATTGGGCCATTTTTCCATTGTTCGTATATTGCATAGACTAGAGTTGCATTTTCTATGTGTAAATTGTATTTTCGAGAATTTTCGTCTCCTTTTGTAGTTCCTTGACCTTTTTCAAATCCTGGCTCGTTGAAATAGGGCTGGTGGACAAATATGAGTCCCTAAAATTGGTTGGTAATAAATTACAGGGAAAACAAAAAGTTTCCGGAAATATTTATATTTTCCGGAAACTTTTACAAATGTTTTCCGGAAAATATTAGTAACAGTTTCCGGAAAACATTTGTAAAAGTTTCCGGAAAATATAAATGTTTCCAGAAGCATTTAGATTTTTCAGAAACTTTTCCGGAAACAATTATATTTTCAGGAAATTTTACAAATGTTTCCGGAAAAATAAATGTTTCAGAAAAAAGATAATCTTTCCGGAAAATATTTGTAAATGTTTCCGGAAATCATTTGTAAAACTTTCCGTAAAATATAAATGCTTCCGGAAATCATTTGTAAATTTTCCGGAAACTTTTGCAAATGTTTTCCGGAAAATAGATGTTTCCTGGAAAAACATTTGTAAAAGTTTCCGAAAAAAGTTTCCGGAAACGACAAATCCTTCCGAAAACTTTTACACCTATTTTCCAGATAATACAAATCTTTCCGGAAACATTTGTAAAGGTCTCCGGTGAAAAATTTTATTCACCTGAATAGAAATTAAGACTTGAAGAAGGGAACATAGAGGACTCCATTTCTCCTCTGGCCTTCCTTCCCATGTGCCTAGAATTGAAAGACAGATTTTGCCGTCGTTGTACAAATTTGGGTTGAAACTGAGGGAAAATTGGAAGAATAAAATTATTTAAAAAAATTAAATACTCACCGAACATTACCAGACCCTGTAGTAAGAAATGAGCATTTTGGAGGTTGTTGCGGGTAATTTACAGGGAAAAACACGTCAAACTCGAACAGTCCATTCTGGTAGGGAGTATCGTCTGGACCACTTATTAATACCTTAAGAGTTAATTTTTGATAGGAAAATATTTTTAATTAATGCCTTTAACATATCACATCTAGTTTCGTCCATACAAATAAAAATGGCGTTTGAAGCATTTAAAGGAAGGGAATTGTGCATTGAAGAAAGTTCCCTAAAAAAATATGAAGTTTGAACTTTTTAAAATGTTTCCGGTAAATAAACTTGTGTTGTAATGATATTTGTAAATTTTCCGGAAAACATTTTAAATTCTTTAGTATACCGTATTTACTCGAATAATTCCCCTGGGGAATTATTTTTTTCAACCCATCCGTAGCATGGGGTATTATTCAAGGAAGGGGAATTATTCGAGTTTTGAAATTTGAACGTGTAGTAGTGTATTTGGGAGAGGGGATTATTGTTTCAACTCATCCGTAGCATAGGGAATTATTCAAGAAAGGTGAATTAATCGAGGGAGGGGAATTAATCGAGTAAATATGGTAATAAAGATGCTTCAGGAAAATATCAAAAAGTTTCCGGAAAATGTACACGTTCACAGAAACATTTATAATTGTTTCCGGAAAATAAAAGTGCTTCCAGAAAATACATAGGTATTTGTAAAAGTTCCGGAAATATTAATATTCTCGGAATACAATTGTAATAGTTTCCGGAAAATATTTATTAAATTTCCGGAAAATTATTATGTGTTTCCGGAAAGGAAAAATTAACGTTTCGCAATACAATTGTAATAGTTTCCGGAAAATATTTGTAAATGTTTCCGGAAAATTATTATTTGTTTCCGGAAAAAGTTTATATTTTCTTAAACTTCGCCTTCTTACTTTGCAATCCTTTTAGTTCTATCCTTGTGCGTAGGCGAGAAAGGATTGACAGAACGAAGCTCTTTTTTGAAGCTAAATCCATAGACTGGTTTACCCGCATCATTAATCAATCTACAAAATTTATTTTATTTTTAAAATTTTATTTTTTTTACTTCCAAGTACTCATTTGCAATTCTCTCAACAATTCCTTATATTGTTGTAGAGGTGATTGGGCATCAATTCTGGCGATTTCTTCTCTATCCATGTGTCTAGTCATTGGTCTAATGCCTCTACTCGATTTTAATCTGGCTGAATGAAAATCTCCTCCTCCTCCCCCACCTCCATTTTTCCCCACTCCCTCAGACAGTCCTGTATGAGAAGCTGTTTTGTGTAACGGAGATGATGGGGAGGATTCTTCAGAATTGTCATTATTTAATTTTCCAAGTTCAGCAATATTTGCAAAAGAATTAGAATTTCGTTCTATTGTTGTATTTGTCGTTAAATTTGAAGGAAATAGAGAACGCCGACGACGCTGAAAAGCTGCGGCGTTTTGCTGCCCGTTTTTTACTCTTAAAAAGTGGCGGGGAGCACAGGAAGTTTTTACTCGTTTTTCTGTTGGAAGTTGTTTCTCGTATTGGCGAGACATTCGAAGGATTACCTTTTGGGGAAAAAGATTTTTTAATAGTTAGGAATACAGGCCTCCGGAAAACATTTATAAAGGTTTCCGATGTTTCCGGAAATATAGATCTTTCCGGAAAATAAACATTTACGGAAAGTTTTTCCGGAAACTTGTATTTAATATTAGTTTCCGGAATGTACATATAAAGGTTTCCGGAAGACTTTTATAAAAGTTTCCGGAAAATAATTTGTCGCTCTTAATAATTCCAAGGTAAATATTTTTTTTAAAAACTACCTCAGAGAAATCATTAACTTTTCTTATAAAATCCATAAAAGAAATATCTGCTTCCGTTATTCCTCTCACCAACATTGGGTAATTGTTCATATTATCTCGAAATTGGGGAATTAATTCTTTGGCGATAGATTTTCCGTTAGATTTTTCTTCTTGTTTGACTAAATGGGGTAATATTGCCGGGATTCCTGCCAATCCTGCTGTTAACTCGAAGAGAACCTGAGAATAAACTTGGATTTAATAAAAATTATTTTCTCTGCCTGATATAACGGAATATGTTGCGAGACGTCTAAAACCGAATCATTGCTTAAATGATGTGCTAGCAAGGGAATAACTGCGGATTGTAATATTTGTTCTGCTAAAATTTCCTCTTCCAAATGTGCAGGCATTTCTCCATAAAACATTGAGGGAACGGAACGCCGTCGTTCACCTCCCTTATAACCTAGGGACATTTCCCAGTCACAAACACGTTCCAAAAGACGGTCCCCCCACAAATAGGCAATTAGAGCTGATAACAGCCAAATTAAATGTTCTTCTTGTATTGCACGTTCTTCAACTGTTCTTTCCATGCTTTAAGGGAAAAAATATTTTTTAATATTTTTTAAAAAATATACTCACTTCCACTTTGATTTTGTAGATCCTCTTCCATACCCAATACCTCTAAGTTTATTTGGTTCTGCGCTCCCTGGCCTAAATTTTAATTAAAAATTGTGTTAGGGGTTTATTTGCAAACTTAAAACTTAAACTTAATAAACCTAGACTTAAACTTAAAAATAAATCAGAATTACAATTAACGATTTAATTACAATTTATGACCAGAAATTTAATTCAAGTTTATTTAATCAAGTTTATTTTGTAATTCTGGTTATTCCAAGTTTATTTTACTAGTTAATTCTGATTTATAATTTCAAGTTTGTAATCTCAAGTTTAATTTTAAAAGTTTATTTATTTCCAAGTTTATTTACTTAAATTATTTCAAGTTTGTAGTCTTAAGTTTATTTCAAGTTTATTTTTAATTACCTTTTTCTGGGTGGTTGCTTAACATCTTTTAATGCACCTTTTGCCTGTTGCGTGCTACTCCTACGACTTCCCGTCTTTCCAGCTTTATTACCCCCAATAATAAATTTTTTCCGACTTTCCCTTTCTTCTTCAATTTCTTCAGTTTTTACTTTTTGTTGATTTTTGTCTATTAAATTTAAATTATTTTCAATCCCAGAAACGTCAACACTGTGACGTTGATGTTGTTTAGAAGAATCAAAAATTGGGCTAGATGGAGGAGGTAAATCAAGATTACAATGTTCGTTGATTAATAGGCAAATGCGTCTGAGAACGCCACATTGAAGCATTTGTTCTTTTTCTTCACTGGTAGCGGAAGCAAGAAGCTAAGGGAAAAATTCTGATTTTAAAGTTTTAATTCTGATTGTAATTTAAATAATTCTGTTTTAGTAATTCAAGTTTTATATTTTGAATTTAATTCAAGTTTAATTTCTCATACTGATATTCTGATTTTTTAATAGCAATTCAAGTTTATTTTATTCTATTCAAGTTTATTAAATCCAAGTTTACATATTCAAGTTTATTTTATTCTATTCAAGTTTATTAAATCCAAGTTTACATATTCAAGTTTATTTAATTCAAACTTGCTAAACTCAAGTTTATTAAAAATCAAGTTTATTATATTCTATTCTTTTTTAATTCTGATTTTATAACTAGGTTTATATAATTATTCCAATTCAAGTTTTATTTTTGATATGTAATTTCATAATTCTGATATTAATTACAAATTCAAGATATTTAATTAATTCAAGTTTATTTTATTCATTTCAAGTTTATTTATTTTCAAGTAAATTCAAGTTTATTATTAAATTCAAGTTTATTTTATTCTATTCAAGTTTATTTTTTTAATTCTGATTTTTCATACTTGTACTGCTCTTTGCATTCCATAATTGTTTTTCATAGGTTTCCGACCAACCAACTTTAATATTCTGTTAATCGTTTCATCCAAAGTAGGTTGTTGTTGCTCGTGGAAGTGATCGCGAGGGGAAGAGCTAGGTGAACTAGAGGGGGATGTACACGAAGATGAATGTACTGTTCCCATTATATTTTTAAATAAGCGATCTAATATTCGACCAAGAGAATTTGGGCAGACTAAAAATTGAAAAAAAATTTTTTTTTGATAATTTTATAGAAAATTGGGATTTCTGATTTTTCTTATAGAAAAAAAATCTAAAAATTTTTCTTAAGAGAAAAAAAAATTTTTAAGAACAGGTGATTTTTAACTGTACTTAAAATAAATAAATTTTATTACCAAACAATTACCATTTTTTAATATTTAATTAAAACCTACCCATTTTTTGTCTCAAAAAAATTTTTTTATGAAAGGTGGTAATTTAATTTATATTAAAAGGGGAAAATTAATTTAATCAGAAAAAAAATAATTTTAAAGTTTTTAAAGAAAAATTTAAGGGAAAATATTTTTATAAACCTACTAATTATTAAAGTTGGTAAATAAGTTTTAAAAATACAAACTTAAAAAAAATAAGCATTGTCGTCAATACTTATTAGTGAGAAAATAAAGGGAAAGGCGGATAAACAAGATATATAAAAAATATTTTTATTATATTTTTTTTAATTAATAAGAAAAAGAAAAGAGGGGGATATATTTGGTTTAATAATTAATTTATTTTTTTATTTTTATTTATGGTATATTTTTATTATACATAATGCTTTCCAGAAACATCAGAAACATTTGCAAATGACTTCCGGAAACTTGCATTTTTTGGAAAATTTATAAATTCTTTCCGAAAACATTTATATTTTCCGGAAACATACAAATGACTTCCGGAAACTTTATATTTAAGGTTGTAAAGTTGGTAAAAACAAGTTTTAAGTTTAAATAAGTTTTACAATCACAAACTTGAAACATACTAAAAATAAACTTGAAAACCTATTTACAATTGTAATATGTTCATAATAAAGTTGGTAATCAAGTTTTGAAAATACAAACTTGAAACTTACTTTTAAACTTATTTACAATAAGCTTAAGTTTATTTTTTATTTGCTTAAGTTTATAAGCTTAAGTTTACCCTTAAGTTTATTTACAATGTCTTATTTAGAATTGTAATTTTATTCATAATTTTATAATTGTAAAACTTGATTATTATTCAAGTTTGTAAAACTTTACAGTATTTATTTAATTAATTGTTTAGGTAACGCAGACAGGTGGAACATGTAAAAATATTTTTAAGTAAAACGTTCTAATAGTTGCCAATGAAACATTGCAAAATTAAATATTTATATATAAATATTAAAGTAAAATGCGATTTCGTGCCATTAAGTATTATTTAATTATATATATTTATTTAATGCCAAGATTGAAAGGCAAATGAGAGAATGGCAAGAATTGTTAAAGAGAAAGAAATGGTTTGGCTACTACAAATTTGAGGGAGTCTTTTGGAGAGAAAATTAATTTTTTAAATAAAAATAATATTCGTAGGCTTGGTTACCTTAAAAATAAATTTTTTTTGTCCTGTATAAAATATCCTTATCTTAAAAAAATAAAATTATATTATCTGGGAAAAATAAATAGATTTTTTAAAAATATAGTAAAGATTAGGATGGGTGAAAAAAAAAGTTTTTTGTGCTTAACTCGCAAAATTTAATTAAAAAAAATATTCTCAATTTTACAGAAAGTCTAAAAATGAAATTTAAAAAAGAAAAGAGAAAAAAATTTTTTTAATGAGAAATTTTAATGAAGGAAATAAAAATTAAAAAGTAAATGAGAAGCTTTGATGCAAATTAACAAGAGTCTTATTACTTTTCTCTCATGTTAAACTACAAATTGTAAAACATTAGAATTAATAGATGAGGGGAATACAAGCTATGAAATATTAGAAAGGAGAGAGCGATATATTAAAACTTGATTAAAACCTTTTTTGATTAGTAAAAATTTTTTACAATTTGTAAAACTTATTTAAATTTGTAAACTTAATTCAAGTTTATTTAAACTTGGTTAGAACTTATTTTCAATTGTAAAAACCTTTTCTAATTTATGAAACTTTTTTTACAATTTGTAAAACCACCTAATTCAGGTTGTAAACTTAACTCAGGTTTATTAAAAGTTGTTTGAAACTTGTTTTCGTTTGTAAAACTTTTTTTACAATTTGTAAAACCTAATTCAAGTTATAAACTTAGTTTCTATTATGAAACTTATTGTTCCAACTTGTTTAAATTATTAGAGAAAAAAGAAGATTGTAATAAGCTAAAAATACTAAAAATAATTAAAATAAAATATTTGTAAAATTTGTAAATTGTTGGAAAGTCAATTTAAAATTAAATAAGAAGAATTTTTCAATTTTAATCTCTTATAATAATATGTATTAATCCCTTTCACAACTCTATAAATAGCTTATATTTAAAAAAATGAATTTTAGTATTTATTAATAGAGTTATTGACGTTATTAATTTTTATTTTTAAATTTAGAAATATTATTTTTGTAAAATTTAAAAGTTAGGTATATTTTTAATTAAAAATAGATAAAAAATAAAATTTAAAAAAATTTCAAAAAAAATTTTTTTAACTGAAAAAAATATATTTTTTTCATTGATACTATTAAAAATTCTCATTATTTACAAAATTCTTAGAATTAAAAAAAAATTCTTTTTTTTATTTCAATAAATAGAGAGACTAATTGATAAAGCTAAAAATAATTTTTAAAAGAAAGGAAGAGAAAGTTGAGGACAATTATTGACACAAAATTGTAAAAGGAAACATTCAAGTGTGTTAAATTTGCATAAAAAAGAGTAAAGTTTAAAAAAGCCTAAAATATCTCTTCCTTTTTGAATAATTAATTTTACAAATTGTAATTTATAATTGTAAAAGTTAAAACTTTAAATAAAACTTAAGTGCGCAATAATGAAACTTTACCGTAAACTTAAGTTTATAATTAAACCTTAAATAAAACTTAAGTTTATAATAATAAAACTTGACCATAAACTTAAGTTTATAATTAAACTTAAAGTAAAACTTAAATGTGCAATAATAAACTTATCAGGAAACTTGAGTTTATAAATAAACTTTAAATAAAACTTAAGTTTATAATAATAAAACTTGACCATAAACTTATGTTTATAATTAAACTTTAAATAAAACTTGATTGTAAAATTTAAGCGTAAACTTAAGTTTACTTTAAATTTAAGTGTATAAATTTAATTTTACATTAAATAAAATATAAATAAACTTTTTCCTTACACATTAATATTGAAAAGTCCTTCCGGAAAGTTTTAATAATTCTGATGATTTTTTTAAATTCTGATATTTAGGAAGCAATATTAAAAAATCAGAAAATAAATTTAGTTGTTTATTGAAATAAATTAGAATTAAAAAATATTTAAGTGTATTTGTAATTAAAATATTTTTAATATTTTTAATAAGTATAAATCAATTTAATAAATATAAGACTTTAGCTTGTTTAGAAATTTACGTAATTCTGGGGACAGGTGAAAATTTTCTTTAAAAAATAATTTTTTAAGTTAAGAAGAAAATCTGTTTATATTATAATTTAATTAAAAATTAAAATAAGTGGGAGCGCCACTTTTTTATCCCATGACTACCAACAAATCTGCGCATATAAACACAAAATTGTTGGGTAGACCACAGACTCCGTTAAAAATAACGCCTGTATTTAATTTAATAAATAGTTAAATACATTTAAATGTCATGTATGCATCAGAATTAGAACTTTTTTCAGAAATATTAAAACTTTCCGGAAATATAAATATTAGTATTAATTTTCCGGAAGTATATATCAGTTATAAATTTAGCTTTCCGGAAAAATCATATTAATATTAAAACTTTCCGGAAATGGCATAGGTATTAGTAAACCTTCCGGAATTTTCCGGAAATATTAATAGTACAACTTTCCGGAACAGAAATATAAAACTTTCCGGAAGTATTTATATAAGCCATAATTTTCCGGAAAAATCACATTAATATATTACAACTTTCCGGAAACAAAAATATAAAACTCACTCTAACCAAAACTTTCCGGAAACAATAAATTAGAATTAAAAATCAGAATTTTATTTCATTCCAACTTTTTATTACTCTTTTTCTCCCTTCTTTCCCTTAAATAATCCTTGAATTGAACAAATACAAACAGACAGAAAAGAAACAAAGGTTGAAGCAGAGGGACAAGTAACGGGAAAAACAAAGGCACATAAACCCCTTAAAATTATAAAAATATTTTTAAATTAATTTTTATTTTTTACCATATTTTTGATCAGACGGGAAATTTAATAATTCAAGTAGAGAATGGTGTGTATTTGCTAATTCAGCAAAATAACGTGCTTTTGAAGCAGATTTGAAATCTTTTTTTTAAATAATTTTGTTTTAATTAATTTTTTTTAAAATTTATTCACCAATTTCTTCTTCATTTTGAGTCAATTGTTTATAACACTTTAAAAAATACAATTTTGCTGAAGCAGCATAACCTGCAACTTCATCAGAAATTACTAGATCTTCTATTTTAGAAGCTACTAAAAATTAAATAAAATAAACTTTAAAATAATTTTTAAATAAACTTTAAAATAAACTTGAAACTTATTTCAGAAATATTAAAACTTTCCGGAAGCTTCAAGTTTTGATAAATTAAAAGTTTCAAGTTTTGCTTCAAGTTTCGGAAAGAGTACATTAATAATAAAACTTTTCCGGAAACAAAAATAAAACTTAAATAAAATAAACTTTGAAATAAATAAACTTTTTTTCCGGAAAATGTTTCAAAAAAAAGTTTGCAATTCCGGAAAATGTTTCAGTTACAATTCCGGAAAATGTTTCAGTAAAGCTAGAATATTTTCCCTCATATTTATTTCTCCTGACTTTTGAAGTTTTTTTGAAAATAAACTTTTAAAAATAAGCTTACATTCATTTAAAGCATTTAATGAATTTAAGGTTTGTAACAAATTATAAATTGTTAATCTTTTTTGATGTTGCTTCAATGTTTCAATTAAATTTGAATTATTAATTGGAGGGATTGATAATTGTTTAAAAATAATTCCCATAATTGAATTTAATAAAATTGTTTCATCTGCTTCATTTTGATGAAAACAAACACCTCCCCAACTGGCTATTGCTAAACCAGTTGATAAAGTCTAAAATTAAATGAAAAATGCTTCAAAATTTAATAGAAAAATTTCAAGTTTTAAAAAAGTTTTGCTTCAAGTTTTAAATAAAACATTCCGGAAGAAGCACATTAATATTTTAAAACTTTCCGGAAAATAATAAATTCAAGTTTTAAATAAATTCAAGTGTAAGCTTAAATTAAAGTTTTAAAGTTTCTGCTTCAAGTTTTAAAAATTCAAGTTTAGATAAATTAACCTTTAATTAATTCAAGTTTTGTTTCAAGTTTTAATAAAAATAATTCAAGTTTTAATATTGCTAAGAATTGTAAAAAAAAGTTATGCTTCAAGTTTTAATTTTAAATAAAAATTACAATTCCGGAAAAGTTTTCCGGAAAGTTGGTAAATTAATAAATGTTCAATTTCAAGTTTAAACTTAAATTCAAGTTCTCAAGTTTTTGCTTCAAGTTTTAAAAATTATAATTCAAAGCATCACCCCTTCATTATCAACAATTCTAATTGTAGGTTCTTCCTTGTCATTTTCTTCTACTTTTGCTTGTTTCTCATTTTCAAAAAATATGGCAATCTTTAGTAAAGGTTCCGGGCCCAATGGTTGTAATATATAACGATCTAAAGCTGTTGCTAGCTTTGCAGATAATTGTTGGTCAGTCAATTTTTTATTTTTAGAAATTATTTTCTTCAAAGAAAAATCCCATAAATGTTCACAACTGAGGTTAACTTGAAACAAAAAAAAATTTTTTTTTAATTAAAAAATCTCCTTTCTCACTTTCAACACCTCCATTAACTGCCAAAATCTTCTTTGTAAACAAATCAATTTTGCTTAAAACATTTTTTGATAAATTAACAAATTTTTCTGGTTGAGAGTGAATAAAAACTAGATGAACATTGTATAGGGAATTTAATTGTAAATTATTCCAAACATTGTTGTCTTCATCATTTTCTAGTTTATTGGGGGAGAATTGAAGCAATCTCTGGAGAAAAAAGTTTAGAAAGGTCGTGTTTCAAGTTTTTGCTTCAAGTTTTATTTTTAAGTAAATTACAATTCCGGAAAACGTTTCCGAAAAGTTGTAATATATTTTCTCTTGCATTTTATCTATTAATGCTTCCGGAAAGTTTAATTAAACTTCTTCTATTAAAATACTTAAAACTTGAAAATTACAATTCCGGAAAGTTGGAATATTATTTTGTATTATACTGAGCTTCCGGAAAGTTTGCATTATTTTTCAAGTTTTATAAAACTTGAAATAAAACTTGAAGCAAACATTTTCTACTTCATAAATTCCAACCTTTTCCAAATCAGAAGTAAAATCAACTTGAAAATAGGGTAGTAAAGCACGATAAGGTGTAGTGGTTATCCACCTTAAAAGAAAGGAAAAGTTTCATTTACAAAAATAATTCCGGAAAATGTTTCCGGAAAGTTTGGAGTTTACTCTTTTATATTCCCTTGTATTTTATTTTCCGGAAGGTTGATATTAAATGTTTCCGGAAAGTTTATAATTAATTTTCTCTGCTTCTTTTTTATTAATTAAGTTTTCCGGAAACTTAAAATGTTTCCGATTTTTTTATTTGCTTCCGGAAAGTTTGGGTAATTTTCCCTACTTTTCCTCTCTTATTTTATTAATTATCAAGTTTTCCGGAAAGTTTAATTTTCTTCTTGTTTCTTTTAAAAACCCCTCCCTACCAAACAGGCAGCCCAATAACAACAACAACAAATAAAAAAGCAAAATACGAAATTCTTCTAAATAAATTTCTTTCTTCTCTTTTTCAGTAAATTCTACCTTTAAAAATTTAAAATTAATTTTTAAAAATATTTTTAAATTAAAAAAGAACATTATTTGTTAAATAAAGTTGGAATTTATGCATAAAATGAGCAAAGCGTCCACTTGGTCCAATAGACATTTAAAAAAAATTTTTTAATTCTTTAAATAATTTTAAAATTAACTTTTGACAATTCTAATTTAATTTCTAAATTAAAAAAAAATTTTTTTTTTAAATTTAAATTAAATAAAAATATTAAAAAATATTTATTTTTTTCAATAATTAATTGATATATCCTACCAAAAAAAATAATTAAAAAAAATATTTTATTATTATTGATACTCTTCTTAAAAATACATACATATATGTATAAGTAGAATATAATGAAAGGCATAGAAAATTAGAAAAAATTAAAAAAAAAGAATTTAAGGTAGATACAAATTTGAAAATAAATTCCAGTGCGTGTATTCGAGTTAAAGCTTGAGAGAGAAAAATTTATTTTCAAGATTTTGTTGTAAATAAAATCTTTTTTCTTATTTTTTATCAAGCTTAAACTTGTTCAACACTGAAAATAGCATCCATAAAAAATTTTAAAAAAATATACAAATTTATAAAAGCAATGAAAAGAAAAGTCTCCTGAATTTTTGCGAAAAAATAGTAAAAGACAAGAAAGCATATATAAGTAATTTAAAATTTAAAAATAAAAAGAAAGCGCTTTAGAAAAATGTATTTTTGAAAAAAATATAAAAAAAGGGGGCCGGTCCATCAGAAAATTAAAAAAAAAATTTCGACCCAGGAATGTTTAAAAAAAATACTGGCAGTATTTAAAAAATTTTGATAAAATGTAAAAAAACTAAACTTTTTGTTGTCTCCGAAATCCCGTCAATTTTTTTTCAAGTTCGTCTAGTCCATTTTGCACGTTGGGCAAAAATATCACTACGCAAGTCTTGTGCAAAACAAATACCGAGAAACTGAAAAAATAAAAAGGAAAATTTTAAAATAATTAGAAAAATAAATTTCTGGAAAGTTGGGGGAATTTCGAAATTGGATTTTTTATTTTCCTTTCGGAAAAAAATTATTTAAATTTTGGAAATGTTTTTCCGAAAAATTAAAAGTGAATTTATAATTCCCTTTTTTCACAAGCTTAAAATATAAAGATACAAATAAAATATTTAATAAAAAAAATTTCCAGAAGATCGGAAAATATTTAAGTTCTTTCCCAGCTTTCCAGAATTTTTAAATAAAAAATAAAATTAATTTAAAAATAAAAACCTGTACAACAGCAACAACAAAAACAGCAGCCCCCACATAGAGAAAATTGTTGTTTAGCCAAGACTGAAGTTTAGGTAAACACCCTTCAATGTGTATATTGCTATGATAAAATTGTTTTGGACCCTTTTGAAAAAAAAATTTTTTTTGAATTTTTAAAATAGACAAAAATTACGTTATCAGAATGGCTAACACGTGTCTGAAAAAAATAAAGAAAAATTATTAAAATTTTTAAATAAATTTAAAAATGTTTAAAATCAAAATGTCACACCCCTTTTATTATCATTACTTAAGGGGATAAAGAACTGGCCAAATCAGTTCAATATTCTGGTCTCGAGAACTGTTGGCCGGTTTTCCATCCCCCTTCTCCACCCATTTTTATTTTAAATAAATTTATTAAAAAGAGCTCTTTCGTTTGAGTTTAAGCAGGCGCGTCCCAACTGTGGCGTCCCACGACTGGGGCCCAACGCCGACCTGTTGATCGGTATTTTCAGACAAAAATTTAATAAAAAAAATTAAATTCTTACCGCATATCCACAGGCATAATTAATAAAAGTTTTGTCCACATTTTTACAACAGGAGTAGGGGACACCACCAGCCTTTAAATGCAAAAAAAAATTAGAAAAAAAATTTAAAAAATACTTCAGGGGATTTTAAAGCTTTAGCAGAAGCATTAAAATAAATATTTTTGTCCCAATCATCAGGATCGCTTATTCCACAACATTGAAAATCATTTTGCATCCAGTCAATAATTGTTTGCAAATCTGGGTCGTCACGGTAATGGACAATCTTTCGAATTTTTAAAATTAATATAAAAAAGATTTTTGGTCAAAAAAAATTGTAAAGATAAGGTGAGATTCTGCGGACATTTCTTCACCTTCGTTATCCTATTTATTCTTCGCCTAATTATTTGTCCAATCTTTTCAAGAGTGAACGCTTAAACCAAGGATGGACCAGAATTAAGATAGAAAAATGCCGAGCCGAAATTCGAGTTGGGTTTTCAAACTTTTCTTCGGATAGGGATTCGAGTCTAAAAAGACATGGGTGCTAATATAAACCACACCCAATCCGGACCCTGTGGAAGTCATTCAATTATCCCCAAAAGAAATTATAAGAAAAGTCAACAGGAACTTTTAACAAATGGAAAAAATCCAAAAAAAACTCCCCAAAAAAGTTAAAATTCTAAAAAAACAAACCATGCTATCCAATCGATTTCCCAAATCATTTTCAACAAAATCTTTAGCAACAAAAGCTAGCACAACAATTAAGGCTTCTGTGAGTAACAATAAACCAAGAATGGAGGAGTAAATAGCCAAGAAACAAGTATTTTCGCGTAGAGCGCCAACACAACCTTTAAAAAATTAAATTGAAAATTAGGGAAATTTAAAGAAAAATTTAAGAAAAAAACCAGAAAATCCAATTGACCAAATAATTGCTCCAACAATAATCAAAACCCAAGCTGGATCCAAATAGAATAGTGCCAATTGACTGTACAAATTGTTCTTTTCAAGGCGCGACCATAAACCGATGCCTAACAGGAGAAAGCCGAGAGCCCAGAAAACAACGTTGAAACTGGACAAAAAGGTTAAAAATTAGTTAGAGTTAAAATGGGGTTGGAAACAAATAAAGGGAAAATACTGACAAGGAACTATCGCAAACTACCACCAAAAATTTTGCGATGAAACATACGCCATTGTGTAGAGCAGGGCCGATTTCCTATTGCTAGTTTTTCTCTTTTTCGGCCTTATGCTACGGTTACATAAAAAACGCTAGACGCCGGCGGAAGACGCTCGGCGTCAAGACGCCGGCGGAAGACGCTGTTTCGTGGTTACATAAAATCGGCGTCTTCCGCTAAGCGGGAAGACGCAAAGCGTCAAAACGCTAGTTTTATGTAACCACAAAACAGCGTCTTCCGCCGGCGTCTTGACGCCGAGCGTCTTCCGCAAAACGCGCGCGATTTTATGTAACCACTAAATCCGATTAAAAATTTTTTTAAATATTTATCATACTAAAATAAAATTTATAAAATCAAATCATTTTATTCTGCCATGGTACCGATCAGGGGTGGCGCTCCTCTCGTATCTCGTGAAATCTCGTGTTTTTTAGAGGTCATAAAGTAGAATTGACGAGCCCTACTCATCAAGAAATGGTCACTTTTTCATGTTTTTGGTATCATTTGATAGAGAATCAAAAGCTCTACAACATATCAAAAAATCAGTATTTTTGACCGATTGATAAAAAAGTTATATAAATACTCGATAGCATACTGAATATCTCAAAAATATCGAAAAAAGAATATTTTTTGCAAAAAGTATACCTTTTTCAAATCAATTTTAACACATAAAATTTAACTTTAAAAATATAAAATTTATATTGATCGATAGAGAATGAATTGAATTTTCAGAATCTTTTTAAATTTTGAAAATCGCATTAGAATTGGCCGAGAAATGATCAAGACGCTAAAAGTTGCCGCAAAAAATTCAAACATGTTTGAATTAAAAAAAGAGACGCCGGCGTCAAGACGCCGGCGGAAGACGCATTTTATGTAACCACTCAAAAAAGCGGCAAGACGCCCGGCGTCAAGACGCCGGCGGAAGACGCGGGTTATGTAACCACTCAAAAAAAGCGGCAAGACGCCGGCGTCTTGACGCCGGCGGAAGACGCAGTTTATGTAACCACTCAAAAAAAGCGGCAAGACGCCGGCGTCTTTTACTCTCTTCATTTCCCATTATCTTTTCTGCCGCAAGACGCGCGCGTTTTTTATGTAACCGTAGCATTACCCCCAAATCGGAAAGTTATAGGGCTTCAAAGTAATACCCCCATTTCTTTACTTTTCCTTGACCATTTTTTACATTTCCTCTAGATAATCTAGAGTGTTGCAGAAGTCCTAACCTAACCCATGAATATCTTACTTTTTGTCGAAATTCGATTCGATTAGGTCCTACAACACTTGTTTCAAAAATATAATTAAATATTTAATCCAAATATTTTCCAAATAATTAATTTATTCCAACAATAAATAATAATATAAATCGTAGAGAAAGGGATTTAGTTTAGATTAATACATAAAGAAAGAATGATTGAACTCCAAAGAAAGGGAAAAATACATTTAGTTTTATAGGAAGTTAATTAGCGCCACCAAGGGCGATCATTCTTTCCTATTCTCAAGCTTAGTCATCGCCGCTAAGGGCGGAAATATTATACTAGCACAAATGAATGAGAAACTTAATCGCTACAAAGAGAGAAAAAATGATTAAGTTTAAAGAGATAAGGGGACAAAGATTAAAAAAGAAAGAAAATGGAACACGTGAAAAATATGTAAAATAAATAAAAATTTATTACTATTTTACTAAAAATGTCGAACTTCGACATCCTCCCACTTTAAGAGAAATTGGTTCCAGACATCTTTCTTTTGTTCTTTGCATCCTTGGCATTTGTGCGCATATTCTTACTGACCAGTTTCTGCCGAAGTTTGCCATTTGTTGCATTGCTAGGTTGTTTACCTGCTTAGCTGAGGCTCCAACGCCTAATTTATTGCATGGTTCCTTCGTTGGTTCTGCAAAGTTTTTACTGGGATAAAATTCCCGAAATCGGTTTTTGCTGCTATTGCTCTCAAAGGAGCTTTGAGGTCCCGCATTAATTGCTCCATTTGAATTTTTCTTACCTAAATCTTTATTCTTCACTGACATCAGCGGGGTACCCATTCTGTTCAAATTACTGAGAATTGAGTGTAGATTTTCAGGCTCTTTAAATGACGTGACATTAGTTAGGCCATGAATCTCTAGTCCCTCAAACGGTTTAATCCAAACAATTTTCTTCAAAATTTTCTTATACTCGTTTGCCTTTTTCAGGACTTCAAACAGTCCTTTGTTAATGCTTTGCGTCCACACTACCAACGTGTCTACGCTTCTAGTGAGCTGAATCTCTCTATCGAAGAGATTCGCGTCCCAGGATATTGGTTTAAAAACCATTCCTCTTATATTTTCCTTTCTTAATATTTTTCGAAGCTCTAAGGCTTTATTATCTCCAATAACCACTATAGGTGACCTTGCCACTAACGGCATTCTGTTGATGCTTGTTCGCGTTCTAACACGCGCTTTCCGTTTTATACTAGACGGTCTCTGTTCGTCCTCTAATGGACTTATTATTGCATTAGATTTCACATATTCCAATTTTTGGTTACTAACAACCTTATTCGCGCATATATAATTCTTAATTTCCTCATCTATCTCGCTTTCAGTTTCCAAGGGTTCCTTACTAAGAAGGTCCAGGCATATTTTTTTCTCATTTCCAACATTGATTCTTTTTTCAATTTCCGTATTCGATTTTTTACTGGTGGGTACGCTCAATACCGATGACGTATTTGTCTCATCGTAGATCCGGTCTCATCGTAGATCCCTCCCCCCTCAAAAATTTTTTGCGACGCCTTTTCGGTTCTAACTCCGTCATTATCTAGTTGATCACCGCTAACCTCTAAGGGTCTATCATAATGATCTGTTTCAACGGACTTTAAAGCTCCGACAATTTCTTTTTGTGTAGCCGCGGCACTAACGCCTTTGTTTTGCTCTTGTCTTTCTTTTGCTTCGCCAAATTTGCGCTCGCACAATGCTGAATGATGATGCGCTCTTCCGCAATAGAGGCATCTTCTTTTTGGGACGTGACAGTTGCTGGCGAAATGTCCTTTTTTGAGACACTTGAAGCAAAGTCCTTTTTCACTTGCTCTTTCTCTTCTTTCTTCTGCAGTTCTAAGACTGATGCATTCTACCGGTGTATGCCGTCCATCGCAGAACTGGCAAGGCCATTTTGTCGGACTTCCAGAGCTGCTTGATTCTCTTTGTGGGCATTTCTTTGTAATTCTTTGACTTCTTGTCGGGTTAAAATAACCGGTATTACTTGATTCTTGTTTGAATCGTATTCGGTTGGATCTACTTTCTTCTCGACCTCTAGGTCTTTCAACTCTATCGGGTGAAAAGCTGCTTGTAGTCTTTTTGTTCATACAATTCACTGCGAAATTCATAGTCGGTTCTTCTATCCAGTCCCTAACGACCTGATTGGGCTTCTGTTTTACTTCCAATCTATTTCTAATCTGATTGATAGCACGCCCTAAGGCGTTTCTGAATTTTGCTGTATTCCAATTATCATTATCCTCTGCATCTTTAATATTAAAATATTTTCCCAAAACTTTGGTAGACACTTTTCCTTCTAAAGTCATGAAATATGGAGCGTCGTCTATATTTTGATTTAATGACTTCAACTGCCTACATAATTTTTCAATTCTTAAATAAAGTTTTTCATCTTCCTCAAAACTTTCACTGTTAGGTAAATTCAATAATTCGTGGTTCAGTGACCGTATTAGCTTCTTTTCACTCCCAAATTTCGATAACAAAAGATCGATTGCTGTATTGTAGCCTTCATTTGTCATTTGAAGACCTCCTACCAGGTCTTTTGCTTCATTATCCAAAATCGATTCTAAAATATTAAACTTCTCAACATGGCTCAACGCGTTGTCGTCGTGTATTAAGACACGGAAAGTTTCCCAGAACGAGCACCAATTTTCAATGCTGCCGTCAAAGCGGCGCAATTGGATTTGTGGCCTCTGAAGTCTCTTCATTTCAGTTCTATTCGACGTTTGCGACTCATTCATCGATTCTTCTAAATCTATCGGCAAATCGAGTCTCTGAGCCAGTCTAACTCGATGTTGTTTCCAATTGCCTAAATGGGTAGTTGCCGCCTCCAAAATATTTTTAACTGCTGCCTCCTTTACCCATTTTCTGTATTCTACCATCTTTTCTTCTCGAATTGTGGCCGGCAATCTTTCTATTTTCTCTTTTATCTTCTCATCTAACTCCTCTACGATTGCAGCACTTTCCTCAAGATCTATGATAGTTTCTTTAGTCCAATACAACTGCCTCCGCATCTGGTTAACAGTTGCATCAGGCCCTAAGTCATGCGGTATTTCTCGTACCAGACATATTTTCAACTTCCCCAACGAAGTCTCATACTTTAAATTAATATATTCCGTCATTCTCTTTTACCTAGGAAACTAAGTTCCTTTATATAGATTTTATAAAATTCTAAAAAATTTTATGCCTACTTTTTAGATTTATTCTAATCTATCCCCAAATAGTTTAAATTAACTTTTCCAAGTTAATCCTAGGTGAAAAGAATTTTAAATTTTAATTTGGCTCTTCCAGGCCTTTTAATTAAATTTATTTAAAAATAAATTCACCTCCCAGCAAGTGTTGTTCAAGTTTGATGCCGTGCTCGCCAGCTGTCGAAATTCGATTCGATTAGGTCCTACAACACTTGTTTCAAAAATATAATTAAATATTTAATCCAAATATTTTCCAAATAATTAATTTATTCCAACAATAAATAATAATATAAATCGTAGAGAAAGGGATTTAGTTTAGATTAATACATAAAGAAAGAATGATTGAACTCCAAAGAAAGGGAAAAATACATTTAGTTTTATAGGAAGTTAATTAGCGCCACCAAGGGCGATCATTCTTTCCTATTCTCAAGCTTAGTCATCGCCGCTAAGGGCGGAAATATTATACTAGCACAAATGAATGAGAAACTTAATCGCTACAAAGAGAGAAAAAATGATTAAGTTTAAAGAGATAAGGGGACAAAGATTAAAAAAGAAAGAAAATGGAACACGTGAAAAATATGTAAAATAAATAAAAATTTATTACTATTTTACTAAAAATGTCGAACTTCGACACTTTTGTAAGTCAGAAGAATGCCTACTTTGGAAAACTGTTAGGATTTAATATCTTGCTTCAGAAATTAGGGAAACAGAGGGGGAGGAAACATTGGTAAAAATGGTCAGGGAAAAGTGAAGGAAAAAGAAGGGGACGTCAACCAAAGTCTTTTCCTACTGTCAGCCTCAAAAATATCGAAGGAGCATTTTTTACTATTTTTTCTAGGGACCAATGATCTAAGGATTACCTATTTCCCCCACAAATTAATTTTAAAAAATTTTTAAAAATTAATAAAAATAAAAAAAACCAACCCAAAAACTGTATATTTCACACAAAAACTAATTTCTGATCGATTCCTAGCTCGATTAATTACATTACGCCGTCTAGACACTGATCTGCCCTAAAAAAATAAAATTAATAAAATAAAAATTAAATAAAAAAAATACTCCAAGATGATGTACAACATGTCCACGATGAACGCCTGTGTGATGCTGATGAGTAGTGTTGTTGTTAGTACGCCTACTTGCCATTGTAAAACTTGCTGTCCATTTAATTAAAATACAAGTAAAAATACAAGTCAGTCTAAAATGTCTAACTGGAGTAGAGAAAAATAAATATATAAACTTTCCGGAAAGAAAATAAAATATATTTACAATTGTAAAAATTAATTGTAAATAGAGAAAAAATAAACTTTCCGGAAAGATATTAAAATAAATTAAAATTGTAAATAGACTTTCCGGAAAACATTAGAATTGTAAAAATGAATAAATTAATAAACTTTCCGGAAGAGAATTAAAAATTACACCTATAACCTTTCCGGAAAGAAAATAGAATAGATTACACTTGTAAAAATTAATTGTAAATATAAAGGACAAATAAACTTTCCGGAAAGATATTAGAAAAAATCTTTCCGGAAAAGGTTACAATTATAAATAGACAATTGTAAAAGACTTTCCGGTAGACTTTCCGGAAAGAAAATTAATACATAAATTACAATTGTAACCTTTCCGGAAAATAAAATAAAAAACACATTTACAATTGTAAATAGACAATTGTAAACGCAAATTGTAAACCCCTTCCCAAAGCACAAAATCAATAATGCGCGCACCTTTTTAATTAAATAAAATAAATATTTTTCGAAACGATCTTCTTCAAAAATAAATTGGCAACTTTCCAACTGGCTTTCCATTCTATTATGTCTAGTTGCCAATCGCCCCCTCCTTCCGTGCTTTAAGGCGGGAGAATTTTTTATTTCAGTCCACTCATTTCTTCATTATTTCAAATTTTGTTGCTGTCTGCCTCTCAACATTTATATAATGTCTGCTGACCAAATCACACTTTTATTTTCTCTCTCTGTTGACGACTGTTGCTCTCATGATTTTTTGTTTGCAGACATACAAACAAACAAACACATTTTTGCTCACGAGTCTAAAAAAGAAGAAAAATATTCATACACAAGTGGTATGACTATACGCGTTTTTACTCACTTTTCTTTGTCTTCTACACATTTTGCCAATATCACATATTGCCAATAAGGCTAAAAACTCACATTTTGTCACTACGTTTGTTGACAAAATGTAAGTTTTTAGCCTTGTTGGCAAAATTTGTACTTGGCAAAATGTGTACTTGGCAAAATGTGGAAACGCGCTTCGTTTTTAGCGTCTGTCTCTACTTAGATTTTCATATTCCCTCTCCTTTCTTTTCCCCTTTTTTCTTGAAACAAAAAAACTCTTGACTCTCTCTCTTTCTCAATCTTTTTTTTTGCATTCTTTAACTTGTCTACTCAGTCAGCCGCACTTATATATTTATGTGTGTGTTTGACTTGGATAACCAAGTGTTGCAAGCGGTGGCTGGCTTTTTTTTTTTATTTTGGCAGCTCGCCAAAACATTCTCCCCTTATTTTCCCAAAAGAGACACACGGCTTCCACACACACAAATATATACACTACCACACACTGGCGGCATCCTAATTTTTTTTCCTCCAAACAAAAATGCATGCCGGCAACTCTAATTTTTTAGTATATCATCATTGTTCCTTTCTGAACTCATTTATATTTTTGTGTGTGCTATAAGAGCCCCAACAGAGCTTTTCCCCCAACAGAGCTTTTCCCCAACCAGAGCTTTTCCCCTCTTCCCAAAAAAAATAAAAAAAAAATATAATTTTTCTTTTCCTATTTTTATTTTTTTTTACTACCTAGTACCACCTGCCAGCTCTTAAGAAATTTTTTTTTTCTAAAAAATACTCGGCAAACAGAAACAAAACTAAAAATGTTTTTTCATTTTATTAGTCCTCCCCTCCCCTTTCCTCTTTTAAGGCAACACAGACATTTTTTTTTCTATTTATTTTTTTATACCCCATGACTAGTTATGTTTGTCTATAGCGCGCGAGGTATTTGTTGCACTTTTCTATATAAACATTTATTTATTTTTAAACCTCCAAAAAACTTTTTTCTTGATTATTGTACAAAGTACAAAAATTAGAAATTGATTGTGTGTACTATTTAAACGTTTCTCCTCCTTTCTGTCCTCTTTTTTTAACTGTGTCTACTATATCAATATCAAAACACAAATATCTGTCCTATTTTATTTTGACTGAATATAGGCTTGTCTAGAAAGACCTGAAGCTTCAGTTTTTAGGTTTCTATTTGAAATTTGCTTCAGCTTCAGGCTGGTAGGGATGGTGGGGGTGGGGGTTGCTACAGTTTTGAGACTGTCCTTGAGGCTTGAATTGTAGGCTTGTCTAGAGCCTGAAGCTTTAGTTTCCAAGTTGAAGCTCAAAATAGAAACAAAAAACCTCAAGCTTCAGGATCTTTGTTTTTATTTAAATTTTGCTTCAGCTTCAGGCTGGTAGGGATGGTGGGGATTGTTTATGGGGGAGATTAGGAGGTCTGTTGAGGCCATAACTGAAGCTTTTGTTTTTTTGCTTCATTGAAGCTTCAGGGTTTAAGCTTAAACTTGGGGTCTAAGTCACCTAAGCCCAGCAACTCGAGCAGAACTCGAATTTAAAGCTTCCGTTATCCACCCACATGAAGCTGAAGCATAAATTGAAGCTTCAAACTTCAATTCCAGCTTCTATCAAGTTTCAATACCCTTTCACTTTCCTCATTTTCTTTGGAATTTAACTTCAAATTCCATCTGATTCATCCAAAGTTTATGCCAAAAAAAATCATTAAAACCCCATAAAAATTCCAAAAATGTGTTTCAAAATTTTTTTTTCTTCTTCTAAAATTATCAAAAAAAGAATTTATATATTTCGGTGAATTGGCTGCCTTTTCGTAGGAGAAAAAGAAAAAAAAGAAGGAATGATTAGTTTGATCTCTCACCCACGAAAAAATATTTTTTAAAGTATTTTTCTCTTCAAAAAACGTTCAGTTTTGTGTGTTATTCTCATCCAAAAAATTTCAAAAAAAAATAATTTTTTTCTTCTCCTCCCATCTTTGTTTCTTGTTGGCTCTCATATTCTTCGTCTCCTCCTCCTCCCCTTTTCTAATTCTTCCCCCTAAAAAATTTTTTTCTTCTTCCTCCTCCCAATTTTTTTCTTCTCCCCCCCCCCATTCTCCTCTTCCTCCCCCCATTTTTCTCCTCCTCTCATTTTTATATAAAACATTTTTTTTATTTTTCAATTTTCCCTCCTCTCTTTTTTTAAATGCCACCACTGCGCTGTCTGCTTTTTTTGTTTGTTTGGTCAGTTGCCAATCACGTGAATGTCGCTTACGGCAAAATAACAAAACAAAAACATATATAGTGCCAAATAATAATCCTTTTCTCTCCTTCGTGTGGCATTTTTTTTCTAAAAGTCTCTTTAAAGCTTCTTAGTAGGAGGAAAGTACACTCGCTCATATAAGCCTTATTCCCGCCCTTTCCCTCAAAATAAAATTTTTTTGCTTCTGTTCATGTTAGGACAAAATACCGTCCGACTAGAATACCGTCTATCCCTTAGAGTAAAAATTAGCAGATTAAACAAATTTTAAAAATAGAATTTTTAGGCATGGGAGTAGAAGCAGAACCTGCTCATGGACACTCCGGATTTATCCGTATCCGCGGATATCCGGATATTATCCTCCCTCATGAGCAGGTCTGACAAAGGAGAGTGCCTGAGGTGTCCGTGGGACTTCGGGATAAAATTTGGCACACATGTAGATCATACCCTTTCTATTATAAATCTTGAACCATTTTTGCTTAATGGTACCGTGGGCCGAGTTATAAGCCCCCAAAATTTTAGGATCCCCCTTAGTTTTCTTTTTTACTTATAAACAATTTCTTTTTAGGTACAGATGTGTTCGTCGGTGGTGCAGTGGTAGCGTGCGTGAATTTACTTTTTTCCCCCAAGTTCGAATCCTGCTTGGGGAAATTAATTTATTTTAACATAATTTTTGTTTTTTTTTGAAAATTTTGTTTCTAAAATTTTTAAAAAATTTTCTAAATTTTTTTGAAACTTTTTTAAAATTTTTTGAAAAACATTTTGAAAGAACACAAAAAATGAATAAGTCGAGGGCTTTAAAAGGCAAGGAATATATATTTAAAAAAATTTTATAAAAGTTTCAAAAAAATTTAGAAAATTTTTTTAAATTTTAAAACCAAAATTTTCAAAAAAAAAACAAAAATTATGTTAAAATAAATTAATTTCCCCAATCAGGATTCGAACCTGGGGGAAAAAATTGAATTCAAGAACGCTACCACTGCACCACCGACGAACACATCTATAATTGAATAGAAATTGTTTATAAGAGGGGACCCTAAAATTTTGGGTGCTTATAACTTGGCCCACGGTACCATTTAGCAAAAACTAAGCTGGGTATGACTATAATAGGGTATGATCTATCTCCCTGCCAAATTTCATCCCGAAGTCCCACGGACACCTCAGGCACTCTCCTTTGTGAGTTGAAGTACTAACCAAGCCCTAATAGCCCTAGGGTTTAATATTGAACCTGTCAGACCCCATTTCTTCCTCCCCAAGTTCTTCCTATATATCTACAGAATGGTCAGACTTTTTCCTTTCATCCAAATTGCCTTCTTAATTTTGCCTAGAAACAATCAAAAGAAATTCATTTTTATTTCCCCTTGGATGGAAGTAGGAAACTTGAAGGAAGAAGTCTGACCATTCTTCAGATCTATAGGAAGAAACGTGGGAAGAAAAAATGGGGTCTGTCAGGTTTATTATTATCGCTTTAGGGTCTAAAAAGATACTTAAACAACACAATCTCGACATAAATCGAATTCATCATCTCATAAAACGACCATGTTTCTACTCTAGTGTCTAGTCGGTATTTTGTCTGGACGGTATTTTGCCCCTTGCTTGTTTCTGTTTTTTTAAATGCGCTAATATAGAAGTAGCTACATTTTTATTATACTCTATTTACTATCATTCTCTTCTCTCTCTCCTTTTAAATAAATAAAATATCCAGAAAACTTTTCAGTCAGTCATTCATTCATTTTACACGTCGTTGTGTCGTTTTGTTCTTTTGCCTTTTTTTAGGTTCCCTCCCCGTCCCTTCCCTTCATTCATATCTTTTTCCCCTTTTTCTGTTTTTAATCACTTTTTTAAACTGCCAATAAATAAATATATACTTTTTAACCTTTTTTAAGATTAATTTGTGCTATTATCTTCTTTTTTTTCATTTGATGAAAATTTGCTTCAATTGGATAATAAGACTAAAAATAACTAGTAGTGTGTTTATGCTTCTTCTTCAATGCATGATTTAAGTCCAAATTTTATTAATCAACAACAACAGCAACAACAACGAATGGACAACAACAATAATAATATGGACAATTTCTGGTGGGGTTTTGATTTTTAAATTTTATTAAATTTAAATTTGGGTGGGGTGCCCAATAAATTAATGTTTAGGGTGAAACAGGTTTTTTGAAGCATAGTTGAGTTTGTTTCAAGTTTTAAGAATGTTTTTAGGAAAACTTAAGTTTGCGTGAGTTTAAGTTTGTTTTTATTGTTGTTGAGTTTTTGAGATGTTTGTAAGATTATAAATGTTTTAGTCAAATGTTTTTGTGTTTTTAATATGTTCTGATAATTAAAATGTTTTTGTTGGGATGTTTGTGAAACATGTTTTGTTAGTAGATTCTGATTTTTCTCTTCATGTTTTTATTTAATTCTGATTTTTTCATTTATGTTTTTAATTAATTCTGGTTTTTTTCTTCTTGTTTTTATTTAATTCTGGTTTTTTCTTTTCATGTTTTTAATTAATTCTGATTTTTCTTTTCATGTTTTTAATTAATTCTGGTTTTTTCTTTTAATGTTTTTGATTAATTCTGATTTTTTCCTATATGTTTTTAGTAAATTCTGGTTTTTTCTTTTCATGTTTTTAATTAATTCTGATATTTCCTTTAATGTTTTTATTTAACTCTGATATTCATAATGTTTAGAAACATGTTTGTCTGTTAATTCTGATTTTTTTCTTCATGTTTTTAAATGTTTTTATGTTTTATATAGACTTTAAAAATATATAAACTTAGTAAGGCTGATTTATTATTACTCATTATTTTACTAATATGTTGTGTTTTATTTCCAACTTTTTTTCTCGTCAAACACTAAACTTAAGTTTTATTTAATGACTTCCTTGTTTTTTAAAGTTATTTCTATGTTCGCCAAACTTTTTTTAAGGTTTAAACTTGTGTTTTTAAGAGAAGAGAAGAATGTGAATGTTTAGAGAGTAGGTGTTTTTGAGTCTTGTGAGGGGTTTGCTTGTTATTAAGTTTGTGAGATGTTCGTAAGATTATAAATGTTTTTGTCGTATGTTTTTGTAATTTTGGTAATTAAAATGTTTTTGTTGGAATGTTTGGGAAACATGTTTTCCTAGTTTATTCTGATTTTTCACTTCATGTTTTTAATTAATTCTGAAACTTGAAATGTTTAGAGAGTAGGTGTTTTTGAGTCTTGTGAGGGGTTTTTCCTGTTTTGGGAGGGTTTTGCTTGTGTTAGGAAGGAGGAGGGGGGTTTTGCTTGTAATTTTTATATTTATGTGATTCTTGTGTTCAATAAATTCTAAAAAAATTTTTTTAAGCTTTTATGTCTCTCTAGCTATTTTTTATATTAATTTTTAAACTTAATAGTAAAAATACACTTTTGTGGGAGGGGATTTACATAAATTTTTATTTTTAATTCTCGAATAAAAAAATATTTTTTTGATATTGTTTTTGAAAAATAAAAATATTTTTATTATTATTTTTTAAAATTAAAAACAAAAATATTTTTTTATTCGAGAAAATATTTTTTAAAAAAAATTTACATAATTAAACTTTTAAATAATTTTTTTTTGGTGTTTCAAAAAATATTTTTAAAATTTTTTCTGAATGTTTATTTCTTCAATTTTTTTTTCAAAATATCTAATTTTCCCAGAAGAATGTAATTTTTTTTTATTTTTAATTTAATTTTTACTCTTATATATTTTTGTTTTATTTAATTTTTTTTCCTGGCGTCTGTCTTTTTTTTTTGCAAAGATTTATTAACGTGGATATATCTAAATTGATTTTATTGCTAATAACTATTTAACACTCTCCACATTCCTTTACTTCCTTTTTCCCTATAAAAAATAATAAATAATTATAGTTGGGGGTGACTGATTAATTTTTTGTTGGGTGGATTTCCGGCTTGCCTTTTTTTTCTAGAGGGACCAATGATTGTGAGGGGGTGGACGCCAAACGCAAGTCTATTTTTGACGCCAAAAATTTAAAATAGGAAATAAATTTATTGATTTTTTAATTTAAATAAAAAAAATTTTTTTATTAATTAAATTAAAAATTAAATAAACTTTGGGAATGTTTACATAATTTTTTTGAAACAAAAAAAATTAAAAAATTTTTTTGTGATAGCGCGACGTATTTCCTCAAAAATGTGTGTGTGTGTGTGTGTATTTGTTGTGAGTGGTGGTTAAAAATGGTGGAACACTGAGAAAGAGAAAAAATATTTTTTTTGAAAAAATAAAATAAAGAAAATAATCACTTCCTCCTAACTAAAACTAAGACGACTGTTAATATCAATAATTTATTATTTTAATTTGATTGGAATTTTTTTTTGAAAAAAAATTTTTTTTGAAAATTTTTTTTTGGGGGAAGACGACGAAAAGAAGTTGGGGAGAAAGACGTAGAGAGGAAAGATGAGCGTAGAGGGCCACCTGCTAAAATATTAAAAAAAAAACAAAAAATAAATAAATATTTTAGTAATTATTTTTATGTAATAAAGCCCTTGAAAAGTGCAAATTACTTAGGTATTTATTTTTGTGTTGATTGCATGGAAAATAGGGAGAGTGTGTGTATTTGATTGAAGGGAAAAATGTTTGAAATATTTGAGAAATTTGGGAGAAAAAAATAAAAATTAATAAAATTAATAAAGTAAAAAAATAAAACGGAAATTTCGTAGAAGTAAAAAGTTATTATTTATTATAGAGAGAAAAATAGACTAATAAAAAAACTAGAATTTTTTTTTGTGCAAAAAAATTTTTTAGGTAGTAAGAATTTTAATGTTTGAGAGAGATTGTAGATGTGTGATAATAATAAAAATAAAAATAAAAAAAAATGTCTGTTGCAAAAATATATGTATTTTTATTATAAGTATGTATATGTGTTGCTGCAAATGTTGCTAGATAAAAGTTTAAAAAAATTAACAAGAAATTTTGCAACTCAATAAAATTTTAGTAAATAAATTTGAATAAAAATATTAAGATGGCGTATTTTTTTTATTTTTTATTAGTTTTTTTATTAATGATCTAAATCTTGTTGAAAAATTAATTTTTAAAATTTAAAAAAATATTTTTTTATCTTCAATAGTTTGTTTTTTAAAAAAAAATTTTTTTAACATTTTGATATTTTTTTTATTTTACTCCTTAATTTTATTTTAAATTTTGGATTTTTTGGGGGCTGTTTAAAAAAAAATTTTTTTAGTTGAAATTTTATCAGTTTTATTGCTTTCAATATGTTTTCATATACCCAATTTTTAGTCTTTTCAACATTTTTAATTTTATCAATTGGGGGTCATAAAAATTTGTGTTTACTAATAAAAATTAGAAAAAAAAACTTTTAAAAGCTAAAAAAATTTTTTTTTTAAATTTTTATACTTTATAGAACTCGTTCAATTTTAATTTTTATGATTTTCATCTTTTTTTTATTGTAAAATTTAGACACATGAAAGGAGTTTTTTTTAAATATTTTTTCAATAAAAATTTTTGCCACGAATATTTTTTTTTGTTGTATTGTTAAACAAATCGGGGTAAAATTTTTTTGTCTATTTTCACGTGTGAGGGATTGTTTAAATAATAAGGAGGGGTAAATCCCTAAATATACAATAAAGGGCAAGTTTGATGTTGAGTAAACAAAAAATGTGAAAAATAAAAATTTTTAATAAAAAAATGATGAAAAATTTTGGGGGAGAATATACTTAATTTTTATTTAATTAAGAAGACTTTTTTTCTAATTGTTGAACTGGATACATATAAATACCTCTATATTTAAGCAACGATTTTTTTTATTCTGTTGTTAGTTGGGTTGGTCACTAAATTAAGGGAGAAGAAGCTGTCTTGGTTGAATTAGCGATACCTCCTAAATTATTAATTATTAGAATTCATCTCATTATTAGATGGAAAATTTTAAAAGCCTGAGAGGGGTCAAGTTCATTGTTATAACAAATTTAAAAAAATTTTACAAAAAATTTCTATAAAAAATTTTTTTTTCAGTTGGCATATTTATAAGCAGCAATTACGGGCATCAGAATGCCGTCTTGTTGTATTTAGTGAAAAGGACACTAGACTTTTATATGACTCGGCAACTGTTGTAGCTTTGGCTGATCGTTTTGTATTTGGATCACATTTGTCTCAGTGTGGACGTTTTCAGGTTTTTTTTTTAGAAAAAATTTTTTTGGGAATTTTTTGGGATTTTGCAAAAAATTTTTTAAAAATTTTTTTAGAAATTTTTTTTGAAAAATTTTTTTAGAAATTTTTCAAAAATTTCAAAAAAATTTTTAAAAAATTTTTGAAAATCCCAAAAAAATTTTGAAAAATTTTCCAAAATTTTATAATTTTTTTTCAAGTTCCTCCCACATAAATACGACACATTGAAAATTGCCAAAATGCTTTTTGGTACAATGCCGGCTGCTTTGAAGTCTGATTCTCTCAAAATACATACACTCAAGTATTTTTTTTTGAATTTTTAAAAATTAAAAATTTTTAATTTTTTTAAGAGACTCAAATTCAGTAATGATTTCAAGAGTGTTTTCTGTACCTAAACTTGGCAAGTATTCTTCTACTCCGTTTAAAACTATGTTTGTTTTTATTTTTTTCTGATAAATTTAAATAAATAAGGGGGCGGCTTTTATACAAGTCTGGTTAACGAAAAAATTTTTTTTTCTGGTTTTTGGGTTTAGGAATTTAGGAGGGATTTGAAATTGTAGGTTTTCAGAAGTTGATTAACTTGTGGATTAAATTTGATGATTTTAGCTATTAGGAGAATTGTGTAGTAAAGGGGTTTTCGTTTTGGTTCTTTTGAGATAATTTTTGAATGGCCAAATTTCTTCCAAAAAATAGATTTGTATTAGGTAAACCCTTATTTATAAGCAGAATCTCAATTTGTGTGGATACCCTTCATAAACAAAACTTGAATTCTTTTCATCGTCATTGTGTCCTCTAATAAACTTTTTCTCCCTAAACTTCCTAGATTCTTAAACCCAAAAATCCGCAAAATTGTTTTTTGTTAATCTGACTTATAAAGGGCCGTCCACCATTCATGGCAGTTTTTTTAAATTTTCCATCAAGCTTTTCTCCTAAACTTCTTGAAAAAACTTTACAAAAATTTTTTTTGTTTTTCTAGTGATATTTACAAATGTATGGTTGGAAGTTTAAGCTCAGATTCAGACAATCAATCGAATTATTCAACAATTCGTTCACTTGATGGTATAGCTAATGCTTCAACGACAGTTTCTACTTCAGCAGCTCAGCCAAAAGACGAAGTTGATTTTTTAAATGGTGGCAATACTTCTTCCTCAACTTCTTCCAAAACTTGTACAAAATTCCCCGTATTTATTTCTTCATCTAAAAGTCCACCAACTTCAACTAACAACCATACGGATCCACCAGAAAATTTTGTTAGAGTTAGAAATTCTTCTCTTCAAATGGAAACGGCTGATGTTGATGTTTGTTTTGATTTTTTTAAATTTTATTTTTGAATTTTTTGAGGGGATGGAGGGGTTTTTTGAGGTTAGTACACACTATTCTCCCCCCCCCCCCCTTCTTATGATGTTGTTCATGCCATGAAAATTTTTCCTGGGGTAGGAGATAATATAGTCCCCCCCCTTTAGATTTCTCCCAACGTTGCTTTTAATAATGGAGAAATTTAGTTTGGATATAAGAAAAAATTTTTAAACCCTTTTTGAGGGGATGGAGGGAGTTTTCTGTTATAGGTTTTTAGACTTCACTCCCTCTCCCCTAGGTGTTGTTGTTCATGCCTTGCAACTTTTTCCGGGGATAGAGGGGTTTTTTCCGTAACATTCTGTGGAAATTTCATGGGATAAGGAAAAACTTTTTTTTTCTATGCCCTGAAATTGCTTTAAACTGTCAGGGCACAATGAATGTGTGCCCCCTTCTACGATTTATTCAGGGATGTATTTTTATTCTGTTCAGTCTTGACACAATTTGCTTAATTAAATTTTTTTCTTTCTAGGACATAATGGAAGAATTACGTGCCTTCTCACCTAACAGACTTTCACGTGCAAGGAGGTGTCAACTTTCACAAATTGGATTGGATGAATGTAACTTTAAAAATTTTTTTCTTCAAATAATTTTTATTTTCTTTTCTAGCCCTTTCTCTTCGTTTAACAAATCGTAGCCGTTTAAGTAGTTGTTCGTCTATTGCAGATGTTTGTGGGGGTGGAATATTTAATGATGCATTTACTGAATGGCAACAATATGGATTTGCTATTTTATTACCTGGTTTATTTTTTTTTAATTTTTTTTTGAAATTTTTTTGAAAAAATTTTTTGCCTTTTTAAAAAGTTGACATTTTGACATTCAAAAAAAAATAAAAAAAATTTTTTGAAAATTTTCTAAAAAAATTTTTATTTAAAGTTGATTTTCGTTCGTTTGTCTTCCAACACATTCTTCAAATTGAACAAGAGCTCGATAAACTTGCAATACATATCCATAAAGCAGTCCAGGACAAAACACAATTCTTTCAATCTATTTATGAGGTTTTTTTTTAAATTTATTTAATTGGACCATTTTCCTTCAAAACAATAAAATTTTCGCGTTATAAAGGAAATGAATCCCTTCTTCCTATATATTTTTTTTGGAAATTCCTTTGCTCCTGGAAATTCTTTTTTGTATGTGTTTTCTAGAATTTTTTTCTCAAAACTTTTAATCCCTTAACCCCTTTTTGACGAATTTTTTTTAATAAAAAAATATTAGAGATGAAAAACTTTACTGAAAAATGAAATAAACAGAAGGAATGAATGCGGGTTACAAGAGATATATTAACTTTTTTTTTCTTGGTCATGAAATCACGTCTAAAGAAATTTTGAAAACCCGACTTGACACTCAATTTTTATATGAACAAATTATTAAATTTATTTTCAAAATTTAAATTTTTTGAAGGGTTGGACATCAACATGTCAATCACTTTGTTTGTTGTGTAACTCTTTAAGACTTAAAAATCCAGTATGGCAAAGTTTGGCATCAGCACAATATGCGAGTGTTGGAATGCACAAAATTGCTTCAAAATTTTGTTCTCAATTGGCACAATTAATTTGTGAATTTAATACAAAGGAAACTAAATTGTTTGTTTTTTTGAAAATTTTTTCAAATATTTTAATTTTCCCCTTTTTTAACATGAGCTAGTCAACAATCTTATAGCTAGAGAGCGGGCTGGATCTGTATCCAGACCTTGATTTTTCCTGGATCCAGAGTCCGGATCAAGGCATTTTTCAGCGTTCCTTGATTCTTCCTTGACTCGAGGTCAAGAATCTGGTCGAGGTATCCAACCAGAATTAAGGTCAAGATTTTTTGAAAATCTCGCTCTCTAGTTATAGCCTTCCTCCTTTTGTCCCCTCTCACTTCCAAATAATTAAAAAAATAATTTTTTAAATTAGGTATTAGTGTCGTTTTTTAGTTTTTTTTGGGGTCAAACGCTGAACTCGGCACCAATTAAAAATTTTTCTTTTCGAGTCGAAAAAGGGATCCAGGTTTCTGATATCTTGTTTTTCGGGTACTTTGTGATATTCCTAGTTTTACAATTCAAAAAATTTTTTCTTCTTTAGTTTCCTTTCAACATTATTATCTGCTGTTTTAATGAATCAATTGACTTGGGTTGCTAGTGTTGCACCACCAGAAAATTATTGTGGTTCAAATAATAATTATGATGGAGGGGATGATTATTCTCTTTTATTGGGAATGGTTTGTTTATTTTTTTAAATCAGGGGTTTGGTCTTTGGTGGCTTTTTCTGATTTATATAATGGAAAGGCGTAGCCATGAGGTCGATTTCAATGGGCTAAAATGAGGTGTGTGTAAAAATTTTGGCGTTTACTTTGGCGTTTTGGAATTCACTTTTCAGATCATTTCCCTCCTAAAATTTTTTTATTTTTTCCATTTCAGGGGAAAATAGCCCCAGACCCCCCTGGCTATTCCCTTGTAGAATGGAATCCCTCTGCTTGTGAGTTACTTTCACCTTTGAGATCAGAGCATGGGGACTGATTCCAAACCACTTAAAAATAGGGCGGAACCACTAAAATGTGAGGACAAAAAGAGAGCGAAAAATGCCCTAAAAATAAGGTAAAATGGTCAATCTGGATCAGAGGGGGGTGGTGGGCATTAGACTGTCCGAGACCGAAAATCTTCCAAGACTCAAGACCCAGACCCAAGATCAGGAGTCTCGGACAGCTCTAGTTGGCATGCATTCAGCTCTGTTAAGTTAAAAATTTTTTTTATTTTTTTTTAAACTTAATTTCAAAAAATTTTTTTATTTAAAGAATTCTTCATTTACTCATCAAAATAACGGCAACAACAAAATTAATTATTATAACCCAACGGTTGCACAACTTTTGGAACTTTATTACGGTGTTGGAACAACAGATTCTGTTTTGTCTGTTTCTGGGCCTGAAGGAAGTGGAGGGAAAGATTTACACAACTCTTCAACTACAGCAACAAATAATTTTTGTAATAACAGCCAATTTACAAAAATTGTTGTTGTTGGGGATAAACCAGAAAAGATTGCTTTATTGTTACGTGTACTTTCCTATTTTGTTCGTTGTTCTTCTGTGGAGAGTAAAAGGAGTTATGGTTTGTGAATTTTTTTTAATGGTGAAATTTTTCTGGGGCATTTTGGGCAGTTGACATTTTGAAACTTTTTTCTAATTTTTCAAAATTTTTTCTGATTTTCAAAAAAATTTTTTGTGGCATTTTGGGTATTTGACATTTCGAAAAAAAATTTTTTGTGTCATTTTGGGCAGTTGACACTTCGAAAAAATTTTTTGAATTTTTATAAAAAATTTTCCCCAATTTTTCCAGAATTGTTGGCAGAATGTGGAACTTTCAAATTTAATGGAGAACCACCAGAATTACATGATTTTGGACGTACTTTAATGGCAGGTGTTTGTAATGCTTATTCTCCACATTTTGTTCTTTCTGGTTAGTTTCTTTTTTAAATTTTATTTTTTAAAATTAATTTTTTAAATAAATTTTTGATTAGCATAAGTGAACTCAGTGGGCTATTACCCTGTTGTTTATTTTATTCTCACTTCTTTTAGATTTCTAAAAAAAATTTCTTATTATTTTGTGATAGGAGTGCATGCCTCCCCGGCAAACCCCCCTTATCGCGACACACCTTACCCCGCTGACTTGGGGTGCTACCCTACTGTAAATTACTCCCCTTTTTTGTGATAGAAAAAAATCTTAATTATTTTTCGATTGAAAAAAATTTATTTTTAATTTTTTAAAGGTATACAAGTTCAATCTCCTTCACATCAACAACAACAAAAATTGACATCAAAATCATCCTTTTCAAAAATTATAACAAAAACAATGTCAACATCACCACCATCCACCCATCCACAATTTACCAATTTATTATCAATAGATTCAATATTTAATACAATTTGTGAAGATGTTAGGCATCCAATGGGGGAACCTTGTTTAAATAGCCAAATTTCTGCTTTGTTGAATAATTCAAGTTCTTCAAATGGAAGTGGTTGTTTATCATCACCTATAACAACAACAAATACAACAACGGCTAATACAACACAAACAACAAATTCGTTATGTATAGACCATTCTAATTTGTTGTTGATGTCTAAAAATGTTGTTGTTGAAAATTGTGGGGGTGGAATTGAAGCAAGAAAATTTTCTATTGGACAACTTGGTAAGGGTATAAGTGGAGGTGGAAGTGTTAATGGTGTTTCTCCGTCTTGTGTTCCGGCTGCTGCTAAAGGTTTGGAATTTTTTAAAGAATTTTTTTTCACTAGGGTATTGTCCGCAACCTAAAAGTCCGCAAATTTTTGTCCGCAAAAATAATTTTTTTGAATATTGATAAAATTTCAAACTTGCGTATTTAAAATTGCGGACGTTTTGGGTAATTAAAACGCGCATAAAAAATTTCAATTACTTTTAAAAAAATTTATTTTTGTAGCAACTACAAGTCCAAAGAAGCACAATAATGTGAATGCTAGTAATAATTGTTGTTCAACAACACCTATAATGACAAAAAGTTCTTCTTTGGTTATATTTATTGATATGTGCAATTTAGACGTTCGGGTTAGTTGAAAAAATATTTTTTGAATGAAATTTTTTTCGGAATTTTTTTCCGAAATTTTGCATTTTTTTGAAATTTCGCAAGTTTCCGAAATTTCGCATTTTTTCGAAATTTCGCATTTTTTTGAAATAGGTTCGAAATTTCGCATTTCGAAAAATTTTTCGAAATTTCGTTTCCGAAAAAAATTTTTTTTAACCCCAAAAAATAATTTTTTTCTTCTTTTAAAAAATAGATTATTACCTCTGACAAATGTCAAGTTGATGATACTCGTTTTGTTTGTCCTTCTGATGCTGTTACTTCAATGCTTGAAGAATTTGCTGAATTATATCAGTACGAAATTTAAATTTTTTTTTGAAGTTTTTTAAAAATTTATTTTAAAGGTATAAATGTGCTCCAGACTTTCTTTTATCATTCCTTGAAGACCATTTGGTATCTCTTCTTGATAAATCTAATGTTCTCGTTAATTTGGTTAAAACTACTGGTAAATATTTGATTTAATTTTTTAAAATAATTTTTTGAAGATAAAAATTTTTTGGGGTTGGGGTTTCAATAATTTTTCTGAAATTTGATCCTAATATCCGTAACTTTTTATTTATCTGCAAATTTATTTTTTAGATTTTTGGGTTAAGATTTGGGGAATTAAAAAAATCTATTTTATATTAGACGGCTTGCTGATTGCTGAACACCAAGGGCGTAGCCAGGGGGTCGATTTTTTTTGGGGGGGGGGGGGGCTAACACTGGGTGGGCGCCAAATTTTTGGTGTTTACCTTGGCGTTCCGGACGGGAATTTTTTTGTTCATAAATTTTCATCTTTTCTGCGCTGTAGGCGAAAATTCTTTTGAATTTAAGAAGGCCGTAGGCCAAAAAATTCACTTTTTTAGCGCCGCAGGCGAAAATTTTGAGGATTTTGGAGCCCCCCCCCCCCCCAGCCCCCCCTGGCTACGCCCCTGCTGAAAACCCTCCGCCCCCCTCCCAAAAAATAATTTTCTTGAAAATAAAAATATTTAAATTATTCTGACTTGCGGATATTAAAAGTTGCGGGCATTTTAAAAAATATTCTTTAATTAATTTTTTAATTTTTAAAGACATTAATGATCCTCTCCCAATGGAAAAAGTTTCATCAATTTTGGGATGTGATTGTTCTGATCTTCGCCTTATATTAAACATTGCTGGTGTATATTCTCCAGATGTTTTGGCGACTGCTTGCTAGAAAAATTAATTGTAAAAATATTTTGTTTTAAAAATATTTATAAAAAAAGAGGGCTTATTTTAAATTAAAAAAATTGAGAGAGACTGCCAATATACAAAAAATTATTATTTATTTTTTTTTCTCTTAAAAATAAAAAATTATAAAAATATTCTACCTTCTTATTAGAGAGGTAGAGATTTAAAAGAGGTATATAAAGGTGCTTATTATTTAAAAAAATATATATATTCTCTTCTATAAATGTAGAAATTTTTTTAAAATATTTTAAAAAATCCTTCCCCAAAAATAGAGAATAGATATAAATAAATGTCTATACACAATATATATTATTTTGTTTGTTTGGCAAATTTTCACAATTTATATATATTTGTTTTGTTTCTTTCATTTATTGTTTTAAATAAAAATAAACACAAAATATTATTTAAGGGGGATCGAACCAGAAAAACATTTTTAAAGAGATGTTTTTATTTTATTCTGATTTTTAATGAGTATAAAAACATGTGTTTTTGATAATTGTTTTGTGTTTTTGAGTTTTAATTTGTTTGTGTTTTTGTTTTGTAGTTGTTCTGATTTTGTAATTGTTTTTGTATTTTTTTGTGTTGTAATTTAATTCTGATTTTTATTTAATGTGTTTTTGTTGTTATATTCTGATTGTTGTAAAAGTTTTTATTTCTGTTTTTATTCAGATTTTTATTTAATGTTGTAATCTAATTCTGATTTTTGTGGATGTTTGTGTTCTTGTTTGTTTTTGTGTTTTTGTTGCATTCTGATTTTCGTTAATGTTTGTGTTTTTGTCTTTATTCTGATTTTTGTGGATGTTTGTGTTTTTGTTTGGTTTTGTGTTTTTATGGTTGTTTTTGTTGCGTTCTGATTTTTGTTAATGTTTGTGGTTTTGTATGGTTGTGTTTTTATTCTGATTTTTAATTTTGTATTTTTTCTGTTTAATTCTGATTTGATTATTTAAGTTCGATCCCTCCAATAATATTTACTTTGAATAAAATTTGTGTTTTCTTTTTCTCTTTTGCATTAAAATGCTCTCTAGAAACTTTAACGGTATATAAAGTAAATTTACGGAAATTAAATTTTTTCTAAATTTTAATTTTCTGAAGGTTTTTATCGAAAAAAAATATTTTTTAAAAATAAAATTTTAACAATTTTTGAAATTTACAAAAATTATTTTCTCTTTCTAAATATAAAAACACTCCAATTAACACCTTTTCTTATTTGTTTTTCCCTCGGTTATTTATTATTAATTTTATTTTTAAAAAATTTGCTCATGGAATGCGCCATGTTTTAAAATTTATTTTAAAAGAATTTATGAAACTGAAAATTCTGAAAAAAAATTTTTTTTTAATTTTTTGGAATCTGAAAAAAATTTTTTTGGTCAGAATTTTTCTCGAAAAAAAATATTGCGCAGTTAATTATTTTAAAAAATTTAATATTTTTTTTCTATATATACTATAGAATACCACAGACTTCTCTCTCTCCTAAAAAATTATATTTATAAATATATTTTGTATATAATATTTTTTATTTATTTTTTAATTTACAAATTGCCGCATATATAAAGACGCTCATATACATTGTATTATAATTAAAAAAAATTTTTTTTTGAGGATTGAAAAATTTTGAAAAATAAAATAAAATTCAATCTTTTTAAAAAAATATATTTATATTTAATATTTTTATTTATATACGTATCTACATACACTTTATGTTTATACTCAGACCTTTCAGGCCACTTTAAAAATTTTTTTCTTGGTTATCTCAATTTTTTTCCAATATTTTAAAGGACCGACTATATTTATAAGGGAATGATGCTCTAATTTTTAAGTTTACAATTTAAGTTTAAAGTTTTTACAATTTGTAAAACTTTAATTTCTAAGAGACATTGAAAATTTACAAATTGTAAAATAAATAAATTTGAAAATAAATATTAGACTTGAATTGTGAAGTTTGTATTTTATAAACAAGTTTTTACAATTACAAATTTAATAAAACTTGAATTTGTAAAATTCAAGTTTTAATTTTTTACAATTTGTAAAAACTTTAATTTCTCAAAAATAAACTTGAAAACTTAAAGAGTACAAATTGTAAAAACTTAAGTTTCGGAAACTTGAGATTGTAAAACCCTAAACTTGAAACAAAAGTTGAAACAAAACCAAAACTTGAAACAAAAGTTTCAGGCATCAATCCCTTATTTTTATAAAAGAACTTGTGTAAATAATTGCCGGGGAGTTTTATTATTATTATTTTATTTATATATATATATATTTTTTGTCCTGCTCAACTGCCTTATATATAATTAAGTATTTGTGTATTAATAATATATTCAAGAAGCAAATTTTATTTTTATTTTATTATTATATATCACATTATATATATTTTTTTGGAATTTAAAAAGGAAAATAAAATAATAAATTTTGTTTGAAAATTATTTTTTATTTAAAAAATTTTTTAATTAATTTTAAAAAATATTTTAATTTTTGAATTAATTTTAATGGATAATTTTGATAGTTGATAGCAAAAAATATTAAGAATGTCATTAGCTCTCCTAACTATCTTTAGTTGCAGTTTAAATACAATTGCAATTGAAGCATTTACAAAGTTGGTTTATCTCTTTTTAAGATTAAACTTGAATTTGTAATTAAACTTGGATTGCATACTTATTTATTTTAAATATAAGAAACTTAAGTTTTACAATTTGTAAAAATATAAAACTTGGATTACAAAAAGAAGAAAGTTCAAACTTGAATTTTTACAAATTCAAGTTTTAAAGTTTTAAGTTTGTAAAAATATAAGGTTAAGTTTTAAGTTTTACAATTTGAGTTTTTACAAGTTTTTAAAACATAGGTTTTACAATCCAAGTTTTACAATTTGTAAAAATATAAAACTTGGATTGTAAAAAGAAGAAAGTTCAAACTTGAATTTTTACAAACTTAAGTTTTATTAAATATAAAATTGTAAAACTTTAAATAAAGTATATAAAAATTACAATCCAAGTTTTACAAATTGTAAAAAGTTTATTTATTCTCCTTTAAGTTTAATTGGTCGTTCTACACTTAGCTTTTTAACATTTGCAACATTTTTGTTTATGGTAATTAATGGGTTGTTGAATAAACAAATATTTTTAAGAAGGCATATTCCTTTAAGGTTTTTAATTTTTTTAATTTAAAAATAAATTTATAATTTTTCAGTTCTTATGTGTTAATTACTCTAATATTTTTTGTTGTCAGTTTAGCGAATAATTGGGTTATTGGACTAGGCGTTCCTTTCCCTTTAATTATTGTTTCACGCTCTGTTAGTTGCTTCTAACAATTTTTAAAAATTAAAAAAATTTTTTTTCAAAGGGTACCCTAGTAGCTAATGTCCTCTTAACCTTTCTACTTCAAAATAGAAGGTATTCGACTAGCAGGATTGCTTCAATTTTGGCTGTTACTTTAGGGATAACTTGCTTCACTTTATATAGTCAACAACCAATTTTATCAATTGAAGAAAATAATTTTGGATTCCCCATTATATTTTTTGGAATTTTAATTTTATTCCTGTCAATGTTTGCTTCGGCCTATTTGGGTATTTTACAAGAAAACATTTTTGCTAAATATGGAAAATACCCAGAAGAAATGATGTTTTATGTGGTAAATAATTTAAAATAAAATTAATTTTAAAATTTATTTTTGGCATCTTCTCTCACTCCCTCTTTTTGTTTTTGTTGGTAATGAAATTTTAAATGATTTTAATTTTTATTGGAATGCTTCAAATAAAATATTAATGTTCGGATTTGTGGGTGCTATTATTTGTTTACAGTTAAGTTTTTTTAAGTTTGTAAAAATGTTTCAAGTTTGGAAATGTTTCAAGTTTGTAAAAATGTTTCAAGTTTGCGAATATTTTGTAATTTCCGGAAAAGTTTTATTTTCGTTTTAATATTTTAATTACCCGGTTTCTATTTTCTTTCCGGAAAGTTTAATTTATTTTTATTTGTTCCGGAAAGTTGGTTTTCCAAGTTTTATTTATTTCCAAGTTTTCCGGAAAGTTGTAATAAGTTTTACAATTCTTCGAAAATAAAGTTGTAACAATTACAAATTGTAAAAAGGTGTATTTTAGTTTCCGGAAAGTGTATTTTCAAGTTTTGTATTTTTGCCAAGTTTTACAACTCTAATAAAGTTTATTTAAAATAAAGTTGCAACAATTACAAATTGTAAAAAGTTTTATTTAGAAAAATAAATAAACTTTTTACAATTTGTAATTGTTTCAACTTTCTTTTTAAATAAACTTTACAAATTGTAAAAAGTTTTATTTTTCCAGGTTTATTTGTATTCAAAGTGTTTACCGTCTAACTTCAACATTAAATTCCTTACAAATTACAATGCTTCTAACACTCCGAAAATTTCTAAATATTTTCTTTTCAATTTTATTATTTAAACATAATTTTGATTGGCAACATTATTTATCGTCATTGTTAGTTTTAATTGGAACTTTTACTTTTTATGAAGGGCATAAGAAGGTTATTGAATGGATGAGACTTGGAAGAGGAGAGGAAAGTGAGGAGGAAGAAAGGAAGGAGAAGAAAATATAAATTTTGGGAAAAAATTGTGTTGTTTTTTGTATTAATATGTATCGAAAGTAAATGCTCAGAAATTTATTTTTTTTTTAAATTGTGATCGGAAAATCGTAAAAATATTTTTTTATCTGAACGATCATTAAAAGGTTACAAGTTGATAAATGCAAGAAATCGTCGTTAACAAATTTTACATCGTTGTACTTGTGGGTTGAAGTCCGGCAAATATCAAGCAAAGTTTAGGCTATCTTAAAAATAAAATTAAAAACCGAAATAATAAAGATAAATTCTTACCAGTTTATGATGCAAATTCTCTGAGAAAGTTTTCACTGTACGAATGTATAAATATTTTATTTATTCTTGTATTAGACAGAAGGTACTAGAGAATAACACTGGGTACATATGTATTTTTTAATGTTTAAAAGCCCCCTAAGCAGGGGACAGGTCCCATGTACAAAACGGCACATGGACACTCCAAAAATGGCCCCCTGCACAAGGCAGGGGGACTTGAGTTGCCCCCTGCACAAGGCAGGGGGGCTTGAGTTGCCCCCTGCACAAGGCAGGGGGACTTGAGTTGCCCCCTGCACAAGGCAGGGGGACTTGAGTTGCCCCCTGCACAAGGCAGGGGGACTTGAGTTGCCCCCTGCACAAGGCAGGGGGACTTGAGATGCCCCCTGCACAAGGCAGGGGGGCTTCAGTTGCCCCCTGCACAAGGCAGGGGGACTTGAGTTGCCCCCTGCACAAGGCAGGGGGACTTGAGTTGCCCCCTGCACAAGGCAGGGGGACTTGAGTTGCCCCCTGCACAAGGCAGGGGGACTTGAGTTGCCCCCTGCACAAGGCAGGGGGACTTGAGTTGCCCCCTGCCTTGTGCAGGGGGGCTTGAGTTGCCCCCTGCACAAGGCAGGGGGACTTGAGTTGCCCCCTGCACAAGGCAGGGGGACTTGAGTTGCCCCCTGCACAAGGCAGGGGGACTTGAGTTGCCCCCTGCACAAGGCAGGGGGACTTGAGTTGCCCCCTGCACAAGGCAGGGGGACTTGAGATGCCCCCTGCACAAGGCAGGGGGACTTGAGTTGCCCCCTGCACAAGGCAGGGGGACTTGAGATGCCCCCTGCACAAGGCAGGGGGGCTTGAGTTGCCCCCTGCACAAGGCAGGGGGACTTGAGTTGCCCCCTGCACAAGGCAGGGGGACTTGAGTTGCCCCCTGCCTTGTGCAGGGGGGCTTGAGTTGCCCCCTGCACAAGGCAGGGGGACTTGAGTTGCCCCCTGCACAAGGCAGGGGGACTTGAGTTGCCCCCTGCACAAGGCAGGGGGACTTGAGTTGCCCCCTGCACAAGGCAGGGGGACTTGAGTTGCCCCCTGCACAAGGCAGGGGGGCTTGAGTTGCCCCCTGCACAAGGCAGGGGGACTTGAGTTGCCCCCTGCACAAGGCAGGGGGACTTGAGTTGCCCCCTGCACAAGGCAGGGGGACTTGAGTTGCCCCCTGCACAAGGCAGGGGGACTTGAGATGCCCCCTGCACAAGGCAGGGGGGCTTGAGTTGCCCCCTGCACAAGGCAGGGGGACTTGAGTTGCCCCCTGCACAAGGCAGGGGGACTTGAGTTGCCCCCTGCCTTGTGCAGGGGGGCTTGAGTTGCCCCCTGCACAAGGCAGGGGGACTTGAGTTGCCCCCTGCACAAGGCAGGGGGACTTGAGTTGCCCCCTGCACAAGGCAGGGGGACTTGAGTTGCCCCCTGCACAAGGCAGGGGGACTTGAGTTGCCCCCTGCACAAGGCAGGGGGACTTGAGATGCCCCCTGCACAAGGCAGGGGGGCTTGAGTTGCCCCCTGCACAAGGCAGGGGGACTTGAGTTGCCCCCTGCACAAGGCAGGGGGACTTGAGTTGCCCCCTGCACAAGGCAGGGGGACTTGAGTTGCCCCCTGCACAAGGCAGGGGGACTTGAGTTGCCCCCTGCACAAGGCAGGGGGACTTGAGATGCCCCCTGCACAAGGCAGGGGGGCTTGAGTTGCCCCCTGCACAAGGCAGGGGGACTTGAGTTGCCCCCTGCACAAGGCAGGGGGACTTGAGTTGCCCCCTGCACAAGGCAGGGGGACTTGAGTTGCCCCCTGCACAAGGCAGGGGGACTTGAGTTGCCCCCTGCACAAGGCAGGGGGACTTGAGTTGCCCCCTGCACAAGGCAGGGGGACTTGAGATGCCCCCTGCACAAGGCAGGGGGGCTTGAGTTGCCCCCTGCACAAGGCAGGGGGACTTGAGTTGCCCCCTGCACAAGGCAGGGGGACTTGAGTTGCCCCCTGCACAAGGCAGGGGGGCTTGAGTTGCCCCCTGCACAAGGCAGGGGGACTTGTTGCCCCCTGCACAAGGCAGGGGGACTTGAGTTGCCCCATGCACAAGGCAGGGGGACTTGAGTTGCCCCCTGCACAAGGCAGGGGGACTTGAGTTGCCCCCTGCACAAGGCAGGGGGACTTGAGTTGCCCCCTGCACAAGGCAGGGGGACTTGAGTTGCCCCCTGCACAAGGCAGGGGGACTTGAGTTGCCCCCTGCACAAGGCAGGGGGACTTGAGTTGCCCCCTGCACAAGGCAGGGGGACTTGAGTTGCCCCCTGCACAAGGCAGGGGGATTTGAGTTGCCCCCTGCACAAGGCAGGGGGACTTGAGTTGCCCCCTGCACAAGGCAGGGGGACTTGAATTGCCCCCTGCACAAGGCAGGGGGACTTGAGTTGCCCCCTGCACAAGGCAGGGGGACTTGAGTTGCCCCCTGCACAAGGCAGGGGGACTTGAGTTGCCCCCTGCACAAGGCAGGGGGACTTGAATTGCCCCCTGCACAAGGCAGGGGGACTTGAGTTGCCCCCTGCACAAGGCAGGGGACTTGAGTTGCCCCCTGCACAAGGCAGGGGACTTGAGTTGCCCCCTGCACAAGGCAGGGGGACTTGAGTTGCCCCCTGCACAAGGCAGGGGGACTTGAGTTGCCCCCTGCACAAGGCAGGGGGACTTGAATTGCCCCTTGCACAAGGCAGGGGGACTTGAGTTGCCCCCTGCACAAGGCAGGGGACTTGAGTTGCCCCCTGCACAAGGCAGGGGACTTGAGTTGCCCCCTGCACAAGGCAGGGGGACTTGAGTTGCCCCCTGCACAAGGCAGGGGACTTGAGTTGCCCCCTGCACAAGGCAGGGGACTTGAGTTGCCCCCTGCACAAGGCAGGGGGACTTGAGTTGCCCAGGGGGACTTTAGTTGATGCTAAAGATGTCGAAGAGTTGTTATTGAAGAAGTTGGAAGAGTCAGATATTGAAGATTTGTCTGAGTCATCCGACAAGGAAGAATCTGTGGAAGACGAGTCTAAAAAAGAGAATAAATACAAAAAAAAATATTCAAAAAAAACCTGAGGAATCTGAATCAGATGAGAACTTCTCCATTGAAGATCCACCAACAAAAGAAGCATCAATACCTAATGTCCACCGCATTTTTCTTCGTCCAACAACTCCAAGTTTGGTGCTACTTCTGCTTCGGCACGAACAGCAATATCCTCTTCAGCATTGTAAACAATTTTATTCTAAAAGAAAAAGAAGAAAATTTTGAAGAAAAAGATGATTGAAAAATACCCGTGAAAAGCTAAGAGATTAGCAACATTTGACTGAACATAAGCATTTGTACCGGAACCACGAGCTGTTGACAAACCAAAACGTTGTTGTATGTACATTTTTTAATTTTAAAGTAAACTTAAAAGAAAAAAAATTTAGGTACAGCCAGGCGCGCGGCTATAACGGCGCAAAGCCATAACTTGATTCAAAATTTCCGAATCTTACCAAATTTAGTATTAATCGATTCCTCTCATCGAGCTAAAGAGATTGGTACCAAAATTGATAAGAGTCGGAAATGTTCCTGCTAGTTATGGCTTTGCGCCGTTACGGCCGTGCGCCTAATTGGGCGTGCCCCAGCAAACTTAAATGAAAGAAAAATTAAGAAAATCGAAAATCAATAAAATGAGCCCTGACAAAATGACACGAAGGCAAAAACGAAAAAACGGTTTGCGACAAAATGGTAAACAAAAAAATATAGGTATGATTTTTCTGGGTAGGGAACCTTTCAGAGTAGCCGGTTTAGAGTGCTGGTAAAAGTGGACGTTTCAGAGACACAAATTTTTGAGTTTTGGGGTGCGCGACTTTGACAATTGTCTGCCGTAAATTGTCCCACTGTACAGTTGTCTCACTGTCCAATTGTCGTGTCACCGTTCCGTAACAAAAAATAAAAAAAACAGAATGCCAATTCAATAAATTAATTATTTGGACATTAGAGTCTCACATAAAAAATTTTTCTTTTTCCCCTGGATTTTTAATTGTTTAAATTTTTTTAAATTTTTATTAGCAAAAATGAAACGTTTCAATCAACAACCAACTACCCCAACAACATCAAACCCAATTCCAATTAAAAGAAAAATACAGCCAGTGTTTCTAGGAGGAATTGGGGGAAGTGGAATGACTGAAAATAGGTTTGCCTTTAAATAAAATTTTTTTTTTAGAAATTAAAAAAAAATTTTTTTCTAGTCCTAGCAATCCTCTGTTCAATTCTCAATTAAATATTGGAATAAATAATTTTATTAATTCGACAACAAATTTATTTGGGGCAAATTCCCCCCAGCAGCAATCCTCGCAGCAGTCGCAGGGACAACCGACACGTTTATTTTTCAATAAAATTTCTGAACAAAATATAAATAAACAAATAATTAATGAACAAAAACAAGTAGAAGAAGAAAAATCTAAAAATAATTTAAATGGAATTAATTCAAATACGTCTGCGTCAATCAGTTCAACACAACAAACGTTGTCTGTGAATTGTCTGTCGGTAGAAAGTCCGGAAAGAAATTGGCAGGTAATTGTGTTTTATTTTCCGGAAGGTTTTGTATTTTCTCTTAGTTTTCTTTAGTGTTATATTTCTTTCCGGAAAGTTATTTTATAAAAATAAAATACAAACCTTTCCGGAAGGAAAAATACAAAACTTTCCGGAAACATAATATAATGTTTTCCGGAAAGTTTTATATTTATTTATTTCCGGAAAAGTTTTTGTATTTTTCTCTTAATTTTCTTTAGTGCTATATTCTTTCCGGAAAGTTCTTATTTTATAAAAAAAAATACAAAACTTTCCGGAAACATTAATATATTGTTTTCCGGAAAGTTTTATATTCTATTTAATTATTCTATTTCTTTCCGGAAAACATTTAAAATTACTGAACCCTTAAGAACACGCACTTCCATCTTTTTAAAAATTCATAACTTTAGTTTGCCCCAAGCTAAAAATTTAAATTTTATATCAAACGAAAGAGGAGATTCTGGTCTATCATTTAAAATAAAAAATAAAATTTTATTTTAAAAATTAAAATTTTTATTAATTTTTAAAAAATTTAAGGTGGAAGAATTGACACCTTTACCCCAACTCAAAAAATTAAATTCTTCTGCAGAATTAACTCCATTGCTTAGACCTTCAGATTTACAAAATGTCCCGTCTTCAGATTCTGTTGATATGGCTACTCCACAAATTCAAAAATTTTTGTGTTTTGCTGTTCCTTTGGTTTTTTTTTGAATTTTTTTAAAAATTAATTTTTCTTCTTTCAAGTCCCCAACTTGTAATATTGACCAAATTTTAGTCAAAAATTCAATAAATACCAAAAAGACGTTAAAATATGCCAAAATTCAGGCAAAATTTGCCAGAGAATTGAGATGGACTCAAACAGTTGCCTCTCCAATTCTTTTGCTTAGAGCTAACAAGTTTGGATTTTTTGTATTTTTCGAAATATTTTTAAAGATTTTGGACAGTTTGTACACTCGAAGACAATAATTTAATGATTTTTAATACTCAAAGTGGAATAAACCATTTATCCCTCCACACGGGCAGTGCTATTGCCTTTTTGGAAATTAAATCTGATTTTTGTTTAACAATTGGAATTAATGGAGAATTAAGTATTTGGTAAGAATAAGAAAATTTTTTTTCATCCAAAAAAATTTTTAAGGGATTTAAAAAAATCTACACGAATTTTGCAAACGTCTGTTGGGACTCTACTTGCACGACATGGTTATTTATTTTAATTAAAACCTTTTCGGAATATATTTCCGGAAAAGTTTATATTTCTCTTTGAAATTGATTATTTTATTTTTTTGGAAATTTATTTATAGTTCTAGGAAATAATTCCGGAAAGAAAATATAAAAATAACTACATATAAATGAATAAAACTTTTCCGGAAAATCTATTTTACATATTTCCGGAAGGTTTATACTTATTTTTATTCTTTCCGGAAATTTCTATATATTTTATATAGTTTCCGGAAAATATGGGAAAATAGACTTTTCCGGAAAATTATATTTCCGGAAATCTTTTATCTGTTTTTATTTTCCGGAAATTGTTATATATTTTATTATATATACTTTCCGGAAAAAAATATATAAGAAACTTTTCCGGAAAGATTTACTTAAGGAATATATAAATGTTAGTAAAGTTTCCGGAAAATTCTTTTTTCTATATTTCCGGAAAAATATAAGGGAATAAACCTTTCCGGAACTTTTCGGAAAAATATGAATAATTATAGTCAAGTCTTCCGGAAAATAGAATATTAAAGAAAATATTGTATATAAGTTTCCGGAAAAATTATTTTCTATATTTCCGGAAAGTATAATCATTATATTTCAGGTGCCCCAATTCCCTCCCTTAAAATTGTTCGTCTCTGTCTTTCAACTAACGGTTTACCTTTAATTGCCCTTTCAAATGGAGAAGTTTTTCTATTTTCTCGTTCACTCAATTCTTGGTTGTGTATAATTGTTGGGCAACAAAAATGTGGGGGAGGGCTATTTGATACTTCTTTGTCTTCACTTTTGACAGCAATGCAATTTATAGCAAATTCTTTACCTAATGGATTAATTTCTCTTTTAATTGGGAAATTGGTAGGGGGATTTAATTTAAAAAATATAAAAATTTATTTTAAAGCAATTAATTAATGATAAAAATAAATTACCTGTAAATTCTCAATGTGAAGAAATGGCAGCATCAAATGAAGAGGCACAATTGGAATTATTACTTAGAGCGGTAGAATATTTATTATTAACTATAAACAGTTAATATTTCCTTTCCGGAAATGTTTTATTTATTCGATTTTATTTTCCGGAAAGAAAATAAAATATAAATTCCGGAAGGAAGATAATTTCCGGTTATATTTCTTTACTTGATATTCTTTCCGGAATTTTCCTGAAGTTTTATTTTAATTTTCTTTTCCGGAAATTTTTTATTATTATTTTAATTTTAACCGGAAACGTTTAATTTATTCTATTTTTCTTCCGGAAAGTTTTCTATTTTATAGTACATTTTCCTTTAATATTTTATTTTCCGGAAAGAATATTCTTTCTCAAAATTATTATGTACCTTTTCCGGAATTTTCCGGAAAAGGTTTAATTTATTCTATTTCTCTTCCGGAATTATTTCCTTTCCGGAAAGTTTATTTTTTTATTTTCCGAAAAATATTTTATTTTTCTCTTCCGGAATTTTTTTACTATTTCCGGAAAGGTTTTATTTACTCTATTTCTTTTCCGGAAAGTTATATTCCTTCCGGAATCTTTCATATTTCATTTTTCTTATATGTATTATTTCTATTTTTCCGGAAAAGTTTTATATTTTATTCTGATATTTTTAATTAATTTTTAAAGGCTTTTGAATTAGAATCACGAGAAGAATATCGCTTCCTAGCAGCTTTGTATCTCCAAAAACTTGTTAAACGAGGTGATTAAATATTTATATTTAATTTAATTATTTTTATTTTTAAAGGTAAAAAAGAAAAAATTGTCGATTTTATAAACGATTTAAAAACAAATTTGTCTTCATTTATTCAAACAGAAACAATTTTGGAGGATATTAGGCCATTTATTAATTTTAATAATGAAAAAGGAGAAAATTTGGTAAAAAATATTTTTGAAGGAGAGGGGGATATAAATAAATTGAGAAGTGAAAAAGAATTGGAAAGGAGTTTTTCTTGGCTTTGTTAAAAATTAAAATTAATTTTTTAAAAGTTATTTTTCAAATTATTTTTTTTTATTAAAATTATTTTTTTGTCAAATTTTTCCTAAACTTGACCAATAGATATTTTAAGAAAAAAAAATTAATTTTTTTTTTGCTAAATCTTTTTTTTTCTTCAAAATTTTATATCAAAAAATCCTTAGGAAATGTATATATTTTTTTGGAAGAAAAAAAGATAAAAAAGCAAAGCCAAAATTGATGTTTTATGTTTTTTCACTTCCTTTTTGACTCTCACGAAATTTAGTACTTTTTAAAGAAGCTTTTTGGTTTTTCTTTCAGCTGACCAATGACGTAAAGAATATATAACTTCATTCAATGTTTATAGGGGATAGAATATATTAAACTTTCCGGAAAGCTAAAATTGAAAATTGAATAGAATATTAATAAAAAACTTTCCGGAAAACTTGAAAGAATATTAATAGAGATTCTATTAAGTTTCCGGAAATTTATGTATTTTCCGGAAAGTTTAATATTCTTTCCGGAATACTCTATATACTTTTCCGGAAATTAGGCATAGATATAATATTAATATAAATCATTCCGGAAAGTTTCCGGAAACAGTTTTCTTCTTGAAAATACATTTTTGTATTTTCCGGAAAGTTTATAATTCTTTCCGGAATACTTTATATACTTTTCCGGAAATTAAGCATAGATTAAATATTTATATAAAACATTCCGGAAAGCTTCCGGAACCTTTTTTACAATTAATTTATTCAGTAAGTATTAATTCTATAACCACAAGAAAATTAATTTTTATTTAATCAAAATACTTTTCTAAATAAAAAAATTTCCCTCCAATTTTGCTTTTTTTGTTGATGAATTGCTTTTTCTTTCTTTTGTTATATTTTTCAGCAATTTGCTTCCAAGTTTTTTTAGAGTTTGTCTAAGCATGTTTGGGATATCCCTTTACTTATTCCACTAAAAATGCCATTGTTGTTGTCTTTAACAAAAACCCCTTAAAAGAAGAAGCATAAAAATAGTTAACGTTTGGCTGTTTCTTTTCTGTGATAGCGTCAATAAAAAATAAATGTTAAATTATATAAAGTTTTAATTTTCTATTTCCGGAAAGTTGCAAGTATTTTGCAGATTTTTAATTTGTTTTCCGGAATATATTTTACAATTCTTTCCGGAAAGTTTTATTTCCCATAGTACATCTATTTATTTTCCGGAAAGTACTTATAATATAATTTTTTCCGGAATTTTAATAAAACATTTCCGGAACGTTTAAAAATACATTTAGTATTTTCCGGAAAGTTTAATACATGAATATAATTCTTTCCGGAAGGTTTTATTTTCTATACATCTATTTATTTTCCGGAAAGTTTAATACGTATAATTCTTTCCGGAAAGTTATATTCCCTTCCCTTAAAATACGCACTTAAAGTTTCAAGTTTGTAGAATATTAGTGTATTATTATGCACTTGCTTCACCGTGCCTTTTCTTCAATTAACAAATGTTCAATTATTACAACAACAATTATATTAATATTAATAGGGGCTATTTTTGTAGTTTTTGCTTTCGTAGTAAAATCACCGCCTGGAAGAGTTTTTCTAGAAGAAAATTTTCAAAATTCACCAATTTCATATGCCTATACCCAATTAGACGAAAATATAGAAGGAAAAGGACAACAAAAAATAGAAAATCATAAACACAGAAATAATACCCACAGAAATCATGTCAAACCGTCTTTCCTTCGGAAAAGCCATCCGATAGAATTAACAATAGATTCTGGCTCTATACGTGGGGAATATTTGGTTGGGGGGATTTTTGGGTATTTTAATATTTTTTAAAATTTTTAGACTATTGGAGCTAATGAATTTGCTGTGTTTAAAGTTGGAAAATAAATAATAAAAAAAAATAAAATTTAAAATTTTAAGGGCATCCCCTATGCCGCCCCTCCAGTAGGCTCTCTTCGCTTCCAACTCCCCGAACTTCCAGCCAAATGGAGAGGGGTAATGAATGCTTCACAATATGCCCCGGTAGAATAATTTTGGAGGAAAAAATTAATTTCCCCCAAATTTCCTTTCGAAAATAAATTTATTAAATTTTAAAAGATGTGTGCTCAACGCCATAGAGACAGAGCTATAGACCCTTTAAATTTGTATAAAATTCATATTTCTGAAGATTGCCTTTATTTAAATGTTTTTGCGCCTCCTCAAGTATTTAATCTTTAAATTTTAAAAATAAAAATTAATTTACCCCTAGTTTACCAATGATTCCTATCCAACTATTGTATTTTTACATGGTGGTCGGTTTCAGTATGGGTCTAGTGCCGACTGTTAGTTTTTTTTATTTTTATAGTGAAAAATATATAAAAAATAAAATTAAAAAAATTAAAAATTTTTTTTAAAAATAAAATTTAAATAAAAAAATTATTTAAATAACATTCTATAATGATAGAAAAAAAAGAATAACCCCCATAGGAATCGAACCTCCCCCACCGCTCCCCAAAATCAAGGTGACTACCCACTTAACCAAAACGCTAACATATTGAAATCCTTTAAAGACTGCTCTTAAGACTAATTCTAAATTAATATAATAAACTCCCAAGGTACAGAAAAGCAGAAAAATTTAATTTTCTAGACCCTCAACACGCAATTCTAAACAATTTTGTTTCTCGAAAAGTAGTCTTTGTTTCATTAAACTTTCGTCTTGGCCCCATGGGATTTCTCTCTACAGGCGATTCTGTTCTTCCAGGCAATTTGGGTCTGTGGGATATTTTGTTGGCTTTGAAATGGGTACAAATAAATGTATGGAAATTAAAAATTTTTTGAAAATTTTCCGAAAAATTTAAAGGCTCACGTATTTGGAGGAGACCCTAATAACGGTAAAATTCAAAAAAAATTTTTTAAATCCCCCGATATTTTATTTTTCAAGTTTTATTGATGGGACACGGCTCAGGCGCTTCGGCTGCTTCCCTTTTGGCACTATCACCCAAAGCTGAGGGTCTTTTCCATAAAATTATGTTAATGAGTGGAACAGCTATGTACTTGTTAAATAAATTCAATTAAAAAATTAATCCCTTTAAAAGAACCCCCGGGACCGTCCGCGACACAGCAATTAACGCTACATGGGCGTTAGATGCCCGTCTGCATTGTCGATCGTTTAATTCTTCTGAATTACTGGAATGTTTTAAGAAACAATTGAGAGATGAAATACTTGATTTTGAGGTGTTTTTTTGAAAATTTTTTGAAAATTTTTTGAAAATTTTTGAAAAATTTTTTTAAGCCTGACCCAGACCCAGACTACGATTTATTTGTCCCTATTATTGATGGAGAACAAGGGATAATACCTGATGACCCAGAATCATTAGCACTTTCACGGAGAAAAATGCCTATAATGCTTGGAACGACGAGGGATGAGAGCGCCCTGCAAATATGTAATTTAAAAAATTTTGGCGGCATTCCGGAAAAATTATTCCGGAAAAAAATTAAATTAAATTAAACAATTTCCGGAAGGAATATAACAAATAAATAAGCTTTCCGGAAAGTTTATTTTTAAGTGAGGGTATACTAATAATATTCCGGAAATATAAATAGAACATTCCGGAAACTATACTCATATATTCCGGAAGGATAAATAAAATATTCCGGAAGATTATTCTCACTTTCCGGAAAGATAATAAGGCATTCCGGAAACGACTTATATTTTCCGGAAAAATAAATAAAATACTCCGGAAAAATAAATAGAACATTCCGGAAAATACATCTATTTTCTATTACATTAAAGACATTTCCGGAAAAATAAATTTATAAATTCCGGAAGAAATATATTTTCTATTTTCAGTATTGCTAAAAGAAAAACCGGTAAATCTGAGTGAGGGTCTACTAATCAGTGAAGCAGAACAATTAGTAACCAACCTTACAAGCTCATATACTGGCTTCACAAATAAACAATTAATTGGAGAAGCAACAAAACACGAATATATTTGGAGTAAAGTAGACCCGTCAGAATCTCCACACCTTAACGAGTCTATTTTGAAGGCAAATATTTTTGAAAAATTTTTTTAATTTTCAAATAAATTAAAAAGATGTTCTCCCACTTTTGGTACGATGCTCCAACATCAAGACTGGCAACTTATTATGCCCGCCAAGCAATGCCCGTCTTTCTCTATTCGTTTGATCATGTTAGCGAGAACTTTGAAACAAACTGTGAGTTGAGTTTTCAGGGAAATGTACTTATTCTTATTCCGGAAAAATAATTAAAATTCCGGAAAATATTAATATTTTCCGGAAGAATATATTTCCCTTCCGGAAGAATAAATAAAATGTTTTCCGGAAACTATTATATTTTTCCGGAAACTATATTCTCATTCCGGAAAAATAAATTAAAAATTCCGGAAAAGTATTCTATTTTCCGGAAAATACATCTATTTTTCATTACATTAATATTTAAAACATTCCGGAGAGTTATATTTTCCGGAAAATTCCGGAAAATACATTAATTCCGGTCATTTATTCTGAAATACATTTAATATTAAAATACATAAATTATAACCAAGGGGTCTTCCACGGCTGTGATGAAATTTTTCTTTTCGAACTTGAACGCCGCTTTCTAGTAACCAGGCGTGACAGAAACTGGCAATTGGACAGGCGAGTAACAGAATTATTTGCAGACATGATTGTTAATTTTTTGAGGACCGAGTTTGTATTTTTCTTGTATTCTTCTGCATTTTTATTTCAATTTAAGCGACCCAACCCCCGAATCTGCCCGTCTTAATTTTAATTGGAATTCTAGTTCAACTGGAGAATTGGACCATTTATCTGTTACAGACTCTCCTTCAATGAGAGTTGGGTTTAGATGGCAAGCACACATTTTTTGGAATAAATATGGTGTGTATTTTTTTGATTTTTATACAAAATATGAGGAAAATTTTTGTCCGCAAAATTTTTTGTCCGCAAAAATTTTTGCGGACAAATTTTTGCGGACAAAAATTTGTCCGCAAAAATTTGCGGACAATAATTTTACCTACAATATTTTTTAAGTCCGCCATTTGGATTCTGTCGATGTAGGAAATATGCAGAAAATAACTTTATTGGATAAACAATTGGGAGATTATCAGTTGGCAACTTGGCTACTACTATTTTGTTCACTCTTCTTTTTTGCTATACTTGTTGGGCTTGCTTGTTATTGTACTAGAAAGGAACCGGATGAAGACGAATTATAAAAAAATAATTAAAAAAAGGACTCCCTCATTTTTAAAGAATATCAATTTATATATTGTCTTTCATTTAAAATAAAAAAAATTTTTTTATTTAAATAATTTTTGGTCGAAAAATTAAAAAACAGGGCAGGGACGAAATATACATACTTTAAGTATGAATCTATTTCTCTAACCAGAATTTTTTCCGGAAAATAAACTTTCCGGAAAGCTTATTTATTCGTTATATTCCTTCCGGAAGGTGTTTAATTTTATTATTTTCCGGAAATAATTTTCCGGAAAGTTTATTTTTATTTTATTTTTATAGTTATACTATTTCCGGAAAGCATATTATACTTTCCGGAAAGTATAATTAATTCACTAAAATTTAATATTTTTTCTTTCTTTTAAATTTCTTTCTTCTTTTGCTTTTATGAACTAATTCTGGGTGTATTCTTTTAAATTTTAATATAAGCGTTTTTAATGCATCAGCCCAGAATTCGCGTCCCTCGAATATTGAAGGGTGGTTATTTTCTAAAAAATATTTTAATTAATTTGCGGACAAGTTTTATGGTCAAGAAATTATTTTTTACTAACTTGCCTTCTTGAATTTGTTGGTCTACTTCCTTTTTCCTTTTATTTTGCTGTCTAAATACAAGAGGTGAAGCGTGCAACCGTTGAGAAGCTTGAGGTTTTATTGGAGAATTATTTGTAGACATTTTTGCTTAATTTGGTAAATTTAGAAACTAGTTCCGGAAAAATACTTATTAGTGGTTGCTCAATAAAATTTAAAATTTTAAAATTTTATTTTTAATGGAAAATATTTTATTTATGGAACACTCAGGAAAATGTTGTTTTTGTTTTATAGTAGTAAACCTTTCCGGAAAATATATTCGTATTCCGGAAATTATTTTTCTTTTTAGAATAAAATATTTTCCGGAGAATATTCTTTAAGATAATACTTTCCGGAATAGTAAATTATTTATTTATAGAATATTCCGGAAAATTTTTTTAAATAGACTGCATTCATTCCGGAAAATAGATATTTGTTTTATATTTTCCGGAAAAAGTTTATTCATAAAAATATTTCGGAAAATGTTGTATATTCATTTTCCGGAATTCTCTTCCGGAAAAGAATATTCAATAAAATGTTTACCTATTTATATTTTCCGGAAAATGTTAACTTTCCGGAAAATATATTCGTATTCCGGAAACTTTTCTTCCGGAATAGAATATTTTCCGGAAAACGTTCTTTAAAATAATATTTTCCGGAATAGTAAATTATTTATTTATAGAATATTCCGGAAAATGTTGTATATTCATTTTCCGGAACTTTTTTTCATTTTCCGGAAAAGAATATTCAGTAAAATATTTACCTATTTATATTTTCCGGAAAATGTTCTTTTACTATATTAAACTTTCCGGAAAATATATTTCCGGAAATTCTTTTTAATATTATAAGCAAATATTACCATTCTCAACGTGTGCCCATCCTTCTCTTCTTTTTGTAATTAAATTATCTTTATTTATTTTAATATTATTTTTTCCTGACAATTTTTCTGATAATTTTTCCTCTAATAATTTTTCCTCATTTTTAATTAAATTTTTGGATTTAATAAAATTATTTTTATTTTTGTGGGACAAGATGTCTACATTAATAAAAGAAGATTTTGGAAGATTTAAAGGGGTATATTTTTGTTTTTCTTTAATTAAGTATCCAAAACAATAATAAAAATTAAATAAAATTGGAAGGAGAAGAAGAATAAATTTTATATTTATTTTCATTTTTGGATTATTTTCTTTGGATTAATTATAATTATCCCCTCTTTAAATCTCTCTTTTAATATTAATTTGTTTTTTTTAATTTTTTGGATGTTCTGTGGTCATCAACAAACACCGCCTTAGGATAAACTCTGTTTTTGGGAACGAAAAAAAATTAAAGAAAGTAACAAGAAATTAATAAGGAGGATTTTGGGCGATTTTTTGGGTCATTTTGTTGAAAGGAAATATATCTTCCTCTCCCGTTCTTCTATAAATAACCAATAAAAATAAAAAAATTAATTGTTTTTTCTTTAAAAATTTGTTTTTTGATTATTATTTGAACGATATATTTATAATTATTTTTAATTCATTAATTTTTTAGTATTTTGATTTTTAATGGTTATTCATATTGTTCAACTGTTTTCGTTTAAATTCCGGAAAATATTTTATATTTTCCGGGAAAGGTTTTGTATCCGGTAAATATACTTTCCGGAAAATATTATAAATATTATTCCGAAAAATATCTATTTTATACTTTCCGGAAACATTTATAAAATATTCCTGAAATGTTTTTATTGTGTTCCGGAAAATCTTTATATTTTACAGAAAAGGGTTTGTATTATTAAACTTTCCGGAAATATTTTAAATATTATTCTGGAAAATATGTATTTTATATTTTCCGGAAAACATTTGTAATATATTCCGGAAATGTTTCTCTTTTGTAATATTAAAACTTTCCGTAAAATATTTATTTTATATTTTCCGGAAAATGTTATTTTTATTGTTTTTAATAATAACTTTCCGGAAAATATATTCATATTTCGGAATTCTTTTCCTTTTTTGAATAGAATATATTCCGGAAAAACCCCCTTCCGGAAATTACTTTCCCACAGAAATTCTATCCATTTTAAAACCCTAATATTAATCAAAAATTAATCATGTTTAAAATTTATTATATCTAGACAAACTAAAAATTTCTAGCCATTTTGAATTAGCAAAATATTTAAAATTTATGGGTATATTTAATCAAAAATGTTAATTTATTGCCTTAAAAATATTTTTTAAAAATTATTATTTTTGTTGTTGCCAAAATTCATCTAACGATATTGCTGAAACGTTATCTAAAGGGCCAACTGGGGGAGGACGATCAAAAGTTTTTCTTTTTATTCGAATTCTTGTTCCTCCTTCTCCCTCTGTTTTTACTAGATTTGCTGTACTAGAAGGAATATTACCCTTTCCGGAAACTTTTTCCGGAAAAGTTTCTTTTTCCTCTCCCTTTTCTTCTTTTCCTTCTCTTGTTGCTTCTCTAGAGCTTTTTCCGGATTCCCCTATTTTTTCACTCTCTTTTGCTTCTTTTGGTGGGGGTGTTTTAGTTTTATCCGTAGATGTTGTTCTAGTAGTTCTCATTAATTCAATAGGTGGTCGAACTGGATGTTCGGTGGCTGCTATGGCTGCTGAAGCTATTGCTGACGTTGCCACCTTTAAAATTAAGAGGAAAAATAAATTGAGACTCTAATGACCCCCTTAAATGACCACTAGATGACCACACCCTCATTTGACCACTAGAGACCCCTTAAATGACCACTAGATGACCACCCCGTTAGATGACCACTAGACCACTGACCCCCTTAGATGACCACTAGAGACCCCTTAGATGACCCTAGAGACCCCTTAAATGACCACTAGATGACCACCCCGTTAGATGACCACTAGACCACTGACCCCCCTTAGATGACCACTGGAGGCCTACCTTTGCAGCCTTGAAATGATCTCCAATGGCATAACTATCCATCATTTTCTCATCAAAATTATTAATTCTTTCCTCTTTTGTCCTCTTATCTTTAAATTGGCTCAATCCCCCTTCCCCATTTTCTCCATGCAGTTCTACTTGAACTACTTTTTGTTGAATCTCTCCTCCATCATCAGACTCTAATTGTTTAAATTGTTGGCTATTAACATATTGTTCTGATTCTATAACATTTTTGTGTTTATACTGTTTAAATTGTTCCCCTCCTCCGTTGTACTGCTCCAACTCCTCGTCCATGTGGTTGTGTTGCGTGTACTGCTCCAACTCCTCGTTTTCTCCATTATTTTCTCCAGTATTTTCTCCAGTATTTTTCCTTCCTCCCTCATCATTCAATTCCATCAAAAAATTATCTTCTCCCTCCCCTTCACCATTTATTTTACTTGCTCTCCTTATTTTTTGTCTTTCCTTTTCTTCGTGTTCCTCTTCTTCAGAATCAGGTTCATACCCCATATTGTGTCTATCTTTTTCTTCTTCCTCTTCTTCCCTATCAGTTGTTCCCCCACCACTTACACCAGCACCCATCCATCCTTTTCTTATTTTTTTCTCAGAAATTTTCCTTCCCTCCTCAACAAAAGAAGGCTGATTTGGACTCATTCTGATACGAGGAGAAGAGTTGAGATCATCCTCGGGTGGGGAATCAACAGATGCAATTTCTGCTGAAAGTTGTTGTGGGTGAAGTTTAGTGGCCTTTAAATGGTTCAAAAATATTTTTTCCGATTTAAAAAATTTTTTTATGGTCAGACCTCATTATGAGATAGATACCCATTGACTGAAAAAAATGAGGTTATCTTATAATGAGGTGTGTTTTAAATCAAGGGTTTATGTTTATATTGTTTGAATCCTTCCAACCCCCTCCTCCCACCCTGTACTGCTCCAACATGGTGTTTTATATGGTTGTGTTGCGTGTACTGCTCCAATTTTTCGTCTACTACTTTTATTCCTTCCCCCACATAGAGAGGACAACCAAGTAAGAAAAGTCTCTTAAATAGAGGTGTACCTAGTATTGGGGGTATCCACAAATGAGGTCTTTAATGCTCGAAAAATCACCTCATGTTCCCTCATTTGTTGACTAGCAGTAGCAGAAGCTTCAGCTAAAGCTGCTGCAGTATCTAAAGGTTCCACATTCCCCGTAGTTGTTGTAGTTGTCATTCTTTGGGCAAAGGTTGATTGGAATGTTTGTAGAGGAAATGAAGCATTACTGTCTTGGGATTCAAACGGGGATTTTGTTGTAGCAATCCCTCCTCCTCCTCCTCTCCCACCTCTATTGCTGTTGTTATTACTAGTTTCAGCATATTTTTGTTCTCTTAATTCCCGCCGTTCCCTCTCCTTAGCTTTTTGCCTTGCTAAAGCCGCGGCAGCTTTATCCTTATTTCCTGGTTGTTGCCCTTGTTGTTGTTGAACTAGACGTTGATTCATGTCTATATTAATTATTCGGTTGTTACGTTCCTTGTATCTGAAATCAAAATTTTGAAGGGAAAATTTCTAGACTAATTTGTAAATACTTGTGAAATAAAACACATCCAACTACTAATGCTAACAAAGCAAATATCACAACTACAACCAAAAGTGTATAATCCATGGTAAAATCGCGAAAGCCGCGACGTATCATCCCTGCTGGTAAGACGACTGGAACTTCTGTACCGTCTATAAAAGAATTTTAAAGCTTGAGATTTTCCGGAAAATACATATAATACACAAATATAATTTCCGGAAATGAGATAGAATAGAATAAAATTCCGGAACATAATATTTAATTATGTAGGAATATATAATTCCGGAAAAAAATAAGGTTTCATTTTTCCGGAAAAACAATATAAGTATCACTATTATATTTTCAGGAACTTTAAAATTCCGGAAACAAGACTGAATTTTCCGGAAACAATATATCCAAATAAAAATGTTTCCGGAAAATAATATATTAATTAAATTATGTACTAATAAAATTCCGGAAACAAATAAATAGACAAATTTGCTGGAAACTTTCCGGAAACAAAATAATAACAATTTTCCGGAAAAAATAAAACAAACTTTTCCGGAATTACTTCCGGAAAATTACCAATAAAATTCCGGAGCTAATATATACATGTAGATAGTTTCCGGAAAAATATAAACTTTCCGGAAAATACACACTATATTTCTACCTCTCCTCTTTTTGCACAAGAATGGCCTTCTATTGCGACAATCGTCAATTTCATATACCACTATTTGATCTCGTTTATTCCAGTCAAGATAAACACAATCCTTCATTTCATTTTCGTGTTTTAAAGGAAAACTGGCGAAAAATAAATTAATTAAAGTTTTTAATTTAAAATTTAATTTTACTTCTCCGGCCAAAGAGGCACATTTCTGTCAATAGATTCATAAATCCCTTCAACATTTGCATCAGAATAGCCAACCCAAGGGAAAGAATGGGTTTGGGAGTAGGATTCTATTGGATAAAAATTTTTTTGATTTTTTTTTTGAATTTTTTCCACTCCCTACCAACAATAAAAGCATAATCCGCTTCATTCTGAAATGTTGCCAAATTTGCCCTTTCAAAATTACATTCTTTCTGGGCCTCATACCAAGGCAAAATATGAGGTAAAACAAATTGTTTATAACTTTAAAATTATTATTTTTGAGATTAAATTTTAATTTTTCTACCAATATGGGGATGATATTCCATCAGAAATCCAATCGGGAGGGCATGTATCAATGTCTAAAATAATTTTTAAAAAATTTTCGAGGACTTTTTGGACTCTTTACAATACCAAATTGAACAAAAGAAATGTTAAATCCACGTTTTTGTATTATTGAATCTGAGTGAAAGTGAACAAGCAATGAATCACTGGCACTTGCTATAGCAGCGGGATAATCTTTATTTTTTAGAAATTTAAATGGGAAAATATTTTTAAATTAAATTTTAATGTGATAGAGATAAGGAAATTTTAAATAATTTATAAAACCCTAAGGACCTGAATTACTACCTTGTCCGCACCAACGGGCAACTTCTTTAATGCTAGTTTCGTTTCCTATAAAATATAGGGTTAGAGGATATATTAGAGAATATAATAGTATATTAACTACAATATACTAATATAATTTCCGGAAATAAAATATAATAAACTTCCATAAAAATAGATTTCCGGAAAATATTTTCCGGAAATATATTATTGTAATAATAAATATAAGTTCCGGAAATATAATATCCGGAATAAACTTCCATAAAATTCCGGAAAATATTTTCCGGAAAAATATTACGGAAATAAATATAATTTTCCGGAAATAAATATAATTTTCCGGAAATAAATAAAATCTTTCCGGAAATAAATATATTTTCCGGAAATAAATAAAATCTTTCCGGAAATAAATATATTTTCCGGAAATAAATATATTTTCCGGAAATAAATATATTTTCCGGAAATAAATAAAATCTTTCCGGAAATAAATATATTTTCCGGAAATAAATATATTTTCCGGAAATAAATAAAATCTTTCCGGAAATAAATATATTTTCCGGAAATAAATATATTTTCCGGAAATAAATATAAGTTCCGGAAATGTTTATAATTTTCCGGAAATATACATAATCTTTCCGGAAATATACATACATATTCTTTCCGGAAAAATAACTATAAAATAAATATTGTAAACTTTCCGGAATATATATACAAATATAAACATTTCCGGAAAACATTTTTATTTATAAATTAACTATACCTTCTCTATCCCTAACACTAACATAATCATTACAATCTGTAAATAAAGCTTCTTCTAAATCACTTTCTATTATTGTCAAATGTATTCTATGAAATTTGTCTGTAGCCTTTAATTTTAAATTAATAAATTTTTTGTTTAAAAAACACACCTCGATGAGAAATTGACAATCAGTATCGGGAGGGTATAGTTTATTTTCATCCTTAAATTAGAGTTTTGCAAACTTAAGTTTGTAAAAAAAAGTTAGTTTTATTTTTGTTCTATTTTTTTATTGTTATGTCTACTCTTTACTTTTTTCAGGAAAACTTAAGTTTAAATTTAATAAAATTCCGGAAATAAATAAATATACTTTCCGGAAAAAACTTAAGTTTAAGCTTATTTTTTAAGTTTAAACTTAAGTCTCAACATAAAATTCCGGAAATAAATATAATTTCCGGAAGTGGACATACTTTTCCGGAAAAACAAGTTTTAGGTTTAAACTTAAGTTCGTAATGTTTTTAAGTTTGTAATGTTTTTAAGCATAAACTTAAGTTTTTATGAGTGTATTTAAGTTTGCTTAAGTCAAACAAGTTTTATGTTTTCAAGTTTGAACTTAAAACATTTAAGTTTGTAGTGTTTTCTTTTATCTTTTTATTATTATTTTATAAACTTTACATATGGCGAATAAATATATTGAGGTGTACGTGATGCTATCAGACGAATAGGGTTGTCGGGGCAAGGCTGAGGATTGCCAACATCTTCAAGCTGTAACCGAAATTTTGGTTTTTGTTGTTGCTGCTGTTGTTGTTGATGTAACATTGTAAGAGATGTCACCGGTTTTAAACAATAAAAAATAATCAAAAATGAAGGGAAGAAAGAGAAGAAAGAAGAATGAATTTTGAAAGAATTGAAGAAGCATTTTGTTGGTTTTTTAACGAGGGATGAAAATAAAATTGGCATTTGGCGCCAATAAAAAAGGAAGAAGTTTTGATGGCGCTTTGGCCGTTTCTTGTTGATTCTGACATTGAATGGATGGCAATGTGGCGGTGAAGACGACGTTGACAGCTAGCTATTACTTTAAAGGCGGATTGATGAGGTTTATTAAAAGTGGAGTAAATTGAGGATGAATTTGAAGGGAAGACAAAGTTTGGGATTATCTATTACTCTAATGTTAAGTCTAAAAAGCTTGAAAGAATGTCAAAAAAGGATTAAGTTTAAATAAATATACCGTCTAAAAACACTCTCAAAAAGCAATGCGCGTTCAATTAAGAGTGTCCTAGAAACGGGGAGGATGGATTTTATAAATGAGGCATATTATGTAATAAGGGGGACAAAAATAGCAAAAATAAGATTTAAATGTATCAATTAAAAGCGAGCATATTATAAGAGTAAATATGAAGAAGTATTGGAAAATGTGATACTTGAAGGGGAGGGGGGGGGGGGGGGGGATTTCTGTTGACTAGGTATTTTATGGATTCTTCAGTTTGCGTTTAGCCTTCTGCCTTTTTCAGTTTCCGGAAAGTTTGTAAATTCATATAGATTGTGTATATTCTTTCCGGAAATTCCTAAGTTTGTAAACTTGTAAAAAAAAATTAGATATATTAAGATATATTAAACTTGTAAACTTTAAATAAACTTTAATTAAGATATATTCCTTCCGGAAAGCTCTATAATTTTTCCGGAAACATTATTTCTAGTATCTATTCTTTCCGGAAATTCCTTAAGTTTGTAAACTTAATTAATATACTATATATATGTATATTCTACCCGGAAAGATATAATTTCGTAATATTTTCCGGAAACTTGTTTTTAGTATATGAATAGTTATAGCTTTTCCGGAATTTGTCAGCTATTTCCGGAATCCCTTATAAATATCAATTACCCCTGAATTGTGCAAAGGTTGCGGAACCATTTTTTAATTTTAAGAATAGATTAATAAAATCTAAAATCTTTAGAAAAAAATCAGATATCCTCAACAATGTCCCGCCTTTTTCTATTCTTATTCCTTTTGAATGACCATCGTCCTTCTTCCCCATTTACAAATAAGCGATAATGTCCAGCTGCTTTTTTCCCTTCATGTTGCCATGGGAATTGAATGAAAACATAATGTATTGGCAATTTAAGGTGGTTGTAGGTATTTTGAATTGAAAGTAAATAAAATGGGCAATTGGCACGCTTTTTATGTTATTTTTTGGTAAATCAGCGCCTTTTAAGGGATGCTTTTTTAAAGGATGCTTCCGTGTGTAAAGGCAATTTGGCAAGACGGAAGAAAGCAAATTTAGTGTTTATTTACTAAAAAAATTCTTTTTTAAGTGCAGTTTTGTATATTCAAAAATTTTATTTATGATAAATTAAAGCTATCATTTGTGAGTGATTTTCTAAGCAAACTAGAAACATTATCGTTTTTAAGATCACATTTTGTATATGAGAGAATTGTTAAATTTTGAGCTGTTGTTCGTTCAGCTAAACAGCGTTGGTGTGAAAATTGACAGAAATTCTTTTTAAAAATTAAAAAAAGATAAAATAGAAATATCACCGAATGAGTAGTAAATTCACTGTCACAAACAGGCACATAGTCGTCTTGGCATTTTAATTGAGGGCAACACTCACCTTCAAAAATTGAAATAATAATTGAAAAAATTTTTTTTTAAATTAATTTTACCCGGATATAAAACCCTTAAAGGAGAGGATTCATTTTTATCTTTTACTGAAGCATTATGCCTTTCCAAATGGCAACCATTTCTATAGGTACGTCCATCACTAGCACACAACTAAGTGAAAAATAAAAATTAAAAAAATTTTTTTAAATTAACTGGTTCGTATTTATCACTACATATTAGTTGATCTACACTAAGCAATTCAACGCTCACATTCTGAAGTACATCAGTATTGCTTGAGGATGTTAATAATTGTTGGGAAATTGCAGAAGAATGAACGTCTGCCTCGTGTTGTTGTCCGGTTTCCTTTACAAATGTATTTTACAATCTCCTTTACAAATTGTAAAATTAATAATATAGTCTTTTTCATCCGGAATAATATTTTCCGGAAAATATAATATTAAATTGTAATTTTATATTAATCTTTTCCGGAAAAGTTTAATATGTGAAGATCCGGAAAATTGTAAAGTCATTTCCGGAAAATATAATAAGTTCTAGCTGTTTCCGGAAAATTGTAATTTTAATTGTAATCTTTTCCGGAATTTAATTAAATATATGCGGCGTATCCGGAAAATTGTGTAATCCGGAAAAATGTATATTCGTATCCGGAAAATTGTAAAGTCATTTCCGGAAAATATAATAAGTTCTAGCTGTTTCCGGAAAATTGTAATTTTAATTGTAATCTTTTCCGGAATTTAATTAAATATATGCGGCGTATCCGGAAAATTGTGTAATCCGGAAAAATGTATATTCGTATCCGGAAAATTGTGTAATCCGGAAAAATGTATATTCGTATCCGGAAAATTGTAAACTCTTTTCCGGAAAATATAATTTTAAATTGTATCTTCCGGAATAAGCATCCGGAAAAAAACATTAATTTAAAAGATAAATAAATGTTCTGCACTAATTACAAATCAACTGTGAATGAACTTATCTCTACCAATAAATTTATCTTCGATTTATTTATTGTAATTCTAGTATAATAAGTTAAATTTATTTTAATTATGACAGATTTTCATAAACGACGAAACACCTCTTCTCTTTCCTCGATATTCTCCTTCCGTCTTTCAGTGTTGTTAATATTACATTCACGTTCTTCCAACGGTTTGTGATGAATTTTGATTGAACGACATTTTGCCACCTCAAAGCTGCACCAATTAGAATGACGAAAATTGTTCGTATCACAGATGGGTTGTGTCTCTGGCCCACCTGTACATGACTCGATACTAGGGCAACACTTTCCTTGCTGCAAAATTAAAATTATTAATTTTCCGAAAAATTGTAATCATAAATTGTATTTATATCTTTTCCGGAAAATATTCTTACAAGAAATTGTAATTTAATATTTTTCCAGAAAGTTTTTATATTTCTTTCCGGAAGGTTGTTATTATATATATTTCTTCCGGAAAGGACGTTAAATTAATTCCTTCCGGAAAATTGTAATCATAAATTGTATTTATATTTTTTTTGGAAATTGTAATATTATATTTCTATTCCGGAAGGGTGTTATATTTCTTTCCGGAAATTGTAGTATTATATTCTTTCCGGAAATTGTAATATTATATTTCTTTCTTTCCGGAAAGTTGCAATATTATATCTCTTTCCGGAAATTGTAATAGTATATTTCTATTCCGGAAAGTTGTAATTTTATATTTTACTTCCGGAAAGGACGTTAAATTAATTTTTTTTCCGGAAAATTGTAATTAAATAATAATATGTATATATTTACATAAGCAGCAGTAATATTGTAGCCAAATTTAATTTCATAAATACAACGCAAAACTTCAAATTCACATTTACTCTTAGTCTCCCCTCCTTGATCACAAACATAAAAAGAATCATTATTGTCTTCTTCAGCAGTATTACGTTTAGCCAGGCAAGGATTTGATAGACACCTTTCACATTCTCCTTTGAAGAGTACTTCTATTTGGTTGTCCAGACAAGAAGCTTTCTAGAAAAAAATTTGAAAAAATTATGTTCCGGAAGGGCTTTCCGGATTTACCTGAATAGCACAAAAATTCCTATATGTTATCAAATCAGATCCACAATAAGCATCTTTTGGGGACTCTCCACAATCATGCCATCTACGTTCACAATCTAATATCTTTTGTTTTTCTTCTTGAGTATTTATTAATGTTTTTAATGTTGTAGTTGTTAGTTGTGGAGGCATAGAAGCAAAATTGGCTGATATTTTAGGAGGAACTAATTTTGTTGAAATTTGTTTTTGTTGGCTAGATGTTGATGTTGGAATTGTAGGTATGGAAATTGTTGTAGAAACATTTTGTAGTTGAGGAGGACATTCAATAATGCGTAAAGCTTTTCCTGTTTTAGCTGCTAAACAATGTGCATGTGCAAAAAGGCAAGTACTCCTTCAAGGAAAAAATTTTTCTTAACAATCTCCAATCTACTCACTTATGGACTTTTCCATCACTATCACAAATTTGTTGAATTTTATTTTCTTCCACTTCATCCTCACAGTTTGGCTCATCAGGGCATTCAATTAATTTTAATTGTTGTTTTGAATGTTGTGAAGGAATTAAAGTGTTTTTATTGTTGGAAACATTGTGATCATGTGAGGAGGTTGAGGTTGTTGTTGCACACTCGCGTAACGACACCAGCCAACCTGTAGATTTGATACCACTCTAAATTTACAAATATCAAGGAATAAATTGTAATATTTGTTTGTAAACTTTGTAGAAAAATATATTTTACTGGAAGGTCTTTCCGGAAAGTTTATTTAAATTACAACTGGAAAAATAAAATTATTTGTAAACTTCAAGTTTGCGAAAACTTCCGAAAAGTTTTCCGGAAACTTTATATTATATTACGAATATCAAAAAATAAACTTATTTGTAAACTTTAAATTGTAATTGTCCTTCCGGAAAAGGTTATTATTATAAAATAAAAATTATATTTAAGTTTGTAAACTTGAAGTTTAAAAAATTCCGGAAAGTTTTCCGGAACGTCTATTTTTTTAATTATAAATATCAAAAATAAACTTAAGTTTGCAAACTTTAAATTAGTATTATAATAAAATTTAAAGTTTTCCGGAAAGTCCTTCCGGAAAAGTTTATTTTTATTAAATTACAAATAATATTCAAGTTTGTAAACTTAAATTATATTAATCTTTTCGGAACGTTTAATTACCAACTTTTCTTTGAAGGCAACGATAAAGTTTGTAAGCGCAAAGGTTTGGATGTGTAATTCCGTTAGAATCACAGACAGGCTTGAGTTGATGACTACATTTACTTGGGCAGTCTTCTTCCTAATTTTAAATAAAATTAAGAATTGAATCAGTAAAATAATTAACTTTAGTAACAAAAATGGGAGAGACCTGAAAAAATGATTTTTTAAATTTCAATTTGCAAAAAACTTGATTGCATTCCCCCACGTGGACGAATACATTCTCTTCTTCCCCACGTAGTCTTCTTTCACAATTCCATTGAGCAAATAAGCAAACACCTTAGAATGGATATATAATGTATTTTCTGTATTAGAACTCCCTCCATAATAAAGCCCTCCAGTGGAGGATGGTTGAAAAATAGAGCCCCCTCTACATATAAGAGAATAGGGCACGTTAAAGAATTTTCTACTCACTTTTATGTGTCCTATTTGTATTGTCACATACAGGAACTATTTGATCAAAAGGCCCTTCATCTCTACACATATCACACTGTTGATGTCCTTGTTGTTGTGGTTGATGCTTCTGAACTTGATCGTTAAACATTTGTTTTGGAGGGAAATCCAGTTGGTGTTGATTAAATGGTGATGCAGCGGGCTGAATATAAGCAAAATTCTGATGATTTGTAAATTGTAAAGTTCTATTTTTGACAATTTCCGGAAAGTAATAAAATTTTTTCCGGAAAACGTAATTAATAAAATTGTTTCCGGAAAGATTGTGAAGACAAATAATTATATAGTTTTCCAAATATAATAAAGCTGTTCCGGAAAATTGTAAAATATTAGCTTCCGGAAATTGTAATTAATAAAATAATTTCCGGAAAAATTGTGAAATAGGTATTCAAATGTTTCCGGAATATTTGTATGTGATGCCTTCAAGTCATAAATAAACAAATAATAGTTACCCCAGTTATCCACTGTGGTGAAATTTTTTGAACTCCTTCATTCTTTTCAACATTGAATGATTCGAAAGACAATGATAATTTTCTTTTTGAATTTGTAATTCTTTGATTATTAGAATCTCCATTGTTGATGTTGTTAAAATAATTGCGAGGTGGCGCCAGTCGTCTAACACTATTGGCACGTGGAAATTTTTCTTTAAGAAAAAAAGTATTTCAAAATTTAAATAGTAACGAACTAAAATTATTTTCTTCTATCCGACAAGGGCCTTCTTTGACTATATGAAGCGCAGAGATGATTCCACGTGAATTAATTCTACATGCGGTTAATTCAAACCTAAGAGTTAAGTAGTAAAAATAAACTAAGGAATATAAAAGAAATTTAATTACAATTAGAATATATTTGAATTTTAATTGAAAATGTTTCCGGAATTGTAAAATATAGAATAAATAGAATCAGCTGTTCCGGAATATTTGTAAATTTTTTTTCCGGAATTGTAAAATAAATATTAAATAGCCCTAGTTTCCGGAATATGTTAGAATTGTTTCCGGAATTGTAAAATACTAAATATTCTAGTAAATAGAATAGATGTTTCCGGAATGTTATAGAATTATTCCGGAATTGTAAGATAAAATGAACTATTATTTTCGGAATATATTAATGTAAAATTATTCCGGAATTGTATGTAAATGAGTATTCATAATTATTGTTTCCGAAAAAAATAAATGTTTCCGGAATTGTAAAATACTAAATAATGAATAGAACAATTGTTTCCAGAATATAATATAATTGTAAATTTTTTCCGAAATTGGAAAATAAATATTAAATAGCACTAATTTCCGGAATATTTTAAATTGTTTCCGGAATTGTAGAATATATACTAAAAACTTTTCCGGAAAGTTGTAAATTATTACAAATATTTACATCAAGTTTACAAACTTGAAAATTGACAGAAAAAATAAAACTTACTTGCACCGATTTTTATGTGTTCTAGACTGACTATCACAAACAGGGGCGATAGTTTCATCACAAAAGAAATGGCATGGAGGCGGTTTTGATATTAATAATCTTCCATTATTAACAACTTGTTCTTCATTATTTCTTTTAATATTATTATTTAAATTAGTATTCTTTTTATTATTTTTTGTTTGTTGTTTAGCAGCAGCAGCTGCAATAGCATTTGCGCATGCCTGTTCCCCTCTCCCTTCAATAATTATTAAAGGACCACCGCTCCTACGTTGTGCACATTTGTGAAAGTCGAAAATACAGTCATTTGCGTAAAAATTTCCTAAAATATATTACTTAAAAATGGGGGTATTTAACCAGTTACAGACCAAACTGATTCAATTCAATTCAATTTATACGTATAAAAACGTGACATTCAGATAAAATAAAGTAAAGTAAACGTGACAATAATTTAAATTTAAATCGCTAAGGGTCTGGAGACATTTGAATGGAATGTGGCTATGATAAAATATTGTTTATGTTAAAATTGTTTAGGAGCTTTGGAAACAATTCGATTGACGATTTTTGTAATTCTGTTGGAAGTTTTCTGTAAATGTTTGGTATGTCTATAAAAAATGAGTTTTTCCGAATGGTGCTTGAACAAAAGGGGATAAATAGGTTATGTGGATTACCTCTAGTAGTGGTAGGGAGAATGCTATATGTATTATCGTGTTTTAGATTAATTTTACCCAAAATGATATTATGGAAAAGGATAAGATTAGATTTTAGACGTCTATGCGATAGAGATTCAAGTTTAAATAGGTCTAGGAGTTCTTTATAATTAGGTAAGGTTGGACTGTTGTTATGTTTTATAGAGCGTAAATATATTATTTTTAAAAATTTATGTTGAACATTTTCTAAAGCGTTAATGTCTTTACTTAGATAAGGGTTAATTATAGGAGATCCAAACTCAAGGATAGGTAAGACATATATTTTGAATAAAGTAATTAGGAATTGTGTATTATTAGTTTTAAGGGATCTTATAAGAGTATAATAAATTCCAGTTGCTTTATTTGTTACAATTTTAATGTGAGAATCCCATTTCAGGTTTGATGTAAAATAGATGCCAAGATCACGAATAGGTTCGTTGTGTGGAATAATTGGTATATTAATGTTTTGTAGAGTATATTGGTGGAAGGGATTTTTAGTTCCTATGTGAAAAGAACTGCATTTGCTGACAGCGATTTTAAGGCCATTTATTTCGCAGTATTTTGAGAATGTTTGGATAAATTTTTGGAGTGGAGAATAGTGATTTTTGTTTAAGAAGTCAAAGCAGGTATAGGCCTTTAAATCGTCAGCAAATAATTTGGGTGTTACATTTTCTGTTTCACAGATATCTATTATATCAAAAATATATGAGATGAATAAAATTGGGCCAAGAATGGATCCTTGAGGAACTCCGCTTGTTATAGGATATTCATTAGAGTTATTAGATTCGACAAGAACAGTAAAAGTTCGATTTAACAGATAATCCTCAATCCAATTTAGTAAAGCGCCAGTGATGCCTAGATGATTGAGTTTTTTCAGAAGGCGATCGTGGGGAACAGTATCAAAAGCTTTTGCCAGGTCGAAGAATATAACGTCAACACATTTCTTATTTTCTATAGCTAATGTATAGTCGTTATAAGTTTCTAGGAGTTGAGTTATAACTGAATGGTTTTTACGGAAACCATGTTGGCAGGTGGGAAGATAATTGTTAGTTTCAAGAAATGAAGTCAATTTATTAGAGATAATCCGTTCTAAAATTTTAGAGGTTGAGCATAAGAGAGAGATAGGTCGAAAATCCTTGGGTTCATTTGGATTATTATTTTTGGGAATTGGTCGGATTATTGACTTTTTCCAAATAGTCGGAATTTTACTTGTCATGATTGACATATTAAATATAATTGTTAATGGAATGGTTAATGAAGTTGCGGTGTTTTTTAAGAAAATGTTGGGAATTCCGTCCGGAGATAGGTTATTAACATTGTCAAGTTTGCTTATAATGTTATAGATTTCCTCTGGATTGATATCAATAAAAGATAAAGTATTTTTGTTAAAAGCTTTTATGTCAGAGGAGTCAAAGTTAGAAGAGTTAAAAACAGATTGGAATTGTTTGGCGAGACATTCGGCTTTATCTTTGGCTGAAATGGTAAATTGATTGTTATTGTTGAAGATTGGGATTTTGGTTTTTTTGGATTTAAGGAAGGCGCCTATATACTGGAATTTAGATCGGGAATCATTGAATTTTGAGATTTCTCTATTTTTAAAGAAACGAGAAATTTCTTTATCGATTTTCTGTTGAGTGAAAATGTATTTTTCACGGGTAGTAGGTTTATTAATATTTTTCCATAAAAGGTTTTTATATGAGATCATTTTTTGAATATGTTTAGGGAATTTAGCAATATCTTTATTGATCATTTTTAGTGGTATGAAATTTTGGATAATTTGATGAATGATTTCTAAAAATAGGGTATATTGAGAATCTACATTGGTACAATTTATAAACAAAGTATTCCAGTTTAAACCGATTAGAATATTGTTAATTTGATTGTAATCGGCATTGTGGAAGTCATGAATGAATTCTGGTTCTTTTGGAAAACAATTGAAATTTAAGTTAAATTCAATGGTGTTATGGTCAGAATTTTTGAATGGGGCATTAATGGTAATATTTTTGGCAACGCGAGAGGTGGAAGAGGAGAAAAGTAGATCAAGATAATTACTTTGTCTCGTTGGAGAAGAGATTTCTTGAAATAGATTACAGTTTTCTACGAAATCAATAAATAATTTTTCAGACGGTGATTTATGATTGAGAGCTTGCGGTATATTATCCTCCCAGATTAGATTGGGGAAATTAAAATCACCTACAATTATGTAGTTATGATTAATAGATATTAGGTAACTTAAGATCTCAAGAAGTTCCTGGAAGTCATTTAAATTTTCGTTTGTTGTAGGGCGGTAAACTGTTATTATTCTAAATTTGTCAAATTTTGGGGAATAAATGTCTATAGCTACAACATCGGAATTTTTATTTTTAGGAATTTTAACGGGAGAAAAAGGAACTATATTATCTACTAAAATACATGCACCGCCGCCCCTAGAACCTCTATCGCATCTAACGATGGAATAAGATGTACTATGTAAAATTTGGGAATTATCGATTTTTTTGTTCAACCACGATTCGGAAACACAAATTATTTTAAAGGATTTAGAAATTAAAAGTAATCTTAAGGCATCTAATTTGTTAACTAAGCTCCGGCTATTAAAATAAAGACATTTATAAAAAGGGGATTTATTTAAAAAATTTTTTAAAACCTTGAATCTTGGACGACCACTTAGTGGTTTTTTGTTCTTTCAGTCACATTGGCACTCATTCTTTTATTGTATTCATCTCGCTTCTTAGTACGTTCAATTTTCTCAGTTTCCAATTGTTCACGAGTAAGACTTGGCCTAATCAATAAACGAGACCATTTAGCTTCTTTTTTCATTTCCACTCTGTGACGTTTCCATTCAGCAAGTGTAATTCGCTGAAACTTTGAAGCACCAAAAACAATTTTAAGTAAACGACAACCTTTAGCAGTTGGGTCATACTTACCCATTCTGTATGAAACGAATGGGCTCTCAACCCCCAACAAGTTGAGTACATCTTCGATTGCGGCTTTATCTTCGACAACACGAATTGATGGTGTTGTTGATTTAGATTCTTGTAGACCAATAACAACAATTGAACGGTTACGCTCTTGTTCGCTTGCTGATGACTCATTGTTTTTAAAATTAGTTTCAATTGTTGTTTCAATTGTTTGAATTTTTGATTCAATTGTTGTTAAAGCATTTTTAATTTGAAGAATTTCATTAGAAAAAGACGAAAATTTTGTGTTGTTATTATCGATTTTTAATTCTAAAGCAGCCAATTTTTCCATTATTTGTTGTAATTCAGTTTTTGTGGGTGCCATTACGGCGTATTGATTTTTTATCTGAAATCTTAAACTTGGGTAATTAAACCACAGACAGGGTCAAAATAATCAGCGCAAAGTTCGGCACTCGGACAACAAGTTCCTTCATATGCTAGGGTCAGACCTAAAGGGAACAAAAGAGATATTTATGAAGGATAGACTAATGCCTGGATCATATCTCCTCGCACAATCCAACAAACATAGACTATCATAAGTTTGTCGATCAGTTCCACAAACTGGATGAAATGAACGTTGACAGGAACAATCGAGGAGTGAAACATCTTTTTTTAATTTTAATAATTTGATTGAAAAATGAAAATTTAAGGGAAGATATACCTATTGAATCAACAAAAATGACAAATAGAATTTTAAACAGGCCAAAAATTTTAATAAATAATTTTATTAAAAATAAATTGAGCAGCATTTTTCCTTAAAAATTTGAAGAAAAAATTCATGGTCAACCACACCACACATGAAAATATTGAACAAATTTTAAAGAAAAAAAGGAGGGCAGGAGATGAGATGACTATAGAAAAATTAAAGGAAAGAAGCGATTTAACTAGCTTCAATTAAATAAAAGATAAAAAATATTGGGATTTATGGATTAAATAGACTACTTACTAGGTGATTATCAAAAATGAGAGAGATGGGATGTTGTAAATATAAGGGGAAAATCTCAGGGAAAATGCAAAGACAAAATCGAATTTTAAGCCTAAAATTTTTTTAATTTCCTAGATTTCTTTTAAAAAACTATAAAAAAATAATTATGAAAAATGGGTCAAGAATATTAAATATTTAAATGAAAAACTCTCTATTATCCTTTTAATAAAACGTTAATTTTGTAAGGATATTTTGGAAACTATTATAAAAAATTATGCACACTTGACCCCAAAAGTCATTAATTTTAAAGAAAAGTGATTTTTGCTAAAAATAACGAATTAAAATTTATTTTCAAATTTTAATTTTCAGTGTTTTTAAAATTTAAAAAATAGTTTTACACGTCACTGAAGAAAAGAAAATCTGATAAATATAAAAACTTTTCTTCAAGGTTTTTATCAATCACAAACACATACCCCTTTTTAAAATAAATTAAATTTTTTGGCAAAGAGGAAAGACTATTTTCCAAAAAAAATTTTTTTAAGAAGGACCTTCAAAATAAACTCAAAAAATATATGTAATTGAAAACAAGAAAAGGCCAAAAGTTAACGAAACGCTTTCTTGCCCGTGTTGATCGAGAACCTAATCTATATATAAAAAATTTCCAAAAAATTGTGGTAAATTTTTACATAATTATATATAATATATATAAGTAGGTATATATAATGTATAATAAAAAGAATTATAGTTTTGGATCTCACTATTAAATAAACCCCCCCCCCCCACACCCTTATATTGGTTAACAAAAGAAATAAGGTCTGGAGCAAGATCCACCAAACCTGCTGGATCCGAAAGAGCCAAGCTATCCGGAAATTTACAGTTGTGTATATTTATTATTGTATCCTGATATCCAAAGGTTTCCCACACAAATACCCTTTTTAAAATAAATCCATCAACTATTATACTTAAAGATATGTAAATTTATAAATTTTTAAAATTAGTAACAAGAGCTTATTTTAAAATCAAACTTAACCCCCAACCTCTTTATGATACAATTTTAGAGGTATCTAATAGTGAGAGATCCGCTGGGGTCGTCCAACTGTATAAATATATTTTAATTTTCTTTAAAATTTATCTGATTGTTGCTGTCCTTCTTTGTCTTCGTCCTGTACTTGCTGCTGTTGTTGTTGTTGTTCTTGTTGTTGGTGCTGCTGCTGTTGGTGTATTATTATTATTTACATTTGTAACAGTAATTCTTCCAATTTCATTATTATCATCTACTACTCCATTATCATCTAAAGATATATGACGTTGATTTTGTTTACGTCTTATACCAGTAGTCGATTGTTGTTGTTGGGGTAAAATTATTTTACGTTGCATTCTTGGTGTAGTTTGAGTAGTTTCTTTATTACCTCCAACAATACAACTAGCATTACTTGGAATTATTTTATCAACTGATGCTAAAGCTTCTTTTTCATTATTTTGTTGAAGTTTTTGTGGTTGTTGAAAATCAATTTTAATATTTTGATGTTTTTTAATTGAATCACCACGTTGTCTTTTACGTTTATCTGTTGCTAAAGTAGATGCTAAAGAGGAAGATGTTTGTTGTTGTTGTTCAAGTAGGTCTGTATTAGATGAAGGTAACAATGATGGCATTGCTGTGGCTAATATTGATTGTGATATTGAAGGTAATTGAATTGGTGGAAATTCATAAGGTGAATCACTTCTTATCAGTTTTGTAACATCTGTTGAAATTGGAGCATTTGGAGGGTTAGAAACTGAATTTGTTGTAGTAGCAGAAAAAGAAGCTGTAGCTATAGCAGACGAAGAAAATCTAGAAACAAAACAAATTTGAATTAAAATTTTTTTGGTAAAATTCAAGTTCGCCCCCTCCTTTTTCCCTTCCTCAAAGTATTAAAAATGGTTCCATTCTCAACTTAACTCTATTTCCTTATGCAATAAAAACAGTCACTAAAAGGTTGAAAAGGAAGGAAGTCTGACCATTTTTAATACATTGAGGAAGGGAGCAGGCCAAGGTACCGCAGAGCTATAACTTTGTTCAGAATTGTCGAATCCGGGACGCCCTGGTATGGTTCGATGCGACTCGACGGGCCAAATCGAAGGTATCTTGGGCTTGCGGTCCCTTGGGGTGTACCCGTTGAGGAAGCAAAAAAAGGGTGGAATCAACTTGAATTTTACCAAATTTTCTTGGCTTTAAAAAGAATTTTTTAATTTTTTCTCTTTACACATTTGTAGCCGTAGTTGTTGCAATTGAAGAAAATAGCAACATTTTTCCATCTTCTCCTCCTCCTCCCTCCTCTTCATCATTATCATCCTCACATAATAATTCATCCATACTTGCCCTACGAGAAAAGAAAAATTCTGCTGAAGATTCTGACATTGCAAAATCATCAGAATATTGTTTTTGTTGTTCATCGTCATCATCATCTAACATTAACATTCCTGCTATTGCTATAGCTAATTGTTCTTCTGCTTCTAATTCATTTTCTTGTGAAACATTGGCTAGACCCTGAAAATTTGGAAAAAGTCAAAAAAAAATTTTTTTAATTTCCAAAAAAATTCAAAAATTTTTCAACAAAAAATAAAAAATTCATTCAGAAAATTCCACAAAAAATCCTTTCCCTCACCTTAGTCCAATGCCAATCCACAACATCTAATGCTGATGCTCTCATAAACGGATCAGTATTTAATAATCGTGTAATTAATAATTTAGCCGAATTACTAATTGAATCAAAAACTGGCGAAGGAAAATGAAATTGTCCACGTAAAATTCGATTAAATAAAACATCATCAGGTTCGTCAACCCCAAAAGGTGGGTAACCACAAAGAAGACAATAGAGAATAATGCCTACACTCCAACAATCAGCCTAAAAATGTTTTATAATGTAAAAAATTCCGTAAATGTGTTCCGCAAAAATTAGAATAAAATTAAGAAAAGAAATTATACATAAATATATTTTCCGGAAAAGAAAAAAATTAAAAATAGAAAATATAATATACACATTTTCCGGAAACATATATTTTAATTAGTAAATTAAAAATATTACGGAAAAATCGGTATTAAATCTTTCCGGAAAAATGATATAAAAATAAACATATGTATTCCGGAACGAATTGGAAATAACGAATAGAAATATTTTATATTTTCCGGAAAATATAAAATAAGAATATAGTAGTTTCCGGAAAAATCAGAGAGAAAGAAATAAAAAAATAAGAGAAAGAGTATAGAGTTTTCCGGAAAATTTTATTAATATTATTACTAGAGTCCGGATTTTTATTGAAATCTTTTTTTTGCAAACACACTTTGTCGAGAGGAGCCCAAATATGGTATTAGTTTTTCGATATTATGATTCTGAACAAAGCTGTATTTCAATATATTTCAATATTTTGACAATTTTCCCGTTATTTCAATATTTTGTACTTTTTGCAAATTATTTCAATATTTTTGCATATTTTTACCAAAATTTTGGTATTTTTCATAAATTTTAGGAAATAAGTGAAGAACTTTGGCTTCTTGACCTTACAAAAATCTAAAAATTTTCGCCTGCGGCGCTAAAAATGGGAAATTTGACTTATTCTGGCAAAATCGGCCAAAAAATCGGCAAAACAGCGTATATTGAAGCGGGCGTCCCCAGAATGCACCCTGAACAAAAATCCCCAAATTGTCCCGCTGAACCAAACTCCACCAAATGTCCCGCAGAAGATAATCACCAAAATGTACCTACCCAATTTAGCCCATCTAAAAATGCACAACAGTAAAAATACTCAATTTATCGAAGTCGGGATTAATTTTATTAGAGACGGGATTAATTATTAAAGACGGAATTAATTTTTTTTCTAAAGTTCAACATTTTTTTAGATTTTTATTAGTGAATAAGCCATGATTTATTTCAATATTTCACTAATTTTCGGGATTTTTTGTCAATATTTTGGCAGTTTATTTCAATATTTTATGGCCATATTTGGCGAATTTATTTCAATAAAAATCCGGACTCTAATTATTACAACTACCTTAAACGAATACCCAAATTCAGCAAGCACTTCAGGCGCTACATATGTTGGTGTACCACAAAGTAAAATTCTTAAAAAATTTTTTTTAATTTGTTATCAAAAATTAATAAAAAAAATTCACAATAATTGGTCTGCAGTTTCCAATTGACAAGCTAATCCAAAATCTGCCAATTTAATCATTAAACGCTGCCCAGATAAATTGTCAGGAATATAATAAACCAATAAATTTTCCAATTTAACATCTCTATGAACTATTAAATGTTCAGTGTGTAAATAAGCTAGTGCACGGCAAAGACAATCTGCACAGCTTGCCCTAAAAATTAAAAAAAAAATTTCCCAATAATTTTTTTAAAAAACTTACACTTCTGTTTCACTAAACATTCGCCTCTTTCGAAGAAGTTCAAAAAGATCACCATCCTAAAAATTAATTTATATATTGTAGTTTATTTATTAGTTGTCGGTTCCTGTAAATTCTTCAGATATCCAAAACCGAAACAAAGAACCGAATAAAAAATCCTCGATTCTTCGGTTCGGTCCAGAACCTACAACCCTATTTATTAATCACTATTAAGATAACCCATTAAGAATTCAAAAATCGTTTAAACTGGTGTTTTAAAATGGACATCCTTATTGGCACAGTAACTGAGTAATTTCTAATTAAAACTTCTTCTAAAATGTACATATAATGGGTAGTCGGCTCATCCTTAATAGGTGAATATTTTGAACAGGAATGGGCCGATTTAAGAATGAAAGAATAGTCAGGGCTTTAAAATGTTGTTCGGATCGAGTTTCGAGTCAAAAAACAATTCAAGATCTCAACTCAGGTTTCAGGTAGGTTTTGACCCCGAATCCTGAGAGCGCGTTTTTCGGGGAGCGTTGGAGTATGACTGACAATAAATTGTGAGTGTTATTCTGTCAGTCATCCTCCAACGCACCCCGAAACACGCGCCCTCAGGATTCGAGGTCAAACCCTAGTCTCAGGTAATCCAACACACATCCCTGATTTAGTGGTAAATTATAGCGTAGATTGGGTAAAAATTTTTAAAAATTAAAAAAGAAAACTAACAGGTACACATTCCATTCTAATAAACCAATCACCATTTGGATGTGCTATACAATCATAAAGTTGAACAATATTTTCATGTTTTAACATTTTTAATAATTCAATTTCTGTTTGAACTAAAGCTAAAACTTCTGGATTTTCTAATGTTGAACGACGAATAATTTTTAATGCTTCTGTTGACCATTCTCCTTGTTGTTGTTGTTGACAATCATCATTATTTAAATTTAAATTACTTGTTTCAACAAGAAAGGCAACTTTATAAACAAAAGCAGTATTTCCATCACCAAGAAGTGAAATAATATGACAACGTTCAGCCAAATCAGAAGGTAATACAACATTTGCAGCTATAGTTAATATAGTTAAAAATTATGGAAAATTTAAAAAAAAAATAAAGAAAATAATTTTTGGAATGACTGATTACAGAAAATTAATTAAAAAATAAAATTAAAAAATACAAAGGGCCAAAAGAAAAAGGAAGGTTTATTTTATCCGAAACAAACAAAATAAATTTTTATGCTTCGTTCCAAAACATTAATTTAAATCACCCATGATAGAAACAATTCCAAAAACAATTAAATTTTTCTAGAAAATGGGTTCAAAACTTCAAAACCAGAAAAGGAGAGGAGGAAAATAATAAAAAGATCCAGGGGAGAAATAATAAAATCACCAAGAATAATTGAAATTTTCAAAAAATATTACTAAATAATTTCGGAAACCACAAAATAATATTTTTTAAAAATCTAACCAGAATTTTCCAATTGTACTTGTTCATTATCATTCCCTTCTTTAAACATATGCCTTCCATCTCCACCCGTTTTAAGTCGAAAATCGTTAGGATTTCGTTTTCGAAGCATTCTCATTTGTGTTGGACGTAAACGAAATTTTCCTTGTTGTTGTTGATGTCGATTCATTGGTGTTCTTCCACCAATTTCCATTCTTTTGTATTCTTTAAAAAAATTTTCGGCAATTTAAAAAATAAAAAAAACCTTCAGAAACAACATTAAAATCATCACAACAAATACGTTCTGTTCCGTAAGCAATAAAAATAAAATCGTCACAGAAAAAGTCGGCTAATGTGTTGACCTAAACAAAAAAATTTATAAAATTTAATAGCATCTACTTATTAAATGGGAGACGCCGTGATAACCAAACTCCTCATACAAGAAGTTTGGCAGCCTCTTTCACCGAATTTTTGCATTTTTTGGTAATTCATCTTTTATATTTCGCCAAAAAAGAAAAGAACGCTTGGAAAAAGCGAAAGACAAAAATGCCAAGTTAACGGCAAAACACGAAAGACAAAAAAAAACAAGATTCGACGAAAGAAAGTGGCACAATCATGCCTCGTACCTTCCTAAATAAATTTACCTGTTTTCCACTAATTGAATAAAGCTTTCGAACTGCTCCACTATTTAATTTAATTTTTGAAGTAATATCACTAATGACCTGTAAAAAAAATTAATAAAAATATTTTTTAATTTAAAAAGAAAATTAAATTGACCATTTCTTAAGCGAAATGATAAAAATGTAAAAAAAAAAGTGGGAAGAAAAATCAGAAAAAAGCATCAGCCGTTCCTTTTAAAATTATCAAAAAAAAAATTTGAAAAAAATTTTCCCGCCGACTTTTTTTATTTGACCGATTTATTTTTTAAAAGTCGGTCAAAGATAAAAGCAAGACAACAAGATAAAAAATGGTCAAAAAATAAACAAACCATATCAAATGATTGAGCTGTCCGTTTATTAAGTAAATGGCGTACTACTCGCCTTGGCTTGATTCCATTACGGATAATTGTGATTATTCTGGGCTTGACAAATTCATTGGGTTCCTAAACAATATTATTGAATACTCGAATACCCCCTCCCCCCGTTCGAGTCTACTAACTTTTCTTAATATGTACATAATGGTCAGACTTTCGTCCCTCACCGGTTTCAGTCGTCCACTATGTACAAATTAAGGAAAACCATGAGACTAGGGTTGTCAGTTCTTGGAAATTCTTCGAATATCCGAACCAAACCGAAAACCGAACCGAGAAATTCCGGATATATGGAACCGAACCGAGAAATCATCGGTTCGGTCCAGAACCGACAACCTTACATGAGACACAAACTAGGGGGCGGGATATCCAAAAAGTGACAAATATTTTATAAAAAAAATTCCAAACCCTTTGAAAAGTTTCTCTCAATCCTGAAGCAGTTGGTTCATTAGTTAATTTATTTGAAACAAATGACCAAATTGGTTGAGCCGCATTTGCGTAGTCTATCCGTTTAAATTTGTCTGTTGAAGAAACTACATAACTTTGACCTTCAAAAAGGTTTTTTAATCTAAAAAAGTTATTAAACCATGTCTCAATTCTTCCAATCCATTGCAAGGTTCACCCCCATTTGAGCGAAAGACAAATCGGACACCGTGAGGTAGAGCAAGTGAATCAATTAGAAAATGTATTTTTTGTAAATCTTCGAGGAACGCTGGCCAGGAACGTAATGAAGGGATTATTGTATACCAAATTCCCTGAAAATTATAGAAAAATGGTTAAAGTAAAAGAATTTCAATAACTGGAAAATTTGGAGGAGATTTTGGTGGAAGTAAAGATTTGGACAGGTTTCCCATAATTAGGCAGGATTTAAAAGTCTTCTGACTAGATTTTAACCCTCTTACTTATTGTTAGGTTGAACCTCCAATCTGACAACAGAGAAAAATTGAATAAATCCCAAACATGTCTAGGGCAAGTTAATGATATAAGAAAAATCTATGCATTGGCTAATCTCTAGTACTAAATTCCAAGGGCGTAGCCAAGGGGGGGCTTCTGGGGCTAAAGCCCCCCCCCCCCGAAATGGGAGAAAGGGGAGAAAAATTAGGGGAAGAATTAGCAAAAAAGTGAATTTTTTTGGCCTACGGCCTTCATAATTTTAAAAATTTTCGCCTGCGGCGCTAAAAATGGAAGAAATCTGGCTTCTGAGCTCCAAAATTCAAAAAATTTTCGCCTGCGGCGCTGAAAATCAGAATTTTTGGCGCCTGTGGCGCCGAAAAAGTGAATTTTTTGGCCTACTGCCTTCTAAAATTAAAAAAATTTTCGCCTGCGGCGCTGAAAAAAATAAAAATATGGTTCAAAAAAATTTGGGTCCAGAACGCCAAGGTAAACGCCAAAAATTTTGCGCACACCCAGTGTTAGCCCCCCCCCCCCCCGAAATCGACCCTCTGGCTACGCCCTTGCTAAATTCTCAAAAAATAGGTGTGTGAAACGGAAAAGAAAATGGAGCAAGTTAAAGCAGTCTTTTGCTACTAAAGACCCAAAAGGCTTAAAATCTAATTTGAAATTAAAAAACCTTAAAAAATCTGTCCCCATTTCTATAAAGCCTAATTCTCTTTCCCTGTTCATTTGGTTGAAGTCGTTGAACTAGCGATTGGGTAATTTGTTCAATATTGTTGTTGTTTTCTTGTCCTTTCATTGGCGTCTTTTTTATTTCAATTTCATTATCTGACACTAAATTGGTTGAAGTAGACGTTGAAGAAGAGCTTTTGTTACTTGAAATACTTCCAGTCATTTCTAAAACCATTTTATCTCTTAAAATTAAATTAATTAATCTTTTAAAGAAATCAAAGTTTAAATAATCAATTATTAAAAACAAAAGAAGAATCAAGCAATTAATTATGCCAGTTATCCACTTTTATTGTTGCTTTGTCAATTACAGCTGGATATTTTTAATCTCCTTTGTTTCTAGGACAAGGAAAAAATAAAAGAGCCTCTCCATATTTTGCCAAACCCACATTTTGCCAATAAGGCTAAAAAACGACGTTTTGTCAACACAGCTTCTTGACAAAACGCAAGATTTAACCCATGTTGACAAAATATGGTATTGGCAAAATATGGAAGGAAAAAATAATAAAAATGAGGAAAGAGAGAGAATAAGAAAAGAAGAGACGGTAGAGACAAAAAGTTAAATTAATTAAAATTATTTTTGGCGTTCTGCATTTTTAACTTTTTTTCTTTAACGTTTATTATTTTTACACGTTCTCTAATTTCTTTTCTCGAATTATTTTATGGCTCCGGTACAAAATATGGAATCGTTAAAATATGGAATGGTTAAAATCGCGAATAGGCTAAAAAGGGGTTAAAATACCGAATCGTTAAAATATGGAAACGTTAAAATATCGAATCGGGTAAAAAAGGGTTAAAATATGGAATCGTTAAAATATGGAATGGTAAAAATGTCGACACGGCCAAAATCTGTCAAAATGTCGAATTCTTTTAAAAAAGGGTCAGATGAGTGCCATACGTTGATTGTAGATGATTTTATCAACTTATCAACTTATTAATGATAAGTTGATTGATAAGTCTCTTATGTCGTAGTCCGGCGCAATCTTTTCTGCCAGAGTTCATTGTATTTTACCGAGTAAAACCGGACCGGATAAATCAAGCATAATCGACCGGATCCGGTCCGGCATGATCGTACGGATCCGGAAAACATAACGCGATCCTGATATGGAAAAATTAGAGTGGTGTGCATTAGTTTTTAGTTAAGACCTAAAGTTTGACCTTACCGTATACGGTACGAAATACCGAAAAATACCGATCAGCTTTTAAATTTTATCGGTCGGATTCCGTACCGTACAACCGACACGGAATACCGAAAAATACCATCGGTATTACGGTAACGCCCGGATTCTAGTTTTGGCGCCATTTTTAAAAAATTCGACATTTTGATCGATTTTGGCCGTGTCGACATTTTTACCATTCCATATTTTAACGATTCCATATTTTAACCCTTTTTTAGCCTATTCGATATTTTAACCATTCCATATTTTAACGATTCCACATTTTAACCCCTTTTTAGCCTATTCGCGATTTTAACCCCTTTTTACCCGATTCGAGATTTTAACCCTTTTTTAGCCTATTCCATATTTTAACGATTCGATATTTTGTCCGGACACGGACGGTAGAGGCAAAAAGTTAAATTAATTAAAAATCGTTTTTGGCATTCTGCATTTTTAATTTTTTTCTTTAACGTTTATTATTTTTTAACGTTCTCTAATTAGCTTCTCAAAATTATTTTATTTTGTTTGTCTAGCTTGTTATTGAAGATTTTTTTCCTAAAATTTGACAATTTTTATTTAATTTTTTTTCAATTTCTAAATATTTTCAGATTTTAAAAAATAAACAAAAAATGTTAGAAAACCTTGTTGCTTGGATTTTAAATAATTATATTGGCGAATATTTTTGTTTAAATACTGATCAACTTTCTGTTGCTTTTCTTCAAGGTTTCTTAAAAAAATTAATCCTTCAGTTCGGTTAACCTGTGGGCATCCTTTGACCAGGCAGTTATGGCTAGTCGCCTTCTCTTTTTTGGGAGGGTAGGCGTGTTAAGAAGAGGGATATTAGTTAGTAGAGTTCGAGCGGTGTCTGGACTGGACCATGGCTTGGGTTTTTCTTGTCCCCAGAGCCCAGGCATTTTTTGACCTTACTTGGGTTTTCCTGAGCCTGTGTTTTTCCGGAGTACAGGCTTAGGATCCGGTCCAGTTCAATAACTCAAAGCCATGAATATGACCAGGCTTTTCAAAAATCTCGATCACGAGTAAGTAGGTATCAATGCCTTATTGCTTCGATAACAAGCAGATCTGGATCCGACTGCCTTCACCGCTGAAATGGCTATCTGGTTACGTTGCTATACAGGGACCACTCTCTAAATTGATCTTTACCACTGCCACGGTGCAATAAATTTTTTTTATTTTTTTTTTAAATTAAGGTCAAGTTGATTTGGAAAACGTCCCTCTTCGAGCTAGTTCACTTAGAAAATTTGACATTCCTTTGCAAGTAAAACACGGATTAATTGGGAAATTACAACTTCAAGTGCCTCTAACTCGAATTCGTTCACAGCCATGGATTTTAAGAATACGCGATTTTTTGGTGCTTTTGGGGCCTTATTCTTCTAATTATGATGTTGAAATTGTTGAACAATTTAAGCAACAAAATCTGGAAAAAATGCTTGATGAGTTGGAAATTGAACAAAAGGTTTTTTTTAATTTATTGGCAGGGTTCTCACTTTTGGCTACTTTCCTTAATTTTTTTCGGATACGATGGGTTTTTTAAAATTTGATTGTCCTTTGGTTGGCAGAAAAGGATCCGTGGGTTATTCGAAACCACAACTTTTTTAACACGAAATCCGCTGCGAAGAATTTAAAAAATGGTCCCCAATTTATTTACTAGAACAATTTAAGATATGTCAATGATTTGAATCCCTATAGGCTATAGTGAGGTTCCACTGTATTTTCCTAATAACGTCTATTGGGTAGGGGATCTTCCTAAATCTTCCAACCTCGATGGAGTAATTTACTCCAAAATTACTGATTTTAATTTTGGAGTAACTTAGGGCAAACTTAAGAATACCTAGTTTTTTTAAAATGTTTTCCTAAAAGTTTTTCTTCAGAAAAAACTCCTTTCACAACTTGGAATAAAATTAAATGAAAATGAGGAACAAAATTCTTGGTGGGGAACAACTTCAATACTTTCTACTATTTCGTCTAATATACAAGTTTGAATTAAATAAAATTTTTTAAATTGATTTTTAATTTTAAAGATTCTAGTTGAAAATGTACATATAAAATATGAATCTACTGATTTTAATTTTGGAGTTCAAATTGATTCTTTGAATGTGCAAACAACAAATGCTCAATGGGTAAGAAATTTTTATAATTAAAAAAAATTTTTAGGGACTCATAATTCCCTTTTCTGTGAATTTTAGGGATTCTGAGGATTGGTTGTTGCACGTTTCTCATTTCCTATGATTGTAAAAAGTAAAAATAGTGGAGATAAAGCAACACACTCAAGCATAATTTTCGGATTCTGTTTATTCTTTCCGGAAATCGGGGAGTGCCGGGTTATTAATGTCTGGTCGGGGTTTCAAATTATCTTCGGATCGAGTATCGGGTTCTATATCGAATAAAAGTCTGGATTCTGTAACCTGACCCTCTATTTTTCAACCTTGATTTTTCTTTTTTTTTCAGCGTGTTGGCTTTGTTGATCCAACAGATGGAATTAATATTTTCAAAAAATTTGATGTCAAAGGTTTCTCAATTTATTGGAATCCTGAAAATAATTTGAATGACTCTCCTATTGTATTGCCTTTATCCTTGGACTCGTTGAAAGTTTTTTAAATTTTTTTTTTCAGAATTTTTTTCAATTTTATAGGGATTCTTTTCTTCTCCATCAGAAAATGTTTATATTTTACAACCATTTACATTAGAATTGAGAATGGAAAAAAATAATTCACGTTTTCCTTTACGTTCAACTCTAATACCTCGGTTTAAGGTTTTTTTTTTTGAAAATTTTTTCTGAAAGAAAATTTCAAGAATAATCATTTCATGAGGAAACGTATTTTTCCTCCTGGAATATTAGTAAAAGAAAATTCAAATAAAAAAATTTTTTTTGTCGTCGGATTGATTGTTGTCCGTTGTTTTACGTTTTTTCAATGTTCCTCACGGAATATTGAAAAAAAAATTCTAAAAAAAATTTTTGAAATTTTTTTAGTTCAATATTCGCTCTCAAAGAATTGAATTAGAACTAACCCAGAAACAAATTGCTCAAATCCAACAATTTATGGATGATTGGTCAATGTTTGAACGTGCCCGTCCACATCGTAAATGGCGTCCAAATACTTCTATAATTTCTAGGTTTTTTTTAAATTTTTTAAAAAATATTTTTGGATTCCTTTTTAAAGCCCCAAGCGTTGGTGGCAATTTGCAATAAATCGCCAATTGGAACAAATTCGAAATAAAAATATTTGTCGTGAACCAAAAGCTTTATTTGCTCGTTTACACCTAGTCAATACTTATTGTAAGGCTTATCGACACAGATTAAATTGTTTTTTGACGAGTCAGTTGAAAGGGTAAGGGAAAATTTTTTTATTTAAAAACTTTTTTAACTCTAATAGAAGCCCCAGGGCATTTATTTTTTAATTGTTCTCATTTTGGGAATTTCTAATAGTGCATAGGCGTTTGTGGGAGACGGGCTTCGGTACTAATTTAGTTTCCCCCCCCCCCCAGTCAGTTTTTTCGAAAATTATGTAAAAATGGTCAGTCTGAACAACAATTGTAGAACCCATCGAGCTGTGTCGAATGACACCAAAATCAACGAAATCCGACTTGATTTGACCGAAATACAGACCCCTGAAAATTGAACGACCATGGGGGTGATTTTTTGAAATAAAAAAAGTTTACCCAATTGATAGCTCATTCAAAAGAGCTCGTCGAGCTGAGTCGAATGACGCCAAAATTAACGAAATCGGACAAGATTTGACAAAGTTATGACATTATTTAGACCTGCCGGAGTCGACGACTTATGTCATAACTTTGTCAAATCAAGTCGGATTTCGTTGATTTTGGTCTCATTCGACTCAGCTCGACGAGCTCTTTCGAATGAGCTATCATTTGTATGGATTTTCGTCTTTATGATTTTGTGCCACTGTGGTTTAGGGGTCTGTATTTCGGTCAAATCAAGTCGGATTTTGTTGATTTTGGTGTCATTCGACACAGCTCGATGGGTTCTACAATTGTTGTTCAGACTGACCATTTTTACATAATTTTCGAAAAAACTGACTGGGGGGGGGGGAAACTAAATTAGTACCCGGGCTTCTATTAGTACATTTATGAAATAGAAATATATTTTTTCATTAAAGATCTCAAAATGTTTCTTCTCCTTCTTTTGACGCAAACAAATTAACTATAAATGCTCCAAAATATTCACATGAAGAAACAACATTAATTAAACAAATTGAACATGGGGCCGATTTTAGTTATACGGTTAGTATTTAAACCGAAAAAAATTCTCTCACTTCTTCGGGTTAGTTACGAAAGTTAACACTGTTCCTCTCTTTTCTTAGGTTTTACTTTCCATATTTCATTTTTTGTCTCCTTCGACATTTTGTCTCGTATTTTTTTTGTTTTTGCAGGGTAACATTTGATCCCAATTTTTTGACGGAGGTCCTTTTCCCCCACTTAAGGTTATCGGTCTTTGAAAAATCTTCTAATATACCAAGGGCGTATCCAGGGGGGGGGCTGGGGGGGGCTAGAGCCCCCCCCCCCCCCCCGAAATGGGGGAAAGGGGGAAAAAATTAGGAGAAGGATGGTCGAAAAAGTGAAATTTTTTCGCCTACAACCTTCAAATTTTAAAAAATTTTCGCCTGCGGCGCTAAAAAAGGAAAAAATCTGACTTCTTGGGCTCTAAATTCCAAAAAATTTTCGCCTGCGGCGCTGAAGTGATGAAAATTTATGTACAAAAAATTTGCGTCCGGAACGCCAAGGTAAACGCCAAAAATTTTTGCGCCCACCCAGTGTTAGCCCCCCCCCCCCCCCGAAACCGACCCCCTGGGTACGCCCTTGTAATATACTGAACTTGAACAAAAAATTCTTTCGGCTCATCGATTTGGTTCCGAAATGATAACTCTATTTTCTAAATGTTTTACCAACTTTTCTTTTTTTTTCTAATTTTATTTTTCTTAACAGACTTTAATTTATTTAATTTTAAGGATTTACACATTCTCCGTGAAGCAGTTTTTCAAAAAATGTTGTCAGAACTTAAATTACAATTTTCTTCTAATACTAATGAAAATTCAAGAACATCAAGTCCTTTTCAAATTATTGAATCAGAACAGGAAATAATAAAAGAAGAAAACAATAATATTTTAAAAATTAATCAGCAACAACCACAACAAAATGGAGGAGGTGGTTGGTTAAATTGGATGACTAATTGGTTTGGATCTGAAGAGAAAAATAATGGTATTAATATATTTTTAATTGTCCGGGTTTATTTTAAAAATGAACCTGGGCTTTGATTTCCTGGCTTAAACTCCGGCAACCTCCGAAAACTTTGATTTTATTCAAAATACCCTATCTATTGGCTACCAAGCCGAAAATCTTCGGACCTTGCCCGTGTGAACTCTCCTTCGAAAACTTAGATTTTATCAAAATACCCGGTTTATGGACTATGTATCGTACCGCCGGGCCATGCCCGTGTTCAAATTCTAATATTCTATTAACCTCTTAAAAACAAAAATTTTATTTTTCAGAATTTTTAGAAAAAGAAAATGATTTAATATTAAATGATTCTGTCTATTTAAATAATTTATCTACACCAAAATTAACTAGTCCTAGAAGAGATCATGCACTAAATCCAGAATTGGAAGAAATTGAAAAGAGAATGGAAACAGAAATTTTACAGGTTTGGATAATTTTTTAAGAATTTTTCTGAATAAATTTCTCTTCTTTTAAGATGTTGAATGACACTTTAGACGATTACAATATTTTACGTCGTGATAATTTATTGGCTGAACTTGTTATTAATTTTGCAAGAGTACATTTGCGTATAGCAACTGATAAGGTTTTTTTGTTGTTAATTTTTTTTTATTTTTTTTAATATAAAAATTCGTTGAAATCTGAGGGAAAAAAATTTCAGATTTTTTTCAAGATTTTTTTTAAATTAAAAAAATTTTTTTTCTGAAATTTTTAAGGCCTCTAAACAAGAAAATAATGAAAAACAACAAAAAATTAATTTATTAATGTTAACTTTTGATTTGGATCAACTAAATGGACGTATTCAACTTTCACCAAAAGAACATAGAACTGAAATGTCAATAAATATAGGGGATTTAAGTATTCAACAAATGCAACAACAACAATTTATAAATAATTTTGAGGAGAAGAAAAAGGTAGGGGATTCGTAAAACTTGGGTCGAATTGTAAAACAAACCCTATTGTTGATGTAGGGCAAGAGAAATTATAAAAAAAACTTGTTTAGGAGAAGGAAGGAATTTGTAAAACCAGACAATGTTTTGTTTAGTAAATGTTTTACAATTTGTAAAATTTTATTGTAAAAACTTGTTTTTGAGGAAAGGGAATTTGTGAAACTTAATTAAACAAGTTTTACAAATTGTAAAACTTTTTTTTTGAGGTTTTGTAAAATTGAGAAAAATCGTCCTTTAAAAGTACTCGAAGCCGGAAAGGATGAGTTTGTAATTTTTAGGATTAAAAATAAAGAAAAAAATTTTAACCTAAAAAATATTTTTTTAGGACTCCAATGATTTATCCAAAAATAATAATGACGATTCACTTTTTTGTGGTTTCCAAGAAGATATACTATCAAATTCTGATATTACAACAAGTTTATTGTTTACAATTGGAAGACGAAATGAAAATAAAACAACAAAAAATAATTTTTCTTCTCCAATAGTTGAACTATTCTATAAAAGATTGGCACCAAAAATGGAAATATATCATGAATTAAATATTTGTTGTGCTCCTCTTGCTATGCTCGCTGATGATTGTTTTATTGCTACATTACGAGAGATTGTTGAAAGAGTGGAGGAAAATAATAAGGTGGGTGAAAAAATCAGAATTTTAATTGAACATGTGTTTTTACAAATTCTGAAAATCAGAATTTTATTTAAACATGTGTTTTTACAAATTCTGAAAATCAGAATTTTATTTAAACATGTGTTTTTACAAATTCTGAAAATCAGAATTTTATTTAAACATGTTTTTACAAATTTTTAAAATCAGAATTTTATTTAAACATTTGCTTTTTACAAATTCTTAAAATCAGAATTCTAATTGAACAATTTATTTTTACAAATTCTGAAAAAATATTAGCCAGAATTTTTAATAATTAAAAACCAGAATTTCGAAAATTACAAATCAGAATTTTTACAAATTTACAATTTGTAATCTCTTTCTCCTTCTTAAAAATACACATTAACTTCCATTGCCCATTTATTTATTGTTTTAATTGCTTCTCTCGCTTCACTACTTTTATCACGTTCTAATATTCGCATTGCTTCACGTAGATCATCTAAATTACATTTATCAGCAGTAAACATTTTTACTACTCCAATACATGCTGCACATTTTGGTTTTGAATAATTAAAATTTTGTTGATTGTTCATCCGATTTTCACGTTTTTCCATTTCATCAAAAGCTTTGGCTGCTATTAAATAATCTTCCAATCTGAAACATTCAAAAATAGAATTTATTTTAACAGTTTAGCGAGCCGAGGCAGGCATAAAACTTACGTCCACCTGTGGCAGTTATTGCTTGAGGCTTTGGTTCACTATTTGCAGGGATGCTCTACTGGGTGATTATGAGCTATCGGGGGCAATGCTTTCACCTTCTCTTTACTAATAAATCTTAAACCTACACCTTGGGAGCTTTTTAAGTGCTAACAATAAACCGACCGGATCTCCCTTCTTGCATTATAAAGAAAAAAATTTCACCGATAACAATCATTAGCAATCAACCTCAAAATCATTTGTGAATTTGGAATGTGTTTCTCCTTCTGATAAACCCCCCAAGCCTCTTTTCCATTCCCATTCGCAATTTGTGCACGAGCTAAGCAAAGACAATAAATTAGTGTTGAAGTTGTCTGATGTCCATTTATTTGTTTTAAAATTTTTTCTGCTTCAACAAAATTGTCTAACATAAGTTGTGTTTGTCCATAATTAAAATTGAAGATTTCATCGTTTGAAAAAAAAGTCTTTAAAAAATTTTTTTTGGAAATTCGTATTTTTTGGGGTTCCTTTGACTCTGGTCTAGTTTGTACGTCCAATGAACTTTTATGAGTTTTTTGGTCTGGTTTGTTTGTTATATTTTTCATTGGCTCCATAAACTGAACCAGATCTTTTCTTTTTTCGTTACCCTTATTGAATCCAAATAGACTAAAACTTCATCAAACTGTTTTCTTAAAAAATGGGCAGATGCCATGCTTTGTCTTCCTATTATTGTGTCACATTCTGCTGGTGATTCTCCAACAATTTTGAAAAATCCTGCTGCCGCGTTTAATAGGTCTTGCTTTAAAAAATGGATTTTTTTCAATCTTTGAATTAATTTTTTACCGAATTTTCTTCAATTCCTTTAATACAAAATGTAATAGCTTTAAGTAAATATTCATAAGTGCTTTGTGGTTCTATATTTTTCATCAATACAAATGCGGCATCTGTATCGTTCTTTTTCAGATGATATATAGCTAAGTTTAAACGAGCTTCTGGTACAATATCAACAAGTGTTGGAAGTAATTGTAAAGCTCCGTCTCCATTGCGAAATACAACCTTTATTTTTGAATTTACTCGGGTACACTCGTGGATATAATGAAGTGTGTTTTAAATGGGTATATCACTTAGGAAGCTCCAATCATTTAGTGGCTCCCTCGACCTTTTGGTCTCCTCAAACTTTTAGCTCCTTCCTCGACCTACTTGCGTTCCTTTACCCAGTGGCCTTCGCCTAGTGACCACAAATTAATTTCAGAAAAAGATATCTTAAAGTGAGGTGTATTCCTAATTTAGAGAGTATTTTGTAGGACTGAATTATTCTTTAAATTATTTTTCAAAAAAATTAATTTACTGTATTATGTAAAATAATATCCTTTGCAAAATTCAATTCGCTAGTAGACATACTTTTCAAAGCTTTCAGCTCATTTTCTGCTGCTTTAGAATTATATAATCTATATTGGTTGCAAGCTTTTAAATTCACTGCAATAGGGCTATCAGAAAATTTATCCAAATAAATTTGTAGCATTTCCATAGAAATATCATAATAATCTAATTTATAATAACAAAGAGCCATATAAACATTTATTGCTAAATAAGTTTTGTTTTTGCTCAAAACTTTTTTGTAAATGTCTATAGCTTGTTGGTAATGTGATCGGAGATAATGAACAGAAGCTAAACAAAGTTGGTCTTCTGTTGTGTCTTTTAGTTGTCCGTGATGGGAAACAACTAAAAATATTAAAATCAGAATTTGACAAAAACAACAAAAAATACAATCAGAATTTAATAAAAACATCAAAAAATACAAAATCAGAATTTAATAAAAACATAAAAAATACAAAATCAGAATTTAATTTCAACAAGTTTAAAACAAAATAAACAAAAACACATAGACAACATTTAATCAAAACATCTAAAACACATCAAAATAAAGCAGAACAAACATTATAATAAAAACATCAAACAAGCACATTTAAATAAAAACACACAAAAACATCAAAACAAAAATACAAAACTTCAATTTAAATATAAAAACATACGGCTTTTCTTATCATTAATTTTGTGAGCAACATGAAAGAGTAACCTTGTTTGTAGGGGGCCTTTGGAAGCTTTAATTAAAAACATTTTTAAATTAATTTTTGCTTGTTTTTACCTTTTTCTGCCACTTTTTTAGCATTTTCATATAAACCCAAAAAGAAAAAAGAACATCCCAAATATAAATAAACTTCATTAGGACAATGTTTATCCCCCAACATTTGTTCATAAATATTTTTTGCATTTCTATAATTTGCTGCATGAAAATGGCAATAGCCTAACCATAATTTTAAATTCATTAATTCATCATTATTTTTTGAATTTATTTTTTCTTGCTTTTTAATTTTATGTTCAAGTAAGGATATTGCTCCCATATAATCACGCTTTTCTAAAAATTTATTTAATTTTTTAAATAATCCTTCTCTTGTTTCATCTTCACTTTCTTGTCTTTTACTTGTTTCTTTTTTATTATTTTTGTTGTTGTTGTTATCTTCTTCTGATTTTTTGTTTCGTCGAAATCTTGAAAGCAACATTGTTTTTGTGTTTCTGATTTTATTCTAAAACGATAAAAATAAATAAATCAGAAAAACATATAATAATTGGGAAATATAAAATCAGAATTATATCTAACATTAATTTATTATAACAGAAAAAATCAGAATTTAATTTAAACATTAATTAAAACTAATAAATGAAATCAGAATTTAATACAAACATTAATTTATTATAACAGAAAAATCAGAATTTAATCTAAACATCAATTAAAACTAATAAATGAAATCAGAATTTAATACAAACATTAATTTATTGTAACAGAAAAAATCAGAATTTGATTTAAACATAATTAAAACAATAAAACATATGAAATCAGAACTTAAAACAAACACTAATTAAAACAGTAAAAATTGTAATTTTATTCAAACAAATAAAATTTGTTGGGAGTAAGAATTAAAACGAGTATTTTTAGTTTTAAAGTTTTTATTGTTGTTTGGGGTTCTTTTTATTACTATGGAAACGGCTTTTATGCTTTTTCTTTTAAAAATTCTAAATTTGGGTAATATTTAAAATGGGGAAAATTATAAAAGATTAAAATCTCAAATAGTTCAAAATAAATTAAAAAGTTTTTTTAATTGAAATTAAAAAGTTATGTATTTCAGAGCTTTCAGCATTCAACTCCATCCACCAGCAATTTTTCAACTACTTTTAAATCATCAGATGAATCTTCTCTAATTTTTCATCAAATATTTATTTTTGCAACAATACCTGAAGTATTTTTAATTTAATAATAAATTTAAAAGAAAATTTTCAGCTTTTAATTGAACTAAGAAGCCAAAAAGCTGCGCAAGACTGTATTTTATCAACATTACCAAAACATATAGAAGAACAGAATAATAAAAAAAGGACAAGAAGAAAACGTACCTCAAATTCAATTCTGTTCCCGTTAAATTTTGATATTGATGATGTTTACAACAATGTTGAGGAAGAAGAATTTAATGTTGGGGAGAATAAAAATAATTTTGAACATCAGAAAAACACAACAACAACAACAAATGACAAAAACAATCAGAATTTAAAACAAACAACAACACAACAACAACATCAACACAAAAACACAACAACAACTAATAACAAAAACAATCAGAATTCAAAACAAACATCAACACAACAACAGCATCAACACAAAAACACAACAACAACAAATGATAAAAACAATCAGAATTTAAAACAAACATCAATTAAAACAAGAAAATATGAACACAACATTAATAAAAATAAAAACACAACAACCTCAACAACAAAAACATTTGATAAAAATAAACTTGTTTTTACTCCAACAACAACAATTTCAAACGAACATTCAAACTTTACAACAATAGAAACATCGTCGTCATCATCTTTTGTTTTTGCTAGTGTTTGTGGATTATCATTTACATTTATTAAAAAACATTTACAACAACAAAAATTAAATAAAATTAATGTTGGATTTGATTCGTTTAATTTGAAAGATTTATTTGAGAAAACAACAAACAAAAATGGCGATATGTTGCTTAAAATTGGGAAGGAAAAGGTGGTCACTTTTAATAAAAATGGGGTAAATTTTGAAAATTTTTTTATTAATTTAAAAATTAAAAAAAATTTTTTTAAGCCTGATGGAACTGTTCGTTCTCTTTCTTGTCCAGATCTAACAACAAACAACGGTTCCAAAAATTCGAACAACAACAACAACATTTCTCCCAACAAAACAACTGAAAATTCTGATTCTCCCTCAAATTTAGCTTTAACATCTTTATTAAATGAAAATTTATTTGTTGGTGAAACAGAAAATAATAATGTTTGTAATAGACATCAGACAATGCCCACAACAAAACAACAGCAACAACAAGTGGACAACATTGTTTCAAACATTAAACAACAAAACCAGAAGAAAAAACATTGTATTGAAGTTGTATTCGATCCTAACAAACATGAAGAAGTTGAAACAAGTTGCAAAAAGGTGTGTGTTTTTGTTGTTAGATATATATCAGAATTTAAAGTTCAATCAGAATTTAAAGTTTAATTTCTGAACAAGTTTGTATTTATGAAAAAAGTTTTTTCCCATAATTCTGAAATTCTGATTCAAGTTTATTTTTTAATTCAATAATTCTGATTTTTTTCAATGTTTTTAAAAAATTCTGATTTATATTAAACTTGTTTTTCTCAGGCAAATTGTATTGTCACAGGGAATTTTGACGACGAACAAACAAATGTTGAATTATTTATTAATCGACGAACATGGCTACTTTTAATAGACTTTTTTGGTTTTTGTTCAACTTCTGATATTAATAATAAAAATGTTTTGGACAACAATAACAACAATTATATTATGAATATTGAATTAAATATTTCTTCTAATTTAATATTATCAATAAATTATCCAAAAAGTGAATTAACTCCAAAATTGGGTATTGTTTATATTCAAAAGCCTACGTTTACTGTACAGGTGAATAAATTTTGTTTTAAAATTTTTTTTTAATTTTAGAAATTTTTTTAATAGAAAGATTCTTTAAAAAATCAGAAAAATTTTCTCTAAAAAATTTTTCAAAAAAAAATTAAAAAATTATTTTTTTAGATAGATTTGAACGTTTCAAGTGATCCGATCCTTATATCGATGCAAGCACATAGTTTTTCACTTACCGATGAAAATTCACAAATATATTCTCAGCGTTTACGAGTTGGAAATTTTGACAACAAATTAAACGGGAAATCAACACCATGTATTAAAATGAAGCTTATAAAGTGAGAAAAAAATTTTTTTAATTAATTTTTTTTATTTTTTTTGAAGGAATCGTCGAAATTTTAATTCTTCTTTAAACAACAATAACAACGATTTTGATATTTATTTAAATCTAAAAATAATTAATGATGTTGTAGTTAATTATATACATTCACATCGTTATTATTATGCTTTGATAGATTTTTGGCTTCAATTTTCTGAAATTTATGATCGCTTATTTATTGAAAATGAAATTAATAAACAATCAAAACAACAATTATTTGGTCAACAAAACTTGTTTGATAATTTACTTAAACTTCGTTGTAAACTTGATATTGAATTTACTAGTGGATTAAATCTCTATATCCCTTCAAGTGAAAATTCTCAAAAAGCTGTGCTTTTTGAATGTGACAAAATTCTAATTTCTAATAAATTCTGTCGAGCTTCACAAATAAAAAATTTGCTTCAAAAACATTTGGGAGAAAATTTGTTTCGATTACAGCAACAACAATTACCGTATTTCCTATATTAGAGCCCCACCCTCTGTTAGAGCCCCACCCTCTAATACAGCCCCACTTTGGAGGATAGTTGAAAAATAGAGCCCCACCCTCAATTAGAGCCCCACCCCAAATACAGCCCCACCTAAAAAATATTAGAGGAAAAAAATACCCCAATAACTTTTTAGATGTATTAAGAGAGTTAAGGAAATAAAGGGGGATATCGATGATATCGTGATCATGGAGGAGGAGGGATCATGGGGATATAGGGATGAAAACGAGGAGATAATCCCGATATCCGTCAAAATAACCTAATATCGCCTATATTCCCTCTTATAATCACTCCTATTATCTCCAAAATCTAATCCACTTGACGATAATTCGCGAGATTATTAGAGATCTATTAGGGATCTCGCTTAAAATCAGTGATTTTAAGCGAGATCCCTAATAGATATCCCTTAAAATCCACTTTTATACCTCTGATCCATCGATGTCAAATACTAGTCCCCTAACATTTCCTTTAATCCGTCCAAATCTACCAATAGTTAATAATTAATTTAGCTCTCATTGAACTATTTTATTTTTCTTGAAAAATCGAAAAATAATCGATTCTCTTTCGATATTTTGCGGTTCAACACCAAACCTCCGGCTTATCTCTAGTTGCAATGGATAGTTAATAAATGGGATTTTATCTCAAAAGAGGGTTGAAAAATAGAGCCCCACCCTCAATTAGAGCCCCACCCTTTAATACACCCCCACCTTGGAGGATAGTTGAAAAATAGAGCCCCATGGGGCTCTAATATAGGAAATACGGTAAATAATAATAATTTAAATGAAAATGCTTCACCTTTATTGGATGATATAAATATAAAAATACAACATTATTCTGTTTATTATGGAAATTTTTGCAAAACAAAAAATATAAACAAGAATGAAAGAATTTCAAACAAAAACAGTAAATGTTTTGATTTAATTTGTTTTTTTACAATTTGTAATTACAAATTTTGGATTAATTAAATCAGAACTTTTCTAGCATTTGTAATTACAAATTCTGGAATAATTAAATCGAAACTTTTTTTACAATTTGTAAAGTTCTAAACAAGTTTTAAATTAAAGTTTATTTTTTTACAATTTGTAATTACAAATTGTGAATGTTTTTATTTTTTCGGAACTTTTTTTACAATTTGTAATTACAAATTGTAGAATAATTAAATCAGAACTTTTCCATTATTTGTAATTACAATTCTTACAATTAACAAGTTTTATATTCTCACAACTTTTTTTACAATTTGTAATTACAAATTCTGAATGTTTTTATTTCTTCAGAACTAATGTATATTAAAATTATTTTATTACAGATTTCACTGCCTACACATTTCATAAATTACAATCTGTCATTGAAAATAATAACAATACCAACAATAACATTCACCAGGAAATACAACTTTACAGAAATTTGTCTGCTCGAACTACACATGCTGGTGGGTTTATTTTTTAATATAAAAACAATTTTTTTCTATTTTTTCTGTGAGCATTTTTAATTTTTTAAGTCTATATTTTTTTATATTTTTTAAACATCTTCATCAGTAAGATAATTTCGCACCAAAAAGGAAAACTTAAAAATATTTTGAAAAATTTTCGGAATTTTTTTTAATTTTCACCTCATCAAAATCAATAAAACCATCTCCATCAACATCATATTCTATAAATAATTCCTTTAAAAAATTTTTTTATTCTAATAATTATTTTTTTAAATTAACTAACATCTATTAGTCTGCTATTTTGAATATCACCAAGTTCGCGCTTAAAATTTTTTTAAGTTCTGATTTTTAAACTTATTATTTTTATAGTTTAATTCAAGTTTGTTTTTTTGATTTTTTTTCAAGTTTATTTTTACCTAACTTTTACAAATTGTAAAAGTTTCAATTCAATTTTATTTTTTAAATTTTACAAATTGTAATTACATTTTATTTTTTTCTGATTCAAGTTTTACAAATTGTAAAATCAAGTTTATTTTTATTTTCTATTTCAAGTTTATTTTTCTGCTTCAAGTTTTACAAATTGTAAAAATTTATTATTTTACCAGTACAAAATCGAAGTCTTTTTTAGAAATTAGTCCAGACTCGTTTCTATCAAAAACATTGAAACATTCTTTTATTACTTCATTCCATGATTGTGTTTTTTCACTTGTTGTTTTCATAACTTCGCAAAACTTAAAAATTTATTTTTCTATTTTTTTCTAATATTTTTTACATACTTCATCAAAATCTATTTGATGATTTCCACGCTTATCAGCTTCTCTCATTAACATTTCTACATCAATTTGTTTTGAATCCATTCCTAAATTTGTAATTGCACTCTCCAATTCTTCAATACCAATAGCACCGCTTCTGTCTGCGTCGAACATGTTGAATATCTTTTTAAACGTATTTTACTCAATAAGTTTGTTTTTTTACAATTTGTAAATTCTGATTAGGTTTTTCTATTGTTTTTACAATTTATAATTTTCTTTATTTAATTTTTACAATTTGTAATTACAAAACCTGAACAAGTTTATTTATTTTCTTTTTTACAATTTGTAATTGTGATCAAGTTTATCTATTCTATTCTTTTACAATTTGTAATTACAAAATATGCTCTTTATTTTGATTTTTACAAATTGTAATTACAAATTCTGAATAAGTTTATTTATTTTATTTTTTACAAATTGTAATTCTGAACAAGTTCTTTTATTTTTTACAATTCGTATATTACAAAATCTGATTTAAGTTTATTTTATTTAATTAACCTGTCTATACTCTTTCAATTCCTCAGTCGTGTATTTATCCAATTTTGTTATTAGCCCTCCTCTCATTGCAGAATTTCCACCACCATCATCAGTTCTTTCAGCAGAAGATGAAGAAGCAAATTTTGCCTGTAATGAACGAATACTTTTTCTACTTTCTCTATAATCATTATTTATATTTTTATTATTATTATCCAAAGATTGAGATTTTTGATTAAATTTATTTGGTTTTTTTAAATTTAATCGAGAAGATAGGCCAATTGTATTAGTTGTCATTGAAGGATATTTTTTATTTAATATAGAACTTCTAATCCAACTTAGTCTTGTTGAATTATTTGTAATATTTGAAGCATAGTTGTTGTTACTACTTGTAGTTGTAAAAAAGTTGTAATTGTAATAATTCTGATTTTTTCTTTCTTTTGTTGTAATTTTATCAGAATTTTCATTTGTTTTTGTTTCAAAGTTAATTTCTGAATATTCTGTTTTTATATTGTTGTTTAAATTATAATAATAGGGTGTTGGTATCAATAAACTGCTACTACTTTTTTCATCGCTTTCATTATTATTATTTTTTCCGTTGCTGAATATTGAACTTTTTGAATGTTTTTTTGATGTTGAGTTGAACATGCTTTTCTTTCTCTTCTTTTTTATTTGGACTTTTTTTGGGGAGATTTTCTTAGGAGTCTTTTTTGTGGATTTTTAGGGTGATTTTCAAACGGATTTTTTGGGGTTTTTTGTGAATTTTTTTATTTATTTTTTTACTTTATTTTTTTAAAAATGAGCTCATTTTTGGATTAAAAAAATTTTTTTGGATAATATTTTGTAATAAATACCATCAATTTAAAAAAAGCTTTTGAAAAGGATATATTTATATGTGGATGATGTGGTTAGTGCCAATTTTTCCTCATTGAAAAAATAATAATAGAAGGCCAATTTTGTTTGTATATTTTTGAAAAATGAAAGTGGGGAAATAAAGGTTTTTATAAGTGAGCTTTATTTTTCAGGAAATAAATATATATAGGTGAATTTTATTTTTATTTTTAAGAAAAAAATTTTTTTGAGAAAATTTTTTTTAATTTTCTACTTACAACTCTAAACGGTCCTCCAAACAGTGTTGCTCGTCCACTACTTCCTTGTGCCATTAATAATGAACTAAAGAATGGTGTTCCACCGCCTGTTGCTGTTCGATTTCTTGAATTTGCACTTTGTCTGCGGCTTGAATTTAAATTTTGTTGTTGTTGTCCTCCACTTATTCCGCCTGCTACTAATAATAATTCATTTGCACTATTTTGATTAATTGTTGTTTTTGGTGTTGTTGTTGTAAAGGGCATTTTTAATTTCTTTGTTTTTGAATGTTTTGTGTAAAGGCACAAGTATGGGGAAAACTGAAAGTGAGAATAAACTTTAAAATAAAATCAGAATTTTATGAAAACATGTTTGTTTTTAATTCTGATAGAAATTTAAAATAAAATCAGAATTTTATGAAAACATGTTTGTTTTTAATTCTGATAGAAATTTAAAATAAAATCAGAATTTTATGAAAACATGTTTGTTTTTAATTCTGATAGAAATTTAAAATAAAATCAGAATTTTATGAAAACATGTTTGTTTTTAATTCTGATAGAAATTTAAAATAAAATCAGAATTTTATGAAAACATGTTTGTTTTTAATTCTGATAGAAATTTAAAATAAAATCAGAATTTTATGAAAACATGTTTGTTTTTAATTCTGATAGAAATTTAAAATAAAATCAGAATTTTATGAAAACATGTTTGTTTTTAATTCTGATAGAAATTTAAAATAAAATCAGAATTTTATAAAAACATGTTTGTTTTTAATTCTGATAGAAATTAAAAACAAGTTGGTTTTCTATCAGAATTAAAAATAAACTTGTTTTACAAACTTAAATCAGAATTAAAACACAACATGTTTTGATTCTATCAGAATTTAAATAAACATGTTTTACAAACTTAAACTTAGCACAAACTTAAGAAACTTAAAAATTAATGTTAAAATAATATTAAAGAGTAATTGTCTGGAGCGCCTTTTTTAAGTGTATCCCATAGCAATAAATATTAAATAAAAATGTTTTCCGGGAATTGTTTATATTATTAAAAATACTTGAAGGTTGAAGGGCAATATAAAATAATATTCGACTGTTATAGTAACGTCAAATAGTTTTTTTTTATTTTTGCCATTGTGCTTGTTTTTTAAAAATAGGTGGCATTAAGAGAATGAAAAAGAGAAAAAGAATTAAAATGAAAATATATTACATGCATTTTTATGGAAATGAATATGTACGTGCTTATATCTTTTTTCTCCTTTAAGCCTTTATTTTTTAAAAGAAAATCAATTAATAATTAAAATAAGTGAGAGAAAATTGCAAAAAAGATATTTTAAGAATTGTAAAACAAGTTTATTAAAAATTCTGGTTTTGATTAAATTCTGATTTTTTAAAACAAGTTTTAAAACAAGTTAAGCAAGCGTTGAACTTTTCTAAGTTTTAAATTCTGATTTTTTCTTTTTAAGTTTGTTTAAAATTCTGATGTGAGAATAAACAAACTTGTTTTTATAAAATTCTGATTTTATTTATCTTTTTTAAAAACATGTTTTGAAACAAGTTGAGATTTAATTATGATTGTTTTTTATTTTAATTCTAAGTTTTATTTCTAAAAACATGTTTGTTCTTAATTCTGATTTGAACGTTATTTAAGAATTGTAAAACAAGTTTATTAAAGTATTCTGATTTTTTAAAACAAGTTTGTTTATAATTCTGATTGAATTATAAACAAACTTGTTTTTATAAAATTTTGATTTTATTTATTTATCTTTTTTCAGTTCCCGATACTTTAGTAATTCTACGTCTTGAAAATTTAATTGTAAACTGTACCAGTGATTTTTACAAACTTTTATATGAATGTATTAACAACAATTTTGGAGAACAATTAATTTTACAACCAGAACTTATTCCTAATGAATTATTGGAATTTTCTGAAATTGATTTGGTAGAACCATTAGAAAAATATGCAACATTTTGTGTTAGATTACAATTAAAGGGAGTTCAAGTAAGGGCAAAAAAAAAATTTTTTTTTAATTTATTTTTTTAATCTTAGTTAAATTTATTAACACCTTCATCACCTTTTGAAACAAATTCTTTTGAAAAATTTGCAACATTTTCTTTAAATTCAGTCAAAGTTTTATTCAATTCTTTTATTGACTCACATTCTGAAATTGATATAATTTGTAAAAGTGCAACCTTGGAAGATTCTACAAATTGTAAAAAAATTTTTTTTTTAATTCAAAAAATTATTTTAAAAATTTTTTAGCTACTCATACAGCAGAGCCTTTCAAAAAATTACTTAAAGCGCGTCATGAAAAGAGTTACAATAAACATGTTGCTTCAACAAGTTCAACAACTAAAAACAAGTAATAAATTCAAAAAAGTGTATTTTAAATTCTGGGTTTTAAAATTAAATCAGAATTTATTTAAAACTTAGAATTGTAAAATATAAAACCTTTTTTTACAAATTCTGATTTTAATGACTTAATTAACTTCAAGTTTTACAAATTCTAATTGTTTACAAATTCTGATTTGTAAAACTTGAAATTAATTCTGAGTCTAATTCTATTTTTACAATTTCTGATTTTTTTTACAAATTGTAAAATTAAATATAATTTTTTCTCTATTTTTCAGTGAAAGCAAAAAATTGCTTTGCGAATTACATATCCAAATGCCTCGTAATGAATGCCATATATTTTCATTTATATTAATTAAAACACGTGTTTTTCTTCTTTTTGAATGGATTGAAAAGCTTAAATTATTTCTTTTACTTGTTAATAATTTAAATTCGAATGGTAAGATTAATAAATTTTTCTAAAATTTATTCAATCAATTTTTTTAGAATTTTCTTCAAAAAATGGAATTCATTGTCGTAGTAGTTCAACAAAAACAATTCAACATCAAAAACAACAAAAATATTTTAAGAATAATTTATCACAAGCAGAATTAACCCATTCATCATTATCCACTTCATCTTCTTCAACAAATATAATTAATCAAAATAAAATTATTTCAATGTTTAAAATTACTTTAAAAGATTGTGAATTAATTATATTAGAAGATGAAAGTAAATGTGACAGTTTTGCTTTAATTACAAATTGTAGTGGTGTAATTTTATATAATGTCTATGACGATAATGAACTTTATGATATACAATGTGAAATACAGGTAAATATAGGTTAAATTACAATTTGCGAAAATTTTACAAATTCTGAAAAAGTTGTTGAATTATAATTATACTAAAGCAAACTTTTTACAAATTGTAAAAAAGTTTTACAAATTCTGAAAAAAAGTTTTACAAATTGTAAAAAAGTTTTACAAATTCTGAAAAGAGTTTTACAAATTGTAATAAAGTTTTACATATTGTAAAAAAGTTTTACAAATTGTAGAAAAGTTTCACAAATTTTGAAAAAAGTTTTGCAAATTTTAAAACAGTTCTACAAATTCTGGAAAAGTTTTACAAATTGTAAAAAAGTTTTGCAAATTGTAAAAAAGTTTTACAAATTCTGAAAAAAAGTTTTACAAATTCTGAACAAATTGTAATTATAATAAAACAAACTTCTTTTTACAAATTCTGATTTTATACACAATTTCAGAACTTTTCTCTATCTTGGTGTTTAATGAATTGTGAAAAATCAAGTTTAACTCAAATAACAAATGAATCAAATGCAACAATTAATATTCAAATGTCAAACAGCAACAAAACATCAATTAAAGAAAAAATATTATTAAAATCTTCAATTATTGATGGAATAGAACATTTATTATTAAAACAAAAACAATTACACATTCAAATAAATTTGGGGGCTTTAATTATAAGAAGTTCATTGAAGGTACGGGAGAGAGAGATTTTCTTCTTTAAAAATTTTTTTCTTTTCAGGATTTTCTTATTATTAAATATATTATTGATAATGCTTTAATTACTTGGGAAAAATCACAAACTCAATCATTTTTTTGGTCTGATTCAAATTTTGGTAATAATAAAAATTCTCATCAAATAATTCCTAAAAAATGGCGTTTTAATTGTAATCAGCTTTGTATATGGATTTTAAAAGAAACTACAGCAACAACAACAACAAATTCTAGCGGTAGTATGGCTCCATTTTTGCGTTTTAATTTATTTGGTAAAAAATTTTAAAAAATAATTTTTTAAATAAATTTATTTTAAAGGATTAAATGCTCAATGGACTTCTCGCCATTTAGAAACAAATTTTTCTGTTAGTATAGATAATTATCGTGAACGTGCACCTCTTGGTTGGGAACCGTTATTAGAATGTTGGCGTATTGCAAGGCTTGAATTGGAAGAGAATGCTCAACAAAAATGGAATTTATGGTTAAGACCGGGTATGGGAAAAAAATTTTTTTTTATTTGAAAAATTTCAGAAATAAATTTTTCTTTTAATTTTTAAGCAGATGACAGTTTAGCAGAATTAAATATCACACAAACATTTGTTGAAGATCTGATAGATTTTATTGAAATAAATAATAGACTATTTTTACAAACAACAACAACAAATAAAACTTTAAATTTAATTGAACAAACAAGAAATCAAAATTACAAAACGTCAAAAACAACAACAAAAACATCAATTAACAATGCTGATAATAATAATTCTTTTTCTGAAAGCTATAAAATTCAAAATCAAAATTCTGCTTCTGGTAGTGTAAAACAACGCTCAAATTCTTTTCTTTCTACTTCTACAAAATACATGTCAAGGTAGAGGGAGTATATGTCAGAATTTGTAAAATAAGCTTTACAAATTGTAAAATTAATAAAAACATTTTTACAATTTGTAAAATTAATTCAACTTTCTTTTACAAATTGTAAATTTAATAAAAACGTTTTTTACAAATTGTAAAATTAATTAAAACATTTTTTACAAATTGTTAAATTAATAAAAACATTTTTTACAAATTGTAGAATTAATAAAACATTTTTACAAATTGTAAAAATTAAATAAACTTTTTTTACAATTTGTGAAATCAATAAAAACATTTTTTACAATTTGTAAAATTATTAAAAACATTTTTTACAATTTGTAAAATTAATAAAAAACATTTTTTTACAAATTGTAAAATTAAATAAACTTCCTTTATAAATTGTAAAATTAATAAAAACATATTTTACAAATTATAAAATTATTAAAACATTTTTTACAATTTGTAAAATTAATTCAACTTTCTTTTACAAATTGTAATTTTATTAAAACAATTGTAATTTTATTATTTACAATTTGTAAAATTAAATAAACTTTTTTTAAAATTTGTAAAATTAATTAACTTTTTTTACAAATTTTATAAGTAAATAAAACTTTTTTTACAAATTGTAAAAAACATTTTACAAATTCTGAAAGAAGTTTTACATATATAATTTTTCTTTATAAAGTTTATTTTTCTGATAACTTTAGTGTTTGTAAAACTTTAATTAAACTTAACTTTTTACAAATTTTATTTTTAAGATGTAATGCTTTTGATTCAATCAAAATTTCAAATCCTTCTGATATTGATCTTAATATACAATTAGATTTACCTGCTGGAATAGGAATTTCACTTATTGGGAATAATTGTGAAAATAACAACAACAATTCTGTTGACGAATTACAACAACAAGAAGAATTAATTTATGCCCGTTTTTATTCTGTTCGTATAGGCATTTTAAAACATCAAAATAATACTTATGTTTTTAATTGTTCTTCACAATCTATACAGGTAGAATTTATTTAAATTAAAAAAAAGAATTTAATTTTGCTTTTTTTTAAAGTTTGATAATCAAATTCTTGGGGCAGATAGGCATAATTTATTTTTTTGTGATCCTAATGCTCTTCGTGATGAACCTGTAGTTGGCCCGTTTCCAGCACTTAATTTTGAAATGAGTTATACTTCAACGGATATTTTGGATGCATATGAGGTGGAAATTAACGAAAAAAAATTTTTTTTTAATTTTCTTTTAGTCTTTTCGTCTTAAACTTTGTAATTCTTGTGTTCTTCTTGATGAACAATTAATTTGGAGACTTGTATATTTTATTAAAAATATTGTTGAATATACTAGAAGAAATAAATTGAAAGAAAAACAACAACAAAAACAAAAAATTCAAACTCAACAAGTGACTAAAAATTGTTATTTTGGTGCATTTCAACTTGAATTTGGAGATATCTCTCTTTCTGGTAAAATAAAAATTAATTTTTTACAAATTGTAAAAATTGTTTTAATAAAATTAAAGTTGTAAAAACAAGTTTATTTACAAATTCTGAAGTTTTATGAAAATCAAGTTCTATAGTTTTACAATAATTTATTTTACAATTCGTAAAATTTAAAGTTTTACAATTTGTAAAACTTATCAGAATTTGTAAAAACATGGTTAATATATAAATAAGTTTTACAATAAGTTTTACATATTATAAAAAAGTTTACAATTAAGTTTTATAGTTTTACAATTATAAAGTTAAAGTTTTACAATAAGTTTTACAATATTATAAAACAAACTTAAAAATTCTGTTGTTTTACAATAATTACAATTCCAACTTTTTTTTCTTTCAAGTTCACAATATCTTTTAATTTAAGTGTTAACTACTGACAAAAATGCTTTACCTCCTTGTTTACGGCTACTTAAAGAAAGATATGCAGAAACACTTTTACTTGTTAATTTTGAAAATGCTTTAGTTACCCTTGCACCATTCTGGGCACATCGATGTTTAACAACTTTGAATAATTTATTTGCTAATATTGTTGATTTTTATATTGGTGGGTTTTTTAAAATTTAGAAAAATTTTCCAAAAATTTTCAGAAATTTTTCAAAAAAAATTCGAAAAAAATTCAAAAATATTTGAAAATTCTTAAAAATAAATTTTCATTTAAGGCCAACTTAAAAAACAAAAATTAAATATTTTTGTCGCTATGGATGCAATTGGAAATCCTAGTGGATTTGCTACAGAATTTAAAGAAGGCTTTGAAGGCCTACTCTTTGAGGGTGATGTTGCTGGTTTTACTTTTGGTATTGGCTATGGGGCTGCTAATAGTATTTCTAAAGTTGCTAGTTCAATGGCGCAAGGAGTTGGGGCATTAACTTTTGATGGTAGGGTTTTTTTTGTAATTTTTTGAAAATTTTAAGATTTTTTTCAAAAATTTTTTGAAATTTTTTTAAAAATTTTATAAAAAAAATTAAAAAAAAATGTTTTTCTAAAAAGATCAACACGAACAATTTCGCCGTTGGATGTTACGTTCAAAACCTGAACATGAAGCTAATGCTTTAGGCTATCTTTATGGAGGACTTAAAGGTTTTGGTGTTGGGGTGTATGGAGGATTAACTGCAATTGCTAAAAATACATTCGTTGCAGCTAGACAAGAAGGGGTTTTGCCGGTGAAAAAAATTTTTTTTCTATTAAAACAAATTTGAAGCAAAATTAATGAAACAAACCTTAAAATACAAAATTGCAGCAAAAAAATACTTGAAGCAAAATAATTTAATTTTTATAAATTATAGGGTGTTATTCGTGGTGTTACAACTGGTGCTGTTGACACATTTACAAAACCTTTACAAGGAACATTAGATCTTGTAGAAGGAACAGCTTCTGCTATCCGTGAAGTTGTTGGTGCACCTCTCGGTTCTAAAAATATTTTTTTCTCTAAAAAATTTTCCCCTTTATTTTTAAGTACGCCGTGCACATTTCCCTAAAAAACGTTTACGTTCACCTCGTGTTTGTTCCTCTATGAATGGTTTACTTCCTTCATATTCTAATGAATTGGCTGAAGCACAACAAGTACTTAACTTTAAATAAACAAATTTAAAAAATAAATATCATTTTAGGATTTATTACGAATTACAGGAACATATGCTTTAAATGACGATAAGTTTGTATTTTCTCTAATAATATTTTTTAAATAATTTTTTTACAATTGACTTAAGTTTGTATTTTTATTTACAACTTATATTTTATAATTCCCCCATTTTGTATTTGTCGATTATTTTTTACAACTTTTTTTACAATTAAGTTTGTAAAACATTTTTAGAATTTATTCTTTGTTTTTACAATTCTCCTAAAATATTTCTTAAAACTTTTTTTACAATTCTTTAAGTTTTACAATTTTACAATTACAATTAAGTTTATAATTCATCAAGTTTTTTATAATTTCCCCCATTTAAGGTTGTATTTTTTAGCATTTTCTTAAAACTTATTTTAAACTTTTTTACAATTACAATATTAATATTCTTCTGATTTTATTTTTTATAGCCGTCTTCTGTGTATTGTTCCTTTCTATGAACGTTTTACCCCGGAAGGATGGATTATTCGTCATCGTGCATTAATTGTTCCCTCTCAAAGTTATATTTGTAGAAATATTGTTGAAGGAGGAGGACAAGAAAATTTAAATTTTGAAGAAAAAACAATTGTTACCCACAGAATACTTTTTGAACATTTAAAAAATGTTCAAATTTCTTCTTCAAATAATAATTTAAATAAATATAAACGATCTTCATCTTCTTCAAATTTAAAAACATCAACTACTGCAACGATTAGTAGACCTGTTGGAATTGGTATGAGAAAAAATTATTTTTTTTTGAAAATTAAAAAATAATTTTTTTTTTAATTTTTTTAAAGCGTTTTGACATTTTTAAAAATTTTTCAAAAATTTTTTGAAATTTTTTTGAAAAAATTTTTTGTTGAAATTTTTTTTTGGAAAAAATTTTTTTAATTTTTTAAGCTAAAAAATTTAATTTGAGAAATTTTTCAAAAATTTTTCGAATTTTTTTAAATTAAAAAAACGATTTTTTTAAATTTTTTTTGGAAAATTTTTTCTGATTTTTGAAAAAATTTTTAATTTAAATTTTCTACAGATATTTTTTACAACAATTCTTGTACTCAACAACAACAAAATTCTTCATTTAATTATCAAATTAATAATAATAAACAACAACAATTACCAGCTTTAACTTTATTATGTACAAATTTAGAATATGCCCAATTTTTGTCTAAACAAATGATGAAAGCTAAAGTCTTATATGAAAGACATTTACAACTTAAACGTTTAAATAATGTTAAAAATGATGGAAAAAAGAAAATATTTCCAATTTTTACAATATAAAAGAGAAAATTACAATTCTCAATTAAATATAAAAATAAACTTGAAAGGTAAGGGTAGGAATGAAGCAATACCGGATGATATTTAAAAATAAACTTGTTTTTGCTCAAAAAGTTTTTTCAATTAAAATTTAAGATTACAATTTGTAAAAGTTTCAAGTTTTAAAGTTTATTTAGTAAAAAAGGTTTAATTTACAAATTGTAAATTAATTAAAGTTTAATATTACAATTTGTAATTTTAATTAAAGTTTAGTTTACAAATTGTAAATTAATTAACGTTTAATTTTACAATTTGTAAAAATTAATTAAAGTTAATTTACAATTTGTAACTTTAATTAAAGTTTATTTTTTAATTTACAATTTGTAAAAATTAATTAAAGTTTAATTTACGATTTGTAATTTTAAGTAAAGTCCATTATTTTGATTTTACAATTTGTAATTTAAATAATTTAACGTTTATTTTTTAATTTACAAATTGTAAAATTAATTAAAGTTTATCCATAAATCATTTACAAATTGTAAATTAATTTTTTATTAATTTAATTTTAAAGGCATAATGAAGAAACTTTTTCCTGTATATTAGTTTTGTATAGAAAATTTTTTTATTAAATTAATTTATTGTTTTTTTATAGATTTTATATTAGAAAAAAAATAAAATTTATTTACAAAAACACATTTGTTTTTTTAATTTTATTTTTAGTTAAATATTTTTGCTAATTTATTACCTTTTAATGTGCTATAATTGTTTTAGGCAAGTTTTCCAACAAAGAATTTTTATATATTTTTGGGCTTATAAATTGTGTATTTCCTCTTTAATCAAATAATAAATAAAGCTTGAAGCAAAAAAATAAATATTTAAAGTATGTGTGTTTATGTACTTTAAACATTTTAGTTTTTTTATTGTCACTTAAAAAATAATTCATTAAAAGAAAAATTCATTAATTTTCTTTTGCTACACTCGAAAAAAAATTTTTTTCTGCTAGTAAATGTGTTAAATAAAAATATAGCTTATTGTTTATCTTTTAAAGTAAAACAGCAATTGTTTATAATATTTAGAATGCTTAAGGGGAGGAAGGGAGAGAGGCTAGAGATATTGTTAAATATTACATTTATTATATTATTTCCGGAATTGTATTTTGTAATTGTTTTCGGAAAAGTTATAAATTATATTTACTGTTTTTCCGGAAAAAGTTTATTGCTGTCTCTTCTCTTTCCGGAAATGTGTTTTTTTGGAAAAAGTTTATAAATTACAATTGCTTGTCTTCCGGAAAAAGTTTATTGTTATTTCTTTCCCTTCCGGAAAAAGTTTATTGTTATTTCTTTCCCTTCCGGAAAAAGTTTATTGTTATTTCTTTCCCTTCCGGAAAAAGTTTATTGTTATTTCTTTCCCTTCCGGAAAAAGTTTATTGTTATTTCTTTCCCTTCCGGAAAAAGTTTATTGTTATTTCTTTCCCTTCCGGAAAAAGTTTATAAATTTGCTGTTTTTCCGGAAGAGTTTATTGCCGTTTATTTTCTTTCCGGAAAATGTTTACAAATTGTACTTTTCCCAACTTTCCCATCCTCTTTCAAGTTTTTACAAATTCTGACGTCTATTTCTAACAAATTACAATTGTAAAACTTATTTTCCGATTATACATAAGTTTATTTTTTTCAGAATTTTCTTTTAATTTACAATCCATTATTAATTGTTTTCAATTGTTTTAAATAAAAATTTTGTTTTCCCTCTTAAAATAAAAACAACAAATTTTATTTTAAATATGTATAAGGGCACTTAATGAAATTTAAAATTATTTTTAATTTTTTAAAAATTTTTTCTAAAATTATTTGACATAAATTTAATTGTGTTAAAAATAAAAAAAATTTTTTATTGGTTAAATTCATTTTTTGTGCTTTTTAAGACCTTTCCCCTCCCAAAATCTGCCCCCATTTTGTCGCCTTAACTTTTTTTCTTTTGTTCCCTCAGCCATTCTTTTCCATTATTTGCTTGCTTTAGCTTCCAATTTTCCCCCAAAATTTTTTTCTTATTTTTTTCCTTTTAAAATTTAAATACTTTCTCTTTATTATTTGTGTAACAATAATCCCCCTTATTTTTTAACTTCCTTTAAACACCTTTTTTTGTTAGGGAAAATAAATATATAATTTAATTTTAGAAGGAGTTTTAGGGCAGTTAAAAAAAATTAGGGAGAAAAAATTTTTTTTCTCCCTAATTTTTTTTATTTTCCCTTAATTTTGTATTTCCTAGAAAAAAAAAGTTTTTTTTTGGTTACACCTTCATTTTCATTAGAGCATAAATTTTCCGGCTAAAATTAAGCATCTATTCGAAACAATAAAATAAATAATTTAAAAAAATTTTCAAAAAAAAAATTCTTTGGATTTTATTAATTCAAAATTCTTTTTTTTATTAATTTTCTTTTGTTTGCCTTCCCATAGAAAAAATAAAATTAAAAAAGAAAAACTTTGTTTCTACTTTATAATTTTTTCAAAAAATAAACTTAAGAATTGTGGGAATATTTAATTTCAGAATTAAAAAATGTTTCTAAAGTTTGTAGTTTGTAGAATTAAAGTTTTTTTTACAAATTCTGAAAAAAAGTTTATTTTTGTTTGTAAACTTTCCGTAAAAGTTTACAAACTACATTTGTAAACTTTTACAACAATAAACTTTTTCCGGAAAAAGTTTACAATTTATAATTCCTTTCCGGAAAAGAATTAAAAATTGTACTTTTTCCAACTTTCCCTCCAAGTTTTTACAAATTGTAAAAAGTTTCTTTTTGTTTGTGAACTTATTTTGTAAAGCTTATTTTCTGGTTATTACAATTGTAAAACTTGTTTTCCGGTTTTCTTCCGGTTAAACTTATTTTCAGGTTATTTAGTTTTACAAATTCTGAAAAAAATTCTGGAATAAAGAATTACAATTGTAAACTAATAAAAATAAATTTAATTTCTGAATTTGTAAAAATTAATAAACGGAAAACAAGTTTTACAATTTGTAATTTTTATTTCAGAATTTTTTCAGAATTTGTAAAATAACCTGAAGAATTCCAATTCTTCAATAAACTTTTTCTTCTTTAAATATTTTTCCCAAATTAAAAACTTCTTTTAAAAATTTCCCTAATTAATAAAGAACCAAATATTTTTAAATTTTTATTTTTATTTTAATTTTTTCTCTTTTTAAAAATTCGAAACTGACAAAAAATAAGGGACAGCAAAAAACTTAAAAAGGGGGGAGGCGGGGTTTTAAAAAGAAAAGCCAAAATTGAACGGCTCACAAATTCTCTCTTTGAGGACAAAGCTTTAGTGCATGTATTATCTCTAGCTTTTCCAGAAACGTGGGCGATTTTATTTTCTCTGCTTTTTTCAATTATTTTTTCTATTCTCTTCTATTTTTATTTTTTAATCAAAAACAATCAGCCAGATTGTTATTGACTGGCAAAAATATTTATTTCTCTTTTTTCCTATTGTTTTCTAATCGAAAACAATAGTACAATTATTTTCTTTTAATATTAACTTTTTATAAAAAGTTCAACCAAAAATAAGCCAGATAAAACTGGCAAGAAGAACATCTGTTCTTCTCAAAAATTTAGCCAAAAATTTGGCCATTATAATGAGCCGTTCACGATCTCTCGATAAACGATTAAACTTATACATGCATGGCTTAATTGCCTTGTTATTGTTTAATTTGAACCTTATGATAATAAGGTTCAAAGTTTTTCTTTTTATTTTATTTTCCTTTAAAATTTATTACTTTGCACTTTCCATTTTTATTTAATTTTATTTAATATTTTATTTAAATATTTTTGGAAATTTTGGAAAAAAAATAAAATTTTATGAAGAGTATGTATAAAACATACTTTTACTTATTTTTTAATTTGTTAGGGACAAAGGTCCCGTCAGCCTCCCCGCCCAAAAAAAAAGAGTCTTAGAAATAATGAAGGGTAGATATAAAATATTAAATTTCAAAATAAAATTACCAACTCTAATATTTTAAAAAATTTAAAAAGAAAAAATAAAATTGAAAATTTTAATTAAAGGGGGGTTATCAGAGTTGGCTTACAATAAAAAAAAACTACTTATTTTAAAATTTTTCCTAAAAAATCAACTTTTTAAATTTTTATTTAATTTTCCCTTCTATTCTTCCTCTTCATACACAAATTTCTTTCATTTCTTCAGCCACCTCCACTTCTTCCCACTGCAAGTCCACCACAACCACTTCCACTATTTCCTTTCCTTTACTACTATTAACTTCTTTCTTTATCTTCCATTCATCCTTCTTTTTCTCAACCACTTCTTTCTTTTTATTTTCTTCCTTTTCTTCCTTTCCTTTTTTTTCTTTTTTAATTTTTTCTTCTTCCTTTTTAATTTCTTCTTCGTACTTTTTAATTTTTTCTTCTTCTTCCTCATCTCCCCAATCCACTTCTTCATCCCATCCTCTAACTTCTTTCTCTTCTTCCCATTTTTCTTTCGCATCATAACATCTTTCTCCTCTTCCAATTCCTTCCTCATCATCAAAAGTCGACATCTTTGAAAATTAAAATTATTTTGTATTTTTATATTTTGATATTTATTTATCTTATTTTTTCAAAATATAAGAATACAATAAAAAAGAATATTTAAATTTGATTATTAAAATTTCTACATATATTTATATTAACATTCCTTTAAAAAATATTTTGTATTACTTTTTCCAAAATATATATAAAATTTTTTATTTAAAATATAAATATTTTTTGTATTTTTAATTTTTATTATTTTTTTGTTATTTTTATTTTTTTTTCTCTTTTTCTTTCTCTTTTTATTTGCGCCCTTTAATTAAAGAGGGAGCAATGACACTTTCCGTGCCGAGAGTTCGAATTGTTTCGTTCGATGCTCTGCGCGGAAAGTAATTAATTCGCTGCCTGCGGGGTGCAATAGAAGACAATTCGACCTCATCCTGCGAGACTCGATTTCTTCGAGTTTCTCTTCTACGTGGAGGATTCTCAGTCTGTCTTCTTCCTAAGAGCGACATTATAGTCGTTCTTACAGGGAAGAGAAAATAAACTGTCAAAAGTGGGACTCCGATGTCCCTTAAAAATAAAAAGGTGGAGAAAAGGCAGCTACAAATCATCCACCAGTCTACAAAAAGCTTCCATTTGCTCCAAAGCCAAGTTTTAATTGTGCCTTCCAGTCCTCCTGGCATGGCACCAAGAGCAATTGCTCTACTTGATTCCACGGTATTAACCGAGGATTTCCAAGTTTCATATTGGGACAGTTCATCAACATGAACAAAAAGTGGCTCCTCCGTGGTATTCCTAAGTACCCACTCATGGAATACTATAGGCGATACACTCATATCCGGAGCTGTAACATTATCTTGGAAGATATGTAGCTTCGACTGTTCCACTTTATCCCAAAGGCCTGTTTGAGTGTTAACCCGAATCCATTGATTCGGGCCTATATTCAAATAACGCAAGCGATAACGCTCACAATCTGCAGGAAGAGAAGACTCCGACAATATACGCAGTTCGGGGTCTAAAAATCCGACTTGAGTACGGTTATGCAGATTTACTTCCACCGGAATATATTTATAACATCTATCGACCGGTCGAAATTTAATGCTGCTCCAATCGATAGGAGCACATGAAAATACTTCTGCAGTATCCTCATTTAACCATGTAGCAACGAGAGCTTTCTTATGGAATGCCTGTCTGACATGATAAGTTGGATTATCATGTCTTACAATTTGTTGACGGCATTTTTCCTCCATAATTTTATCATAAAATTCCTTTAGGGCAATTTCAGTGGCGGTTAATTCAGCCGCAAGTTGTTCCTCATCAACAGAACGTTTCTGCCTTGAGGTATACATTTTTATAAATTCCTTCTCGTCAATGGCAAATCCCTGGTCTGATTTTCTAACAGCTCGACCATTGCAAGCAATTTCTCGAGAGGCTTCATAATTGAACGAAAGCGCAATTTCCTTTGTGTTCGAGATCCAAACAATTCTTTCATTTGCTTGGCTATAATCTCCTTCCCACCTTCCCAAATATTCATAGAAACAACTTTTGCAATTCCTCGTCTCACAATTTGACTCCCAAATGAGACTCGAATTGTCAGATAACTGACAAAAGTCAGTCATGAAATGGCACTTTTTAATTTCAAAAAGTGGAGAAACCATTTCTAGAGTTTGAGGATTATAATGGAGTGTGGTTGGTTGTAACATACAGTTAACAACCTCTGAGGATTTTTCCCCCCAGAAAAAGGAGGAAAATCTTCCTGGGAAGTCTATATTTAAAACCTCCTCAGTTTTCCACATTCCATCCTTCTTTTCCATAATCTTTTTATTTAGAGGGCATATTTTATTTTCCCTCATTTTTAAGCAATCTTCCTTTGAAATTGGAAGCAAATTTTGTTCCAACTTAAGAAATTTATCACCCAAAAAATTTGTGTAATAAGTTTCTTTTGTGTATTTTGCGGAACAAATTAATCCTTCAACAGGTTCGGGGTGTGTAATTTGGGAATAAGTTTCGAATCCGAAATTTTTCCATTTTCGAAATTTATCCTTATTACAAAATGTGGCTTCCTCTTTAGAAGGGAATTTCCACAGAGCGCTGGACTGCGTCGCGCACCAAAATACGGGTTCCCCATTTTTTATTTCATTTATTATATTTTTTCTTCTAAATCTATCTATTTCTTGATGTTGCTCTTTATAAGTTTGCAACATTTGTGGGGAAGCACGTACCTTATAAACTGTTTTGCTGCCTAAAGGTGTTCGAACTCTGGATCTGGTCACTTCCTGAGTTGTTAATCCAAAAAAGCAGCAAATAATTAATACAAAAAGAGCCAGTGTTCCCAAATTTTTTAATAATGAGCCACTTTGTCTTGAAGTTGACTGTGTTGAGTTAGAAGGTTGTTGTTGCAAATTATTTGCAGAGCCAGAAGTAGAAGGTGCTCTTTGTTGAATTCGTTGTAACAATTCCTTCAGTCGTTCCTCTAACGGTGGTCGAACATTTGGTTGCGCCGAAATGGGAAGCATTTCCTGTTGCTGAATTATTTGTTGCTGTTGAGGTTGTTGTGGTAGGAGCGGTTGTTTTAAATTATTTTTAGGGGCAGCTGGTTTTACTTTTTGAGCCATTGGTCCAGGTTCTTCCTCAGAATCTTCATCATTATATGTTTCTCCCAAAATTTTCCCTTTAGCCTTCTTTAAATTCTTAAATTTGCCATTATAATACAAATATCCAGTATTATAAGATTCTGCCAAATTTAGGAATTGCTCTTCATATTTCTTCCTTTCCAAATAAATTTTATTTTCATTATGAATCAAAGTAATTTTAATTGGGACACCAGCCCTTCTCCAGAATTTTAAGGACCTATCAATTGAAGCCATTATTTCATCATCGGGTTTCACAACTATGAAAAGGTCCGTTGTTTTGATTCCAAAATAAATAATGGTGTGTAGATCAGTTCCACCATCAAAATAGACCAGACGACAATCCCCAGGATTGTCACACCAATTAACCACAGATTGAATCGAAGCATCAGCCGCAATGATAAAAGGCGCTTCATATAATCGCAAAGTGGTATTTCCTTTGCATCTCTGATAGTTACGCTTCGTCAATAGTTTTGAAAACATCCTAGTAATATATGAAGCCCATTCATTTAATTCTTCTATAGGAGTTTTTGGCGGCTCTTGAAGTTTGATTTGACCATTCCAATGGTAATTAAATTGGTGTTGAAAGACTTTACAATTCATTCTCCGAAGCACAAGAATATCAATCAAAAATCTGTCTTTAAAGGCCTTCTTTGGATCCAATTTAATATATTGCCAAAATTTCACTAGTAGCCACATTGGATTCATTTCGGGCTGACAGAGTTGATCCCTAATTCCTTCCCAAATTTGATTATTTCCAAATTTCTGCCTTCCAAACCAATTGAAAACCAAATAATGTACAAGTGTTGTCATTATTGGAAAAGTAACTTGGATGGGAAGGCGTCAAGAATGGGCAGTTCTGCTAGAAGTTGTGGATTTAATGCATTCCAAATGATTAGGTCCTTCACATTTTGAAAAGATATCATAGCCCCACACTTCGTTTTCCATTTCAGGGGCAGGCCACATATAATCCTTCTTTAATTCAACTACTTGGCGTTCTCTTCTTGAAGCCAAAGTAGCAATCTGCTCCTTCTGTTTTATTTTCCATCGATCGTGTTTATCTCGATCATATCTCTGTTGGTATTTTTTGAGGGATGCGACTTGAGTTTTATAAAATTTTGAATCATCCAAATCTTTTCTTCCTTTTGCTATTAGACGATCCCTCTTAGCATTTGAAGCATTAACAGACGCTAGTACTCTATCAAGCATATTGACGCCAGGTGGTTTAGCAGAATTTCGAGGTATTACACGTCCATATCTTATTATTGGTTTAAAGGGGATTTTAAATTTGCCTTTAAAATCATGGAAATATTTTCTACTGCTGTACTTCTTTCCCCCTCTTTCTTCTACCACAAGATTTAAATCGGGAACCGCTTTGCGCTTCTTTCCATTACGTTTTTGCTCTTCTTTTTCCTTTCTAGCTTCTACTAATGCTCTATCTTCCCTTCTATCCTTTACTCCTGGGAGAATTGGAATTTGGGGAGCTTCCAAGATTTGAATTTCTTCTTCTTCTCTTTCCTTTTCTTTTCTAGATTTTTCCAAAATTCTTTCTTCTCTCAAATCTCTAACGGCAGGCATTGTTGGTGGTAGACTAGATTCCATTGTGGCCATCATAACAATTTCGGGTACTTTGGTTGGTCGACCGAATTTTTCGGTTGGTCGAGCTCGGGCAGGGAAAGGTGTATCTTCTTCAGAACTTGAATCCATTTCTTCTTCTAAATTTCGATCCTTAGGTTGTCGAAGCCTTGGTATTTGTTGTTCTGATGAGAGTTCTAAAGGAAAAATTTGAGTTATACTTCTTTTAAAAATTTTTCCTAATATATTTAATTTAACTGTACGAATTATACCATCTCGTCCTCGAATTAAATCGATTATTCGAGCGAGTTTCCATAAAGGGCGGGGTAGGTCTTCCTCAACAATAACGACCTCCCCGACCTGTGGTTCCTTGCCAGTATTTTTACCAACTTTTTCACCTCTTTCCCTAAGAGAGAGGAGATATTGGGATTTCCAAAAGTCCCAAAATTTATTTAATTTTTTATTAATTTCTCTCATATTTTTTAATCCTTTCTCTCTACTCATTTCCTCTTCATAATCAGAATCATCTCCTATATTCGCAAAATTTATTTCAGCAGGAGCATATGGAATTAGGAAATCAATTGGCCGAATAGCCCTCAAGGGCTCGCCATCAGACTGATAAGTTAGTGGGCGGCTGTTGACCATTGCCTCGAGTTCACTAAAAAGAGTTGCAAGCTCGACATGGTCCAATAGCTTCTTCCCCACACTTTTTTTCAAAGAATTTTTCACAACCCCTATCATTCTTTCCCAAGCTCCTCCCTCGCGGGGGTTTCTTGGGGTAGTAAATTTCCATTGAGTGCCTCTGTGAACAATCCATTGTTG